CACGACGGACGGGACGACAGACAGCGGAATCAATGAGCGGCGACTACAAGTACATACACAAATGCAATACAAATACATACAAACATACACTTGAAGAAATCTAGACGAAACAGAAGATGATTGATTTGAAGCTAAGTCTGTTGAGATAAAAAGTGAGTAAAACAAATCCATAATTATAGCTTAGATGGCCAATCAAATCATTTTAATTATAATTGTAATTTTTAATTCAAATAACTCTCTTAAAATGTGGCTCTTGGAACACATTCTAAATACATATATAGTCGACTCTCGCTCATTCAAACCTGGGATAATTTTAACCTCTCTATAATTCAAAGTTATCACCAGTTCCCTACAAAATCTCCTTATATTTCGAACTAAATCAATACATTTTTATGCACTTGGTAATTCGAACGAACAAAAATCATTGCTATATAACAAAACGACGCGTTAATCGAACTCATCGGCGTCCAACACTCGACAATTCAAAGTTGCATAGAGAAAGAGGCGGAAAGATTGTATGTAAGTACATTTTGCGACAAGTTCAATCTTGTATCCACGTACAGGTGCTAGTCCCGCCCATCACGCCCCTCTTCATACCACCAAGCAGACCCAAAAATTGAATTCTGCGTATCTCAAGATCCGTCCCGGTAACTTTTATGACTAGATTGGCTTTTTAGCACACACTTCACACGAATTGGTTTGTTTAGTTATCACTCAGTTACTGTTACTCATTTGACATTGTTATATAATAGCAGTTAATAAATAATAATTGGGGGCCTCGGTGGCGTAATAATTGATCAACACTTAATAATTCGAAGCTTTATTTATTTTCTCTCACAAATTTCGAACCATTTCATATATCAAACTCTCGATAATTCGTAACATTTTAAGAGTACCTCGAGTTTCGAATTAACGAGAGTCGACTGTATCTCAAAACAAATTTTATAAGAGCCAGAGTTTTAGGAATATCAGCAGAATTCCTAGTTTTTAAAATATCAGCAATCATAAATCAATTGGGAAATTTCACACGCCCTCCAGAAGAACGATAAATCAAATCTATGAGAAATACTCTACAGTTCAAAAGCTTTCGGCAAAGTTATTCCCTATTTTGGGCTTATTAGAGTAAGTTTGTCTTAATCATCCCACCTAACATCCAAGTTTATTTGCAAACGTTTTGTGACTAACTAATTATAATTAACTAACTAACTAAAATATAATTCAATAAAAACGATATTCAAAAAACAAATTATAATAAATGCATTTTGTTTATTAAATAAATTTACAATATCAACATACATTTTTATTGAAACTAAGCACTAAACCCTTACAAAAAGACATCAAGTTCATTATTTAATATAAAAAAGTTAACTATAGTTATACTAAGAGACTCCTAAGAACATGTTTCGGATATTGAGAAGGGCTCTAATGAGCCGTTTTATCATAACAAGAATCCCCCTTTATGCGTCTGCCCTGCACTTCTTACGAAACGAAACCAGTAATTGGGCAAATGATTCTACGAAGATCTAGGAAAGCAACGACTGAAAGATGACAATTATTACTAATACCACAAGATGGTTCCGAAAAAACTAATTACAAACATAATCAATAGGCCTTTCTGTGAACTCGGTCTCACCAAACCAACCAAACTCTAGTAATGTTATTTAAATGTAGATCGCAGCAATTTGTGAAGCCCTTTCTTTCTGGAATGGCCTAGTAAAGAAATTTTGAAGTGACTTGAGTTATTTTCTCAGTGCAACTGCTAAGCTTCCGCTGCCACTGCCTCCCCCCACTCTTGATACGCTGGCTGCCGCAGTTACTTACCTTACTTACTTCGCTTCTTATTGGCAGATTACGACCGCCTTTTGGAATTGAGGGGGGAGGTGGGTTGGCTGCGACTACGACTGCGACTGCGACTGGGCAACTTATAATCAAATCCGATAAAAAATTTCATTATTGCTCCAGCAGCGTCCAGCAACAACATCAACAACAGCAACAACAATGCTCGTAACTGTTTTGCAGGTAATTTTTGTTGAGTCGTTGCTGTTGCAGCTTTGTTGCTGTTGTTATGATTGTTGTTGCCTGCACTTAATTTTCGCATGCGCACTAAACTTATGATCGCGATTTCTTTTGCTGGCCGTGTGCAGACGCCATTTTAGGTTTAGTTCTCAGCGCTCAGCGCTCAACACTGAGAGATCAGAAACGTCTAAGGAATAGAAAAGAAGCTTTTTGATTTGATATAACCATCGTCAGTTGTTGCAAGTTGCAGTTGCCGTTGTTGTTGTTGTTGGTGCTGGGGCTGGTGTTGCTGCTATTGTTGTTGCTGCTCTGTTGCAACATAAATTGGGACGTGATTATGAAATAATTGTAGATTTTTGTACTTTGGACTTGCGCAATGCCGCAGACTGGATCCGATAATCAACTAGACCTTAGCAGCTAACCATTGCCAGTTGATTTGGAGTCAGTTCATTACGAGAACTCCCTTTGGGAGTTTCGAGTTGTGTGCACACCAAATCAGACCAGTGACGAGCTACAAGCACAGGCTCCAATTGCCGCAGACTAATATCAAAACGGGAACATCGAGAAAGAGCGGAAAACTCTGTGTGTGTTATTTTACATTAAAGCTTAACTCAGCAACAAATGGGAAAGCATAGAAGAATTTTTCCAGACATCTACAAATGTATACTCCTATCAAATTTTTTTTTACCCACATCTACGCCTTTGCCTTCGTATATATTTCTGAAAATGCGTTCTACAATCCATTTTATTGAACTGCTTAATTACTGAATAATGTATTGAATACTAATTAATTAATTTTATTAATTTTTCCATTATTATTTTATATTTATTCATTTACTAGCAGGTCTTGCCTGTCTTTGATGGACTCAGTATTTTTGCTTACAATTATAAGCTTATTTACAACATGCTATTTCCCTTCCGATACTCTCTAAAGTTTCTAAAGGAACTGCCAATAGCAAATTACTTTGTTACGTTCCGAAAGCTAGGACATATATAACAATAAATACTGGGACCATACACGTATTATTTACATACATATGTATATTGTATGTATGAAAATTTCTGTAAAATAAAAATCTTAATATTTTGAAATTATATTGTGAAATTTATAAAAACTTAAATAAAAATATTGTGGCCGCCCTTCTCTGCGATTCTCATACCAAGTAACTAAGCGCTGGCAAATCGAGAATTTAATTGTGAAATTTCTCAAAAATTAAATAATAAATTTGTGGATTTAAATTGTGCATTTTCTGATAAATTAAATAAAAATATTGTGGCCGCCCTCCTCTGTGATTCTCATACCAAGTACCTAAGCGCTGGCAAATCAACAATTAAATTGTGAAATTTCTAAAAAAAAATAAAAAATAAATTTGTGGATTTAAATTGTGAAATTTGTGATAAATTAAATCCAAATATTGTGGCAGCCCTCCTCTGCGATTCTCATACCAAGTACCTAAGCGCTGGCAAATCGAGAATTAAATTGTGAAATTTCTAAAAAATTAAATAATAAATTTGTGGAATTAAATTATTAAAATTTCTGATCAATTAAATTAAAATACTCCATACACGTACTATTTAATAAATAAAATAAAATATCTATATATTTATGTAGTATGATGAAAAGCTCTAAAATTTGGCAAAGATATTTGTTGAACTTATGTATGCAACTGCAAAACAATATTTGAAAGGATATTTGAAATGTTTATGCTTACGTTAAATTTATGCTCGATTATGAAATGTGGAAAATTAATGTGAAAAATGAAAATTGTTTAATTACAATATTTAATTACAAAACAATGCATTTCAGGCAGAATTTTTATTTGTTTTCGTTCCATTCTTTTATATTTAAAGACTATGAAAAAGTCTAGTTTGTTATAGCGCTCTTTTTTGTTGATGAAATTTACGGAAGCTAAATAAATTTGTTTTTCAATTAAAAATCTGCAGCGGTTTTACGTGTCGAATCAATTGATGCACCTGACCAACGAGACAATATGTTACTCCCTCAAAAAATGTGCATTTTGTTCTCAAGTCGAAATCAGTCAATGAGGAAGTAGTGCGTCTTACCGACTGCTCACTGGAGCGCTCCATCCATCCTTCCATCCATGCAACAGTTCGCATGCAAACATATGTACATACATAAGTATGTATGTACATATGCAAATTAAATACAGACGTATGAATAATTTGAACACTCGCATTTTTGCTGAATTTTTGTACAACTCCGACAACTGTATGTCCATAATTTACATGAAGTTAACACGCAATCCAACAGCAACAACACCAACGAAAATGAAGGAGTAGCCTCAGGCACTGGCCTTGATTATCGGCTGCATAATGAATACTACAGTTGCCAATAAGAAACGCATAATACGGAATACACACACAAAAACACAGAACCAAGCAACACAAAAGGTAAGTCGAGTTGAGAAAAGTTTAAGAAATTCTATTACAATGTTGAAATATTGCCAAATCATGGCAACGAAGTAAATAAATTTCCACGCCACCGCTGCCACCGCTCACTTTGACCGCTCAACCTTTGCCGCCAATGATGCCAGGGAGTGAGTGCGCGCCCAGGAGCAGAATGAGCAGCAATGGCAGCGGCCGCGGCAGCTAAAATACCTTGCCGTGTATAAATAAGTAACCTGAGCTGTGCAACACGTTGCCTGACAGCCCAAAAACGGCACACGGTGCTGAAGACCCAGGGACTCGCTCGCCAACTTGTTTAGATAACCGCGCTGCTGCAGAAGCTACAGACAGATGCTATAGACGCTCGAACGTTACAACCAACCGGCTGCTCGACGAGCTCGCGTGTGCGCCGCCGCATCGGCAACGGCAGCCGCAAGGCGGTTTTTGATTTATATGCGATTTATGTACTTTGCTGCTGTCAGTTTGCCAGCCAACCGTTAGTAGAGGTGATGGTGGAGTTGGTGGGTTGGGGTGGGCGATGCCATGCCACTTGACCGATTTCAACGCATCGCAAGGCATTGTGGATATATAAAATTTTTTTTATTTCCGCACACATTTTTAGGAAAATACTCTAGTATACAAGACTCTCGACTGGCTCTGGAAAATCATTTCGTCGCATCAACAGTAACATGCGATTTGGAAAGCATCTGAAGTACTGTACGTGTGTCCATGTGTGTGCGTGTGAAGTTAAGCAACTCTAATAAATATAGTTGCGCACTTCAGCGTTAATATTTAGCTAATCTCTGGAATCAGCTTGCACTTATCTGCAATAATGGGTAAATGTGCTTGAGCATGTGATATATGTAGGCTTATCAGATTATTGTGTTTACTACTTACACACACACGCACACACGCATATGCGGCAAGGTTTATGTGCTAGCGGGCGCCTTATTTGCCAGAAACCACATTAGGCCCATCAGGCAACTGGGCGGACTGTTGTTAACGGCTCCTTGTCGCACCATAGCCCGTACCTCGTCCAGTGAAAGCTCCACGACTTCTATGATTTCATCATCGACACCGCCGCCGCTGTTCACCTTATCCGCATCGGTCACCTCACAGTAATACATTGCCTGTTTAGCGCCCGAGGAGCCCACGCCAGAGCTGCAAGAGATTGCCAAATGAATTATTTATCAACCAAATTATTTCCTTGAGAGTGATTCGCCAAGGCCTCAAATTTTGTACAAATACGTATAGCCAATGCTGGGCTATTCCCATTTCTAAATTAATTACATTTTAAATCACTCAAACTAATTGCAATATCTCAGCTTGCCTCATGATATGACAATAATACATACATATGTATGGATGTATGTGTACATACCGATACACCATGACCTCCTCAATGCGTGACACGGGCACATCATAGCCGCACTCCTCCAGTACTTCCTCCCGCGCTATTTCTGTCCAGCTCTTCGCTTTGTCCACAATTCCAGCACATAGCTCCAAAGTGACTCCAATTGCCGGCGGATAGGACTGCAGGTCGACATCAAATGTGCCGTTTTCTGTGGAAGTGACGTGGCCGTGATAAACCGCAGGCCGGAACTGACGCACCAGCACCAGTTTTTGTCGCGTTGTGTTGTAGAGAACAATGGCCACACTGTCGTGCACCTTCAACAGATCCCAGTTCTTTTCCACCCCATTCTGCACATAGTACATGCGAAAGGGTTTCACATAGGGAGAATCGGCAGGCAGTGGTCCCAGCCAGATCTTTGAGATGTTCTCCATGCCTAGAATAAAATTACTCGCTCCCTATAGCTCCTTTGCGCTTGACTATTAAAAAAACAAAGTACAACTAAAGGTAAACACACACATACACAGCAATTATATAAATAAGCACACAATGGAAGCGAAAAACAGCTGAGTTTGACATTTAACACCCAGTGGAAATTTTGGTTATACTTTGATCACATTTTGACGGTTACAGTTTAATTATCATTCGCGCAGCACGCACGATATTTCGACGCCTTATTGGCTAAAAACCACAAAAAAGCCACCAGCAGTCCGGGAGCCCCATTTATCTCTGTACCCGACTGCACGAAGCATTCCACTTCATCAATTGAGAGTTCCACAACTTCAATGACTTCGTCGTGCACTCCACCACCACTAGCCACTTTTTGCGAATCGTTAACCTCACAGTAGTACAAAAAGTGCCCGCCGCTAGACGCACCAATACCCGATCTAGATGAGAAAATCATTAAGTCAAATTCGGATTCCGTTCGCATTTCATTTATACCTGTATTTATAAATGGGCAATATGCTATCGACAGGAACATCATAGCCGCACTCCTCCAACACCTCTTCGCGTGCTATCTCCTCTAAACTTTTCTGCTTGTCCACCATGCCAGCGCACAGCTCCAATGTTACGCCCAATTCCGGTGGGAACAGCTTCAAGTCTACATCGCCTTCGGGTATATCAAGCGTGTTTCCTGAAATTATGCCATGATAAACAGCAGCTCTAAATTGTCGCACAAGAACCAATTTCTTGCGCGTCACATTGTAAATAAGGATCATTAGTCCATCACGTATTTTTATAATGTCCCGATCCTTTTCCACACCATTCTCAATAAAATGTAAACGACAGGGTTTTATGAATTTGGAGTCCGGCGGAAGTGGCGTAAACCAGACCCTCGTTATGTTTCGAAGCTTTTGCGCACCACTGGAGTTCACGATTGTGCAAAAACGCCGCAATTTGACACAGGTTTTAAGCATTTTATTTCGATTTTGAAATGTCAGCTGGTCGAAACGAATGTAAAATTGGCACCACTGCCACATATTTGGTAGCACTAAAGCTAGTGCTGCCAAGTTTGTCAAGTGTGGGGCCAAAAAAGTATTTGACAACGTCGCAATCGTTTTGACACTTGCATTGTAAAATTTTTGGAGCAGCAAGTTGGGACGAAAGTCGGCAAGTATAAAAATTTGCACTTGGTCGTATTAAATAACTTATGACTCGAAACATTCAACGACACAGACGCCTTCCAGACAGGTAAAAACGTGCAAAACACATTTAGGGAAAGATGCTGCGTTCAAGACTCACACAGGCAGCGTGTGCCGCCCAGCGTGCGTTCTCCACTAGCCCAAGGGTGCTAGCCAAGCAAATGACGGTGCGTGATGCACTGAACAGCGCTCTGGATGACGAATTAGCTCGCGATGATCGCGTATTCCTGCTCGGCGAGGAGGTGGCCCAGTACGATGGTGCATATAAGGTGAGTCGAAGATTTGACTTTGCCAATATGCGACGATTACGTAAAGGGGGCCAAAGTGACAGCTGGCGGCAATGACAGCTAGTGCATCAAGGGGGGGTGAGCTGTATTTGTGGGGGTTGTGCGTGTGCTGCTGTAACTGCTGATTATGATTTGCGCGTCGCCTTCTTGTTGTTGTTGTTGCTATTTTTGTTAGTATGTTTGTGATTGGCAAGGTCAAGCACGCAGAGAGTGTGTGAAAATTGTCAAAATTAATTGACCGAGCTGCTGACTGATAAGAATCCATAACATTTGTTTGGTTTGGCCACGATCTAATAAAAATGTGCGTTTTGTTTGCTTGCAGATATCACGTGGGCTTTGGAAGAAATATGGTGATAAACGGATTATCGATACGCCAATCACAGAAATGGGATTTGCTGGCATTGCCGTCGGCGCTGCCATGGCAGGTCTTCGTCCTGTTTGCGAGTTCATGACCTTCAACTTCTCAATGCAAGCTATTGACCACGTAAGTTCAAAATCCCTCATACATTAACATACGTGGAGAGTTAGTAGCCTAACTACTCATATTATCTCATGGAAAACCTAAACACGCAAACTCCAACTGTCTAGTCTAAATACCAATTCAAGTTTGAAACAAGGTTTGGGGGATAGGTGCTGTGCGCTTTTTTAACGTAATGGGATAATATGGGTTGAGCTGCAATTTTCCAAACAAACAAATTCAATCAAAATGACGCTACGAGTGCAGTTGACCGCGAGCGTCTGGATTTCAAATCGTAATCCACGCCAGTGTCAAAACGACTCGCATATCAACATGCCAATCGAAATGAAAGACTAATTTGTGACCCATATTATCCAATTATGCGCAGGCAAACAGACATAAGCCCTGTAACAGTACGCCAACCCATGCATCATTGTCCTGGCTAGCAGCCCCTGCACTTCCGCGTCCAATCGGTGACCAACAACGACTTAATAAAATCATCGAAAGCCCACGATCCAGTTGGCTAACGGAAATCAATGACATTTTGCATCGAGAGCGCATCGGTGAGATAATTGCGCCACCCATGGATAGTAGTAAGCCAGACAAAATGGAAGCGGCACGACTTATTGTCATACGACGTCGCAAAATGAAGAAGCACAAGTTGAAGAAACTGCGCCGCAAGATGAAATTCGAATGGGCGAAGGTGCGGCAACGTCGTGAAATGCGCAAGGAGAAGGCATTCCAGGCGAAACTAATGGCGCAGATTAAGGATGCGGAGAGTTTCAGTGCTGAGAAGCATGTGGCCGAAGTATTACGTCAAGCGAACGAGAAGCCGCTGCCACGTTTCTGGAAAGGTCGCCGACTTCCAGCATTTATTATTAAGGAAAAGCTAGGCATTAAGTGAACAAAAAAATTGGCTTGAACTCCAAAATAAAATGTGTTGTTATTTTCAACTTGAATTGGTATCAGTTGTGCATCTCCTACATCTCTCTAATTGTCAAGTATTAAATTTGCCTACCACTAGGTCATTAATTCAGCTGCCAAGACGTTCTATATGTCCGCCGGCGCCGTCAATGTGCCTATTGTGTTCCGAGGACCGAATGGTGCCGCCTCCGGTGTTGCGGCGCAACACTCGCAATGCTTTGCCGCCTGGTACGCACACTGCCCCGGCTTGAAAGTTGTATCCCCCTACGACTCTGAGGATGCTCGCGGTCTACTCAAGTCTGCTATACGCGATCCCGATCCAGTTGTGGTGCTGGAAAACGAGCTAATGTATGGTGTAGCATTCCCCGTTGATGATAAAGTCGCCGATAAGGACTTCCTTGTGCCTATTGGCAAGGCGAAAATTATGAAACCAGGCAAAGATATAACCATTGTGGCGCATTCCAAAGCGGTAGAGACGTCTCTGCTCGCCGCCGCCGAGTTGGCCAAGAAGGGTGAGTCCATATAATATAAATATGTATTATCGGAATATATATATTAACTTTCCACTTAAGGTATCGATGCTGAAGTTATAAACCTCCGCTCCATTCGACCTCTAGACGTTGCAACTATTTTTGCATCAGTTCGAAAAACTCATCACCTAATCACTGTAGAGAATGGTTGGCCACAGCATGGTAAGCGATTTCTGTTTTGCACTTTCTTTAAAAATATAGTTCGAACATACATATATTCGATAGGTGTTGGAGCTGAGATCTGCGCCCGCATCATGGAGGATCAAACATTCTTCGAACTGGATGCACCCATCTGGCGATGCTGTGGCGTTGATGTGCCTATGCCATATGCCAAGTCGCTTGAGATTAATGCGCTTCCCCAGGTGAAAGATGTGACAGAGGCAGCCATTAAGATAGTCGGTAACAAGGTTGGCAAAGCCGCAGCGACAGCGGGAAAATAAAGGTCTTTTCGAAACTGCCAGTTCTAGCTATGTAGATGGCAAAATAACCCATTAAGTAACTAAATTTACGGTCCCCTCAACGAAAACTGTGGATACAGGAGTAGTCCAATTATTGCACTGATCTGAATATCGAAAACTGAAATGTAATTGTTTGAAGCGGCACGGATGGCTTTCGTTCCCATTTCAAACATTCTAGTTGAATTTTTATTTGATTATTCGAAATCTCTATAAAAAGAAAAAAAAAAACTTTATTCTTGTTTAAATTAAAAACGGCTAGGGGCATTCCCAACACTGCACTGTGACTCATCACTTAGCTGTGACTAGCATAAAGTCACAATACCTTTTCAGTGCTCGATAATTTTGCGTTTTTATAATTTGGCCACACTCTGCGTCAGCAGTAAAAGTACCCAAAACAATTAATGAAAAACGACAACAAAACATATTGAAAAGAACACACAAGTGCAATGTTCTGATTGTAATGGCAAGTAGCTCCAGCTCTGATGAAAGCTCCAAGGCACCTGAAAACTTTCAAATATCAAGCGTGTCCACAAACGAGGACGAAGATGACATCTGCGATGGCGCAGGATACACAAAGGATCTCAGGAAAGCCCGCGTAGCCTCAACAGCTGCTGCTGCTGGCGCCTCCCCAGGCTTACGTTGTCCACTCTGCTTCAAGCATCAGCGCCGCTTCCATTGTCACAACTGTGTTAAAAATGGCAACATTACTCACAGCACGGCCGAAAGACCCGAAAGGTTATTTACTCATGCCTTTTTTTGCATGTGCGCAATAATGGACATCTGTTTATTTTTTGCTAAATATTTTCAGTTTGACAGAGAAACAACAAAAGTATATTAATCTGCAGGCCAATCTAAAGGCATACAGCGAACGCTATGAGAAGCTCATGCAGCACCTCAAATGCAATGAGAATCGTCAAGTTGAGATTAAACAGAAACGCGAGCAGCTACTGCTGATGAAACAGCTGATTGGAAAGACATCAGAACGTTTGCTGGCACTTGGCGAGCAACGCGACGAACTGCGTCGCGCTAATGCCGAGAAGCGCAAGCACCTGCCAAAGTATCCCATCAAAGTTAGAGAGCTAGAGGACTATGTGCTCGATCGCATTGTAAAAATTGACAAACTGCGTGATGCGAATCAGGGGTTGTTAGACAATATAAAGCAGTCGGCGCGCCGCAGCATTCAACAGCTGGTCGCCTACATATTTCCCATTACAGAAGTGGTGCTTAAGGAAGAACAGCAGCGCAAGGTGGTAGCAGAGCGCAGCGAGGAGGCAGAAACAATTGCAGCTCTCGCCGATGCTAAAAATACATCGTACATAAGGGGCAAATGGGTTTTCCATGGAAGTGGAATCAGTGAGGTGCAATATCGCATTGTGGGCCCCACTCTGCCCGCGAATGGCGACTACTCGGCCTACACCGATTGGCTGGCAGACAACAAGGACGACGTGCCCAAAGCAACGGTCAATGAAATAACACCCAGTCGCTTTGAGGCCTATCGCATTGTAGGCGCCCTAACTTACACAGCCCAACTGACGCAGCTGCTCAGCTTCTATTTAAACGTGCGACTCCCTCATAAGTTGGCCTATGGTGACTTCTGTCGCAAGCTGAACGAGGAAACCTTTCTGCGTAAGGTATCTCGCGTCAACTCCAACATCATGTATCTGGCCTACACACAGCAGGTGAAACTGCGGGCTCTCAACGAAAAGCACACGCTCGAAAATATTTTGGCCATACTAGACCTAGATCGCAGCGATTTGGGTCGTTACGGGCACCTCGATGTTAACAATGCGCCTCTGATGAAATCGGTGGATTCTCTGCTCATTGGCATAGAAACGGCCACAGAATCAGAGTCGGAAGGTATGTAAAAATCAGGATTGTGCCAAGCTAGGGATAGACAGAATTTAATTTAAAATTCATCGATCAGAGCATTGCAAGTTGACAACTAAATGCCACTGTCAAGTAGCACAGCTTAGTTCAATTCAATTTATTATTTTTTTAAGTTTTTGTATTTAATGTGAAACTGCGTTTATTAGCGATGTTTTAAGCCTACCTCTCTGGCTGTCCACTTCAAGTGCCAATTACCGATCTACCCATATTGACTTAATAACAGCCCTCATCTGTAACCATACACTTATTTATGTCTCTATTATTTAAAGGCATAAATACAATTGTACTAAACTTTAAATTGTTCTTCAGAGATGTATGTATAAGGTTTGTATTGTTTAGAGAAAGAGAACCAACTGATTGTCAAAGTGAATTGGATTTAGTCTTCGTACTAGCTTCTAGGTTTTTCCAGATACAAACAAGCATGCTTATAAAATAACATTATTTTTGCAAAATGGACAAATCGAAGTCGAGGAAGCGAACTGAAGATAACAAAAACGATTAAAAGATAAGCAATGCAAGCGGGGAACACTCGTTCTTAATAACACTTTGTATCCAACACCCGATATCAGGAAACAAGATAGATAGTTGTAGTATGACCAACTCTTATCGAGGCTTTGTTTTCTATATTATGTTCATTAACATTTAACTCTGGCTACCACAATCATTACATAGATATAAATTGTACCTTTGGTCGGCGATTCCTCGTTTCTCACGCTTCTCTTTTCCTTGCAGATGAGAATTCGCTGCGCTTGGACTGGGAAGCTGTTCCCAGCTTGGCAGCCCAGCCAGATCTGAGCGAATCAAATCTTATACCCGCGGCTGCCCAACAATCAACCATCGCCATGGCTGCCAATCGGATCACATCAATACTGCGCTGGATCAAGTGAGACGACCTACGATATCGGACATTGACCGCAGTGTTAACTCTTACAAATTAGGCTAGGAATTACTATATACACACATATGTATATAAGTGCATGTAGGTGGGCGCACAACGCCGTGCGCAGATTTCCAAGTTAATCGAACTACATTGATGGAACCAATAGTGATGAATATAGAAAATGGCTTTGATTCCAACCTTTTTATAATGGACATAATCTGTGCTTTGTCGTATATGTAATTAATTAAAGAGGATGTACCCGACAAAACGCACTTTTGTTTTTTATTGTATAACTTATATTTCTTTTATTTAATAAAAATGGTTCGCTATAAATAACTAGATTAACTTGCGCTGATTCTGTCTAAGTACTGGTGTAGTTGGTGGTGATGGGCAACAACAAACAAGAAAGGAACGCAACTTCTACTCACACCGAACTGAGAGGTACCCTTCCCCAAAGTTCTACAAGTTTCGATTTAAATTATAAACTTAAAAAATTAAAATGATATTAAAACCGATTGGACTCAGCTTTAGCTTGTAATTATGAATTGTTGGCTTCTCAACTGGTTTAACAAAATCTCTGTGACGACTTCTGACTAATTGAGAGATTGTTATTTCAATTCTCAACAGCAAAACCATTAGCAACGCAACTTTTTACAAAATAATAAAAAGTAAGACTAGGGCGAAGCTGGATATTAGACTGGTGCGATTAAACAGAAGGACGCATTGACGATTGTCGATCATCTTTGTATAGGTTGGACCTTTTGCAAATGCACATCATGACATTTGTTCACAAACTGTGGGAAAGGATATCCGTGACTCCCCACGTATGAAGCCTACGAGCTTATAATTCTGATCTCAATATGGTAATAGGTAATGGGAGTCTAGGAGATACATACAAATCAGGGCACAATAACTTAGCTTCTTCTAAAAAAACTTTGTGGGTTGTTGCGTTGATGTTGTTTGTGTAATGGATGGTGATAAAGATGCGCCACTACTGCTCATGACTTCGACAGCAGAAGAAGGAACAGCAGAGGCAGCAGCTGGTGGTGGGGAAGGCTTAAGAAATACTTGTGGCAGTGTGTGGGGAGACGTTCCGCTTAAAGTCGTTGCTGGCAAACCACCATTCAGAAGACCCAGATGTTTGTCATAGACGGGCGCACTCATGGACGAGAGCACAAGGGCTGCGGCAACGGCCTGTTCATGATTATAGAATGCCGACACTGCCGTAGACTGTGTGGCATTCAGCGCTGGTCATTGATGAGTTGAAGCACCCGCTCCCGCACCCGTATTGGCACCCTTTAGGCTACCGCCGGCGGGCAATGTGTGGGTGGACGGTGCTGACCACCTTTTCTTCTCTAGCTTTTTTAACTCGGACAACGTTTGCATAATCTGCGGATTGTTCATGAGATCGACGGTACTGACAGCATTCAAGGTGGAGGCAATGGTGGCACCAGCAAGATTTGTATTGTTGTTAAACATATACAGGTTATCCATGCTGAAGCCAAGCGAAGTTCCGTTTGCAGAAACTTGTGGCAGTCTGGGTACAGTTGCCGTAGGCACAGTCTTCGTTTTGTGATTGGCCCTGGATTTGGTGGGAGCTTTTGACTTTCCTGCAGCAGCTGCTGGAAAAACTCCAACAACTTCCACACAATCAGATTCGCTGCTGCTCTCACGACGTCCAACACTGGCCTGCCAATTGGCGCCGTCTCCACGTCCAGCAGTTGTGGTATAGTTTGTAGCTGCCAGCTGCTTTGACGTATGCAATATGTCACTGGGACTCTTGTAGTCATCCAGATTGATGACATGCGGCATTATTTTGGAATGTAATGGTTGTTGGACCTGCTGCTGTTGTAGGTTGCTATTGACAGCCATACTATTGGTCGTAGCCACAATAGGTGGCGTCATAATATTAAAGATACTATGATCGGTCTTCTTAGGTGGCGAGGCCAAATCAATTGTTGTCGCCATTGCCGCATTTAAGGCAGCGGCCTGCGCCGAAGTGCTGGGCATCTCAAGTAAAGTATCCAAATGCGGCACAGCCGTTTGATTGGTTGTCTTTTGAACCTTTCTTATCCTTGGCGCCTTGGCAATCTGTTTAGGACTTGGGGCCGCTGTTGTCGACGCTTCCTTCAACTTGCGCTTGAGACTATTTGATGAGGCACTTGTAGCAGAATCCGTGTCTGAGTTAGCGCAGGAACGACTTTGCGCCGAAGTCGCGAGCTCCTCTACTGCCAGAGGACTGGCACAAGTCGATGTTGTCGTTGAACATGATGCAATCAGCTTCTTGTTCTTCTCCTTGGCCTCCTTAATAGCCGCTTTGTGACGGTCAATTTCGCGCTGTAACTCCTCATAGGTCATCCAACCTTTGGCCCATATATCGACTACCTTCTCCTTCATATACCCATTTATAAACTCCTCCAGCGAATCCTTGCGCTTGCCTAGCACAGCATAGGATGTCCAGCGCGCCTGATAGACTTCGTAAAGAAGTTCGCGTAGCTCAGTGTTCCACTGAAACTTTTTGCGTGGCAATTTCGGTGGATGTTCCGCATTCAATTCGCCAGCTCTGAAAAGAATAATTATTATAATTAGTGCACTAGCCAAATATATTATTTAAACTCACTGCAGCTCGGCATATTTGCGTAGCTTTATTTCATAGTTTTCTATGGCTCTTGGCATAATCTTTGCAATCGCCTTGCGCAGATTGTCTAGCGCCAATGTTGTTTTATTCTTCTCCTCCTTTGCGCGTAAAGCCTTGGACTTGCGCAAGATAAAGTATTTGGGCAGGGTTAGTTGATATTCCAAGTGCGCAAAGACCATGTTGCGCTCATTTCGATCGAAGCAAAGCAGTGCTTCATCGATCCTGTACAATTAACAAACAAACGAACTCATTAGTTTGTGCAAATTTTACATTTAAATCGTAGAACTCACTTGAGTAAGAGTGCCGTCAGCTTGTCATCAAAGACTAATTTTCCGCACATATCCCGACTTCTAACAATTTCTTTGAAAGTATTTATGCACGAAAGGAGTTCTACATCCAATGTGGGTGGCAAAATTGTATCTGCCGATCGCAGGTCTGCAAAATATAAATAAATAATTGCTTAAATTTTCAAAGATTCTGGCATATTTGATTATTAACATACTCTCGGTGATTTCCTTTCCCTTCGTATGCTTATCTGCCCTTGCGCCTTGCTCTGTTGCTGAATCTGTACCGCCATTCTCGCTGCTAGTCTCGACATCCGTGGACGTGCATTTGACTTCGCCATTAACGACACCTTTAACCGCATTATCGCCTTGAGATTTAAGGAAGCTGTCGCGTTTCGCTTTCAACATATCCTTAACGGTGGTTGTTTTAACCACCTTCTTAAGGGCTTGAGCCTGCCTCTCATCGGTGTCCGATGTTTCGAGGACACTGGGACGCGGTGAGTTCGAAGAGGATGAAGTGGTAATGGCTAGCTTTTTGCTTGGCTTCTTGTTATTTAGATTCAGTTTGTTGTCCTTTTGCTTGGTGGATATGCTGGACTTTGACCTCTTCTCTCCGGATTTGTACTTTTTCTTCGACTTGGCAGATGCCGGGCCATCATCCTCATCATCCAAGCTTTCGCTTTCTGAGTCATTTTCATCATCATCGTCGTCATCCTCCTCATCATCATCCTCGTCCTCGTCGTCATCGTCATCTTCTGAAGAGGATGATTCCTCTGAGCTGCTGGAGAGCACACGTTTGCGCGATCGCTCAGGCATTTTTATGATAGCATCCGTACGCGTTGTGTACGATCGCTTGGTAAGGTTTTTAAATTCGAGTGCACCGGAATTGATATAAAAGCCTCCAGCGATTGTTTCGACATCCTCGGGTACGACTTCGTCATACTTTAAGAAACATCATAACAGTTTTAATTTTTCGGCATTAAAAAAAACCGCAACCCTTACCGCATCTGTATTGTCTATAAAGGAGTCGCTCTCATCATAGCCCATGCCTATGTCACAAAAGTCGTCTTTTCTGCGCCCCCTTCCACTGGCATAAGCATTTCCATATTTATTCTCCATTTCCTTAGCAATACGCGCCACATCATCATCGTTATCAGCAAAAGGATCCCCACTGTTCGTTTTTACTTTCGATTTCTTGGCCTTTTTCTAATAGAAAATTTTAAAAAATAATATAACAATTCATTCAAATTGGCGTCACCTACCTTCTCCAAATGCACCAGCTTGGAAAAGTTGAACTCTGGATACGTGGTGGAATCGGTTTCGAACAGCTCAAGATTAAGTCTAACGCACTTATTGCTGTTTTTGCTGGAATTATTTTTGCCGGGTGCGGGCGCTTCTGGCGCCAAAAACTCACCAAACCGTGAGAAGGCCGGCATAGCACCGAGTCCCGCCTCATTGTTCAAGGACGAAGACGCAAGGCTCTGGCTAATGGTGGTTAAAGATACACGCTTGCTCTCGCCTGTTTTCGACATCTTCTATCAGTCTGTGGCGAAGTTGAAAGAGCAAAACACAACGCGACACACAAACTGAAAAACACACACGAACCTTTTTCGCTTGCGCGCCCTTTTCCCGAGCTGCGCGCCACGTGCCGCACGGCAAAAAAATGGGTAAAAACAATGGCAATGCAGAGACAACTACAGCGACGACAACCACAACCCCACCTTCTCCTTCTTGTGCACCGCAGCGCTTGACGATGTCACTTTCTGCACGTACACAGGCGTAATACAACGACTAAGCGAATGCTGCACAATACAACGAATCAACTCATGGCCGCATTCTATTTACATTTCCATTCAATTCATATAGAAAAGGTCGTTTTGGCGGTGATTAGTTATAACTATAAACATAAACAAATGGAGCTATTCAGACTTTTTTGAAGCCGATGAATTGATTAAATGCACACACTTTAATTTCAGTTTTGTCTTCTTTTTCGTGCAAATAATTGTCGTTATTTGCTTAAGAAGAACCGGCGAACGACAATTAACGTTATTATGCAAACATATAAATTACGAGTAATAAATACTGGTACTTAATAAAATCACAGGCATGTGCAAATTATTTTAATCTGGGATTTTTGCACATTTGCTTATGGTTTGGCTTTTCCGTCTTCTCCTTAATAAATTCCATGCCGTCTGACCCCGCTGGCAACTCTACGGCATGCCGAAAAACGCGACGTGCTTAACAACACTGATCGCAATTTTTAAGCACAAGCAACTATCTCGTTCAGGCAGCGCTTTTCACAACAAGAACTTTTACGCATCAAGTTGTTTCAAATTACACATTAATTAGAATGTGTTTTGTAAAAGAGTGTAATTTTTTAGTAACATGAAATATGTTCTTAAAAGAGCATGTTATAGTTATATAAAGAAAAATGCTAAATATTAGCCTGCTAAGAAAATCTAAGCCCCCTCAAATTGAATATGGAGCCAGTCCTATGCAGAGTCAGTGTGAACAATACTGAGAGCTTGTTGTGATTTTTTGCTTGCCATTTTCCAGTACTGGTGCACAAAACAGCTGTTCGCACAATCAAATGGGGGCTTAGTGGGGTCTGCTTTGTACTTCAGTATTTGTGCGTGTTTGGAGCCGTGAACCTCGAGTGTTGATTTGTAAGTGTTAAAAAATAATTAATTTCATAGTTATTATGTCAATTTGTACATATGTATAGGTACTCGCATATGCGCTCCAGAAAATAAAGTGTGCGTGCAGCAAAATTTCAAGTGAAAATGCAAACCGTTATTAAGGGAAATTTATGTTTTTCGTGCAATTATGTGAATATGAAAACAATAAATTGAAGTGTATATATGCACTATAATGGTATTATTGTTAGAAGTTACAATTTTGTTTCAACGAAAGCGCTATTGATAGGGCATGCACTGGCTCTTTCACCTACAAAGTTTGTTGCCTTTTATGTTTGTAGTTGCTGGTACCAACAGCAGCAGCAACCCGTGCCCCGCACACCCTCTACGCAGTGCAAGTGACCGTTGAAAGTGCAACGCTCGCGCCGCAACAAAGGCTCCAATTCAGTCGTTTAGTGACGCCCAAGACGACAACAACGACAAAGACAACGACGCATGAAAGGAGGTGGTCCAGGAGCGGCTCGAGACAAAGCGCCCACTCATGCATTGTGCATCGCGAATCCAATTCAGCGTTACGTGCCACTCGACTGACAGTTGCTGAATAGAGTCACGCTTTGTTTTTTGCCTCGCCAAATACCGTAAGGTTTCAGTTACGCTCATACAAGCGGTGAGTAACACGCTCAATTCATAATTAATGCTGTTTGTAAAACAAATAAACAAATACGGCAAGTGTGCAAATAGACAGGTGGCGATAAGGACTACGTAGACTTGCAAGTAAAAGTTATCTTCTATTTATCTAATTGCTGGTGTGTGCGTCTGTTTTGGACAGGAAACTAAAAAATTGAGTTCATGTTTGTAATTTCTAAATGCATCACTAGTATTGCCCAGACGAGCCTGTGAGACTGTAGTAGTGCGGAAAGTTGAAGGGGGGCACAGTTTCTAAATTCAACAAAAAGCAAACAATTCATAACACGAAACTGATTTTACGGTAAGCGACCCCGAAATGTTGCCTTGCGACCACCAAATATGATTTTTTTTAAATATGTAACCGAACATACGACACTGTGAAAATAGATTCATCCACCTGTATTTTTAAGCACAATGTGGCGCCTGTTTATGGCAGCAACTGGTTTTTCTTTTGGGCCGCTGTAACAACAACCTTGCGCCTTATGCACAGTCACGCATACATATATACATATGTACATGCATACAAACAAATGTAGACGTGTGCATGTATATTTTTCAAACGGCAGTAATTTAATTTACTTTTAAAGTGTCATATAAAGCTAATTGTGCTGTTATCGTTTAGTTGACGCGGTTGATATTTCTGAGTATTTACGGCTGCCTCATCAGGTTTCCTTTCATTGTTGAAGAGCAGTAATGACATCAATGAGACAAAGAAATTACTCCCAGGCAGAATTTACATAAATGTATCTTCGCCTGTGGGCGGCTGACACTTGCACTGTCACTGTCACTATCAGCGTATGTTTCTGGTACCATTTCTAGACATGACGTAAGTACATGGCCCAGTCAACTACATAAATACCTCATGCCTATTTGTGGCCAAAAAATTACATTTCAAAGCAACAAATACAGATCGTAGAGCGAAGCAAAAACATCTTTTTAATTTGTATGATTAAGCAAGTACATATGTATGTAGATATTTGAATTATGTACATACTTATAGAATAGTATAGAATAAGATAAGCAACTTTTGCTCAAAATTTATATCATAATATAAATCGGTTCGTACACAAATCACTTGAAATATAACAAACGAAATACCATAGAAACCATACCACAGCACAGACGAAACTGAAACAAAGAAATTTCTCTTACCTATAAAACTTTATTTTGGGTGCTTATAATATTTACGAATTTAGAGCTCCATATCATAAGGGTTGGTTTTAATCAGCATACTAAATTACTTCCATAGAGAAGTTTTGAATGCCAGCAAATTGAAATAATCTTACTTACCATAAGACGATGTATGTATAGCCAATTATCCCTTAAACGACAGCTATGTGTACACTCAAAAGTTGTACAATTAAATACCTGCAAAATGTTTTTTTTGCTTAATTGCTTAACTTATGTTATATATTAACTTATATTAGTGAGCTTGTATAAAATACGAGTACAAATAGAAAAGTTCCAGCAGACCCAACCACTCAATTTGCAGTGAACATCTGCATGTCGTTAACACTCATGTTACGTTGTACTTAGTAAGTGAATAATAATAAAAAGGAATGAAATGCTAGAGCGCAGCGGGCCTACCTCTTAAGTACTCTGCACCCACTTCCACGAAAAGAAAACATTTTAAACAAATTCATATATAATTGAAGAAAATTAATTAAATTCAATTTCAAGTATATCGCCGTTCCGTCTAAGCGTGTGCGCGTGTATGTGGGCAGTACAGAGTTGAGCCAAACCAGCAGCATTAACAACTTAGGAAGATGACACATAAACACTAACCAATGTAATTGCCAAATTCGAGTTAAAAATGCATAGAAGTTTAGTTACTCTTCCTGCGTGAGATCCTTTCGTTCATAAAGACGGACAGAAAAACGGCCATCGCTATATCGACTCGTCTTGACATACTGATCAAGAGTAAACTTATAAGTATGTATAATTTGTGGGGTCTGGCACGCCTTCTGTGTGTTGCATACATCAACACTAAACTAATATACCTTTTACGCTTTTGGAACAGTGTATATAAATCGCTCATAAATGTGCGTGTTCATTGAATTTGCCTTTTCTCAAAACATTTCAACAAGCTACATATGGTAGATTATATTGACTTTAATAAAATCATTATAAATGGCATAACAATAAAAAAATGTCTAATGTATAGTCAATTGCTATGCCAAATGATAAGTAACATTAGACGATACTAATCAATCAGTAAGACAAAATAATTCTATTACATACTTAATGACTGCATAACTAAAACAGTTTTAAAGCCAGTTTTCTACGATTTTATTTAATTTTATTTAAAAATTCAAAGAATTGCGAGAGTTATGGAAAATGAAGTAGGGAGGTGCGTCAGAAAAAAACAAGAAAGGAATGCTATAGTCGAGCGGGCTCCACACTTAAATACCCTGTACTCCCACAAAAACGGAAAACCATTCTAAGCCAAGCTATTCCCTTGCAATTTTTTTCGTTGAACGGGAATGCATTCGCTCACTGACTAGTCGAAAATTGTTTACGGATCGGAAACTAATACAGCCATGGCCTTAATAGCACAGAACACATTTGCTTAGAACCACAAAAATATTTCTGGTTTTGTAAAAAAAACACCATATGCTTGGTTTATATAAATATGTACCTACATATGTACGTATATATGGACAGATGCCATCAACATCGGCCCCTGACTTTTTGCTCCTTTTTATATTGTTTAGTTTGCGTTTGTGTGAACCATTTCCATATTAGCGTCTTCATTATATTCTTGGTGCTTTTTAAGAAATTTGTCCCTCTTTTTATTGCGCCAATGTTTACTTTTATATTCATAACTCTCTGATTTTTATTTAATTTCTTCACGACTTTCCGTGGAACACTAAAATCTGTCGCAACCATCTCCACTGATATGATGAAAAAATTAATTAAATTGTTAAAAAAATTAATAAAATAATAGAACTATGGAAGCTAAAGCATGCTATATTTTATTTAAATAACTAATCAAATCGGACACAGAGATAAGAATAAATTATTTTATATGACAAACTCAACACTAATTTGTTGTTGATTTAACTAATCCACTATGAAATAAAAATGTTTATTACATGTAAACTTATCAAAATGTTTTACATTTTTTAGTGTGTAGTCATAGGCACAGCCCATTTTTAATACCCTGTACTTGTTGGGTAAAAAGGGAGTAGATAGAACACGAATTAGGTTTGTGCGAAATATGCAACTAGATGAACACATGGATTTCGGAAAAAAAAAGTTTGTTTTATTTTCATTTCCCCCGCTACAGCATTTCGTCAATACAAGTATTATTATATATAGCTACAGATTTGTTTACGCAATCAAAATACTTATGTATAATGGAGTCGCACTTCGCAGAATTTTTTTTGAGCTTGCTGGACTGTAGCATTTCCTCACTTGTTATAAGTATATTCTAAAGATCTGACTTTGGCAGTTAACAAATAACCCAATATTCTGGGGCTATCAGTGACCATTAATTTATAGGGTCCACGAGAACTAGATCGATTGGTGGATAGGGTATAACTTTTTGTATTTAATAATTTTTGTGGCTAGCGCAAAATGTTTCTATGTACTTATGAGTTTGCGATTTGCAATTAAATTTATTTTTATATGTTTACAGAGACTAATCCAGACCACATCTGTTCATAATGGCTGAGAGCAGGGAGCTGGTGAATAAATATGGCGAGCGCTTACCTTACGATCGCAATTTTCGGGGGCCATTTAATCGAAATCGCAGCTGCACTGATTTGGGTTGCCTCTTCATATTCGTGTTGTTCCTCGGTGGCTGGGCTTATGTGTCACTCTATGCCTACCGCCATGGTGATCTCAACAGTCTAATGGTGCCAACAGACATGTTTAATCAGAAGTGCGGCATTGATTCGGGCGTACTTTCCAAGAATAATCTGTTCTTCTTCGATTTGGAAAAGTGTATTGATCCGCTTGTGCCTCTAACTGGGTGTGATACGCCACAGGTGAGTGCTTCAAAATATATCGACTCATAGCCAATTTACCAGTCTGGGGGACTACTAAACATTTTTTTCCAGGTCTGTATAGAGTCGTGTCCCATAGAAGATTTCGATTGGAATACAATGCGTTATAAATACAGCCTGGAGGATTTAAGAAATCGCATGATCTGCCTAAACGACAACATTAAAAACAGTTTATGGACAATTCAAGATATGCAAAATGCTATATCAAGGAATGAATGCGTCGCCAGATACACGAAGAGTAGGGCCTTTCTCAATCGCTGCATGTTCGACTTCGAGATCTGTCAGCGATTCAAACGCTCGCCTCGAGATTTGCTCGCCCTGACCGGCAGCAATGCCACTAAGGAGCCAGAGTCCTTGCAGCGTCCCACGGCACTGTCGCTAAGCATGTCCGAACAGCAGCAACGTGTGGCTCAACTAAGCAATTTGCCGGTGGAAAAACGTGCTTTGGAGTGCGAAAAGCGTACCCAGAACGGCGCTGTGATAAAGGAGAAGATGATGCAGGCGAATACTAAGCTGGTCAAATTTGTGGGAAATCTCGTGGCACACTTCTATAATGGCACTCACGATGCTCAACGACTGGGTGAAGAGATTGTGGAGGATATTATTAATTCTTGGCAAATTGTATTGGTCGTGCTCATTTGCACATTGGTCACCGCATTCATATACATAGCATTAATGCGTTGGCTGTCGGGACCCATTGTCTGGTTCTCCATTTTCGGCGTACTCATCGGCCTAGTGGTGGGCATCTACTACAGCATTAAGAAGTATTCGTTTTGGAGTCAAACGGCTACAACACCCCATCACAGTCTTAATTTGCAGTCGACGCTTCTAAACATACTACAGGATAGGAGGACCTGGCTATATTTGTCCATCTTTCTGTGTGCGTGCTTTGTGATAATTTTGCTGTTGGTGATTGTGCTACGCCAGCGTATTCGTATTGCTATCGCATTGACCAAGGAGGGCAGTAATGCAGTGTCCAGCGTCACCTCGACCATGTTCTTTCCCATATTTTCCTGGCTGCTCTATATTGCAGCCATAGGGTTTTCCGTCGCTGTAGGACTTTATTTGGCCTCTATTGGCAAACCCAAATTTCTAATGGTGCGTCGTGTGATCGATCAGAATGTGGTAACCAATGAGAATTGCATATGCGAGGGTCCAGCTGTGAACTATTCAGTGGGCACAGCTTGTGAGCCGTCCACATTCCAGGAGTATTGCTACATTCCCAGTCCACAAGCGTTACGCTCGCGAGCGAGGTGCATGGATACCACATGTAGCTTCGTGACTATAGAGAATCCGCCGTTCGTGCAATGGTCAATTGTTTACAATATCTTTGGGTTCTTCTGGATGAGTTTCTTCATTTCAGCCTTCTTCGACATGGTGCTAGCAGCCACTTTTGCCAACTGGTATTGGACATTTAAGAAACGAGATGTGCCGTACTTTACGTTGACGCGCGCCCTCTTTCAAACAATCTTCTATCATTTGGGGACGTTGGCCTTTGGATCCCTCATATTAACCATTTGCCGCATGATTCGCTTAATTTTGGAGTACATCCATAAGAAGCTAAAAAAGTTTGATAATCCGGTGACACGAGCCATTTTGTGTTGCATGCGTTGCTTCTTCTGGCTGCTCGAGAACTTCCTGAAGTTCCTCAATCGAAATGCGTACATTATGTGCGCCATACATGGCACGAACTTCTGCACGTCTGCCAAAGACTCATTCAATTTGATTATGCGCAATTTCCTTCGTGTGATCACACTGGACCAGGTGACAGACTTTCTGTTCTTCCTGTCCAAGGTGCTGTTGACGGCAGGTGCTGGTGCAGCCACCTATTATTTTGTCGGCAATAATCCGGCCATAATACAGGTCCACTACAAGGCAGTGCCCACAACAGTAGTGGTGATTGCCTCGTATCTTATGACGAGCGTTTTCTTCGGCGTATATTCCATGGCTGTGGACACGCTGTTCCTGTGCTTCCTCGAGGACTGCGAACGCAATGACGGCACGCCCGAAAAACCCTACTTCATGTCCACTCAACTTAGAAAGATTCTGGGGAAGAAGAACAAACTGCTGCCACGCGAGCGTCGTAGCCAGTAGAGTTCCATTTGCAGGACCACAGCAAAGCTATCCATTGTAAACGAGAGTGCAAATTGTAGCGTAGGAATGAGGGACGCTCTAAAGGGAAGGTATAGATACATAGGTTATACATACATATACGAACACTAATATATAACATAAGTTTACATTTGCATAAGTACACACATACATATATATGTTCAGTTCCACCATCTCGGGGTTGTGCTGCATTGAAGAAAGACAGAAAAGAGTAGCTATACATAACATAGAAAAGAATCTAAACAATTTGCCAACGCTCCAATTGATCTTGACTTTAACTTATACATACAACAACATATAATGTTTAATTGGAACTACGAGTTTAATGTCTTATTATCGTGTATATAATACGCGGCATACACTCATACAGACGTTTACGACATACTTGGATTATGCGGGTGCTTCAATTTTTGTGATAAACAGAAAGTATAAAACCAAAAGCAATATGCATGAGACATACACACATATAAGTACACATATTTATATACATATATATATAACATATCTCAGTCTAAGATACTTAGAAACATACATATTTTGTTCATTATCACACTAGGCAATAAAAAATAAAATCTCAGAGTCCACATATATACATATTTTTTTTTTATGGGCCTGAGCATCCTACGTTTTTATTTTATAATTTACAATATCTTGAGCCAATCTAAATTAGTCCAAACTGATAAGCGCCAACGGTAGTTTCAACATATTTACATATAACCAAATTATCTCCCAGAAAATATCCGGAACTTTGAAGTAAATGCAAGATAAGAATTTTTATTATAAAACTGTAGCAAAAGCTTCGTTTTCATTCTCGTAAATATATATTTATGTATTACGTAATTGATTGAATTGTATGATATGCCAAATTGCGTTGAAATTCCTGAAGAAATAAATATAGAGTTTGTATTATTAAGAATTTACAAATTATCCTTATAGATCGCTCAAGATATAGTACAGTATATAAAGGATTCCTTTGTATTAGTAAAAGATATATATGGATTCTAGCGTTAAATTGTTGCCTAGTGTACTTTGTTATGCACATTGGAATTTATTTTTGCTTTATTTAAATTTACAATTATGTGAGATTTTTATTTGAATTGAATAAAATTGAATTCTGAATTTTTTTGTTTGATGGCATTATTTTCATTGACCTCATCCTCACACATTTCTACATACATACAACATATAGTACATGCATGAAAAAGGAGGATGTTTGTTACTATCCATAAAATAGAATTTACCATTTGGTATTCATGACTAATTGGGAAAAACATGCTCCTTGCAACCATACCGTCTACCACCACGGCCAAAGCAATTGCTCAAATGCTCATTAATGTAAGTCTGATTTTGTATGACAGTGTTCTGTATTTTTGGATAGAGCGTGCATTGCTGTAATATTAATAAATACACACATGGATACTGATTTTACATATTGGTTTTTATTTTTTTTTTACGAATAAATACTGATCTAAATATGTAAGAGTTGGAGGTGTGTTTTTGATTGCAGCCAGATATGGCTATATGGATATGTCATTGAGCACACTGTCGCTTATATTTTGCAGATCATCGTCTTCTTGATAGCCACTCAGATCGAGGGAAAATTTGGGTGGCGACACATTAGGAGCGTTCACATCATTCTCTTTCCGGTTGCTAATATCATCACTCGTATTAAGGCTTTTGTCATTGAGTAAAATGTGCGGCAGAGCTTTATTCTCTTCCTGTTGCAGTTGCTCAATGGTGGCCAACGGCAATGGAACTAACGGTTCTAAGCGACCAGATGGCGAGGTGCTAAGATTTTGCACGTTGAGCGAGGAGTCCAATACTTTCATTACCGGCGCATTCTTCTTAGCATACAGCAATGAGTTGCTCGAATAGTTATTATTGTCTGATGTTCCAGGCAATCGTTCAATGCGCGTGCGATCCATGGAGCCGAGTGGTGTGAATGGCGAATAGGTACCCGCGGAGCTGCGCTGGGGAGACGTGGGAGCTTCGACAGCGTCGAAACCAAATGACGACTGCAACTGTTTCCATTTGTTGCCGAGTGCCGAAAGATTGTGCTGTGACACTGGCCTTGCTCTAGCTGTGTTCTTGTTTATGGTGCGCAGCAATTGCAGTGGATCAACGATTTTGGAACGATTTAGCGTACTGTTCAATTCGGCAGACTGTTCATGGGCCTTGAGTTTGCGTGCAGAGCGAGGAGGTGCGGGCACTGCAAAAATTAAATATAATTATATTACAAATGACAGTAAGAAATGGAAAGCAGTTTTATAAAGACATACCTAACATACTGCTGCCTAGAGCATCGAAAGGCTTAGCATTGAAATCATCCTGCAGAGGTAATCGCAAGTGTGAGTTGCGTGCATTGTTGGGAAAATCTAGTTTGATGGGTGGCGTTGATATGAATTTCATCATTAGCGAATGCTCAGCAACGCCAGTAGCTAGGTTATTGACATTTTTCATCGGCGTTCCCGGCATCTGGGGTGCATTTAGTGTGATGCCACTGCTGGAACTACTGCTATGCTCCTTCACGCGTGCATTTATCCCACGTTGCACATCTGTGAGTTGCGTTTCAATTTGTATCAATTCTTTGTGAAGAGTCTGCAGTTCGTTGGTAACATATTCATTGGAATCGTTGTAGTGATTGTTAGCGTCCAATTGCTCGGCTATTGTACCGCTTACATTATTAAAGGCATTTAACAAAGCATTCATTTTTGAACAGCCACCATCTGTAAAAACAAAATGAATAATAAATGGTATTTTATGTTGTGTTTGTGGAAATTTTTCAAACCTGTTGCTTGGCTGGTGCCGAACATTTTGCGCATGCCGCATAATACTTTGTCAACCGCATCCTGGCTGTGCTTATGCTCCGTTTGTCTGACCAGAAACAACTCGATGTCTTTTTTTAGGGTGCAGAGCGGCTCTTCCTGCTTCGCAATATGTGTAGTGGGATTTGTGATCTTTCGATCACAAAGCTGACGATTGCTTCTCTCGAAGCATTCTATAAAGCAGTCGTCCAGCAATTGCACTTTGTCTATACCAATCTCTATCGAAATTTCAGAAAATATCTGTCTGATCCTTTGTATGCGTTCTTGCAACATAGCCGTATTTTTCTCTAATTCCTCAACATACGCCGAAGCATATTCTTTCAAGAATACGGACTGCCCTGCCATGGTCTTCACACTCAAGTCACTAAAACTGAATGCGTTTGCATCTGAGCCCAGCGTTTTTTCGCGCTGCTTGATCAGTTCCTGTACCACAAAGCCAACCAGATCCAGCATAAATGTGATGAACTTCATGCCACCCGGCATAACAACTAAATAGGATTTGATATTGGCCCATTGCAAATTGTGCTTTTCGTTTAAATGCTTCAGATAGTCAACGGTGGAAGACCGGAAGCTGGCCTCAGCCTTCTTGTCGGTGATGGGCCAGTAGAAACGACGCCTGAACTCGGCCGGGTCTAGCAATCGGAACAAGTAGGGCATCACTTGAAAAAAAGCAGTCTGATTGGGTTTTATAAACATATCCCAGGCCACGCATTTATTCATTTCTTCGCTCATTGGATGAAGCAGGTTCAGGCCCTGAAGTTTTTTGTGCAGTTTCTCGCTCAGCTCCTTCTCCTCTGCCTTCCATGGCGCAATAATTGTGCGATCCATTTCGAGAATAAGAAACTATTTTATTAAATTGCTGGATTATTAACTTACAATGACAGGCGTTTACGCCGCCATATTTTAAAATTTCTGTGATCGAGCAAACTCCTAAGCCGCTAATTTAGCATATTCGCATTTATCGATACAATTATGCGTGCAGAAACAGGGTTCATCTCTATGGTATTGCATCCCTGGATTTGCAGTTTTTCGTTCCTGTGTTTGGAGAATTGTTGTGTGTGGAAGAAAGTTAAATATATTATTGAATAATTGGTAATTTTTTAGTTAATTTAATGTGTAACTATACATAACTATACAAAAACAGACTCTAATGTTTAAGTACAAAGAACAGTGACTGTTTTCTGTATGCAAAAAAGGGGCGGCATTGTGGCGATTTTTCCAACGCAGCACTTTCTTTTTGCCTTTACCTCTGCGGATGGAAAAATCAATAAAATATGAGTATACAACAAATTCATATGCACGCATATAGTACATGGTTATGGTTGTGCTGATTATCAAGTTTATGGCAGTAAAACCTTCCGATTGCTAGCGACAAATGTACATAAAACTGATAAAAAAATATATGTGTAAATAATTAAATATAAACAAGTGGTGCTCCAAACCAAGTGTACATCCGAATTAAGCCAGTTTATTATTTGAACAATTTTGAATATGTGAATCATCATTATCGACAGCAGTACAAAGACCAACAACTGCCGTAGTGTTGACGCATGCATTATTGTTTCTTTATTTTCGATTTCTTTTGCAGCAACTAGCGGCCAATTGTAGGTGTAAGCTGCCAAAATGGGTTCGTTATTTCGCAGCGAGGAGATGACTCTATGTCAGCTTTTCCTACAAAGCGAGGCTGCGTATGCGTGTGTATCAGAGCTAGGCGAATTGGGTCTGGTGCAGTTTCGTGATGTAAGTAATAGGCATATGTAAGGGTCTTATTCGTCATTTTTAATGCTTTAATGAAATACAAATTGCAGCTCAATCCCGATGTGAATGCCTTTCAACGCAAGTTTGTCAATGAGGTGCGCCGATGCGACGAAATGGAACGCAAATTGCGTTACTTAGAGAAGGAGATCAAAAAGGATGGAATACCCATGCTGGATACGGGTGAAAGTCCTGAGGCGCCGCAGCCTCGTGAAATGATCGATTTGGAGGTAGGAGATTATTGCAACTTCTCCTTAACCACACAATTCTTATATGGCTTCCCTTTGCAGGCCACCTTTGAGAAACTCGAAAACGAATTGCGTGAAGTTAATCAGAATGCGGAGGCATTGAAACGCAACTTCCTGGAGCTGACCGAACTCAAGCATATTCTGCGTAAAACGCAGGTTTTCTTTGATGAGGTAAGGCATATCCCATGAGTCAAATAATATAGCATAATATAGCAGATACAACAGCTAACAGCTTGAAAGGTGCACGTGGCAACGGTTTGGTCAACACACAAATCTTTCAATTAACATATTTTGGTAGAAAAAAAGAACTAACCAAGTGCTAAACAATAACCATGTGACAAAACAATTGCTATTGGTTAGTGGTCTATTGGCTACGGTCTAAATGTTTTGCCTCTTCGACCGTTTTGGTCCTTTTTAAATCTGGATTACACAAAAAATATTTGCACGTTTCCCTTCCCCAATGAGCCTCAGACAGTGGGACTCTCGTGTAGAGTGGTCCAACGTTTTTGATTTTGTACAGCAAGTAATTTGTTGCTTTTATATTTTGTATGTATGTTTATTTTCTTGCAAATTATTTTTTAGCACTTTTTAATGCGTTTCGTATGATTTGCTGCGCGCACTTTGTTTTGATTATTGATGAATCCCAATTTGTATATACATATAGATATATATTTATTTATTTATAATTTATTGTTATTCATTGTTTTTATATATTTTTTTGGTTATTTGATTTGTTTTCTACAATTTTGTTCTTCCATCTCAATTAATTATACATGCAAATTCCCTTCCCATAAATCCCGCTCCCTCCCACGTAATCCTGACCATCGCAAAATTTCCCATCCCACACACTCAAACAAAACAAACAACATATATATTCGACCCCTCGCCGGTTGTGTTGCCAGTCGGTGCCCACGATTTATAAGTCGACCTCGCATTCATCAAAATATCGGCGCTATCTGCAGATGGCCGACAACCAGAATGAGGATGAGCAAGCGCAGCTTTTGGGCGAGGAGGGCGTTCGCGCCAGTCAGCCGGGCCAAAATTTAAAACTTGGGTAAATATTGAAACCGCACAACATCAACCCCAATAAATAAAAACAACAAAAACTAGTGAACAATCTACACCCAAAAAGAAATGGAAAACTAAACTCAATACAGCTAACGGCATAAAAACGTTCCCAGCTACCATCAAATCAAGAAATAAAAAAACACCGAAAAATCCAACTCGTCTCTAGAGCTCGCTCGCTCTCTCTGTGTCTGTCTCCTTGGCTACTTTGCATTTTTGCGTGTCATTGTCTATGTACAGTTATAGTTTATATACATATTATAAATTTGGAATGTGTGTCAAATTTATAGATACATAGATGTATGATGTATGTACGTGTGTGTGCTTTTGTGTAATTCTCTGCTTATTTTTTTACCAAATGGAAAATAAGAAGCAATGCAGAAATCTTTGTGCTTGCTCCGGTGGCGGTCTCACTTCACCCTTACTTCACCCTTACTTCACCCTCCTTTTCTCTATCCTCAACTACTCGCTCTCTAATTTCTCTCTATCTGAGTACTGCAACTATACTAATCAACAGTTATATTGTTAAATTGCGGCAAAGGCGTGCAGCTTTTTATACACATACATATGTACATAAATAACTAGCTATGTAGCTACTAACTGTTTAACTTACTACATAAATAACATATCTGCAGTTTAGAAACTGTTTTGTTTTAAATATGTTGCCAACAACAACAACTTTCGACAAATTCTAGCAAGAGGGCGGTCTAAACCACACCACAGAATCGATGACACGCGCCCTAATTACCGATGAGGTTCGCACCGGTGCTTCAATGGGTCCCGTGCAGCTTGGGTATGTATCCAACTCATGCAATGCAGCCTGTATAAAACAATATGTATCCAAATACATATATATACATATGTAATAATGTGTATAAATAATGTGCAACAAAAAATTATTGCTTATTGACAAATGCTCGCGCTGCAACTAATTGTCAACAATAAAACTTACGCCGCTGCTTACATTAAAGAACAAAATTAATAGAAGAAAAAATCGCATTTAGCTTCTATCATAATCACAATGTTCCTGCCGGAGGGCGGATTTATCCTGTGCCATTGGAGCCCGATTTCAAGCAATAATTTTCTGTGCAATTGCAAACAAAACTAAAACACTACTACAAAAACAACAACTAAAACAATCGTCGTTTTCTTCTTCTGCTCCTCTCTTCCCAAAAATTCTTTTCCCCTTATGCCCTCTGTAAAAAAAAATCCCAAACCGATGACTTTACTTTTAGTTATATGGAAAAATCAAATGAACGTGAGGATTATCTACCATGGTTGGTACACAAAATTTATAGACAGACACATATGTACACCAATTCCAAACTAGACTAGGAACTCTTATTGTCTCTCGTTTCCTCATTTGTACATAGACATGTCACCGTGGTCATTAGCTTCGCCAGTTCGCCGCATCAACCTCTGAAAACCATTGAACCATTTTCTCTCCCAAAATGTTTTGCCGCTCCTAAAATCCAAAACACTCCCAAGCCATTAATCATGCCTTAACTTTGCTGCGCCCATTGGTATTTGTGCTTGAGAGTTTAGTTTTCCGTTTGGTTGTCAATAACTACATAAATGGTGTTCCAATTTTAAGAAAATTAACTAATCTTTAACATTTTTCGTTTTACACACTAAAAATAAATTCGACCACATAGCTTTGTAGCTGGCGTCATTCTTCGCGAGAAGTTGCCCGCCTTTGAGCGTATGCTGTGGCGTGCTTGCCGTGGAAATGTTTTCTTGCGCCAAGCCATGATCGAATCACCACTGGAGGATCCTACCAATGTAAGTGATCTCGTATTTGTCACCTTTTAAAAGGTAAAAAATAAAATTCTAAAGAAAATTCGATATAATATAGAATTTAAAAAAAAACAATACCTTTAAAGACGGCCTTAGTCTTAAAAATATGTTGCGTTTGCTCTCCAAAATATATCATCTTTTAAAACTTATGAAAAAATAGATCTTATGAGTAGACCATATTAGTCTTCTAAAACTTATGAGTTGTGTTCAACATATTTGAACCGAATATGATTGATTGGTATTTAATATTTGCTTTCTTTTCTTAATTTGTAGGGTGATCAAGTCTACAAGTCGGTGTTCATCATTTTCTTCCAAGGTGATCAACTAAAGTCCCGAGTCAAGAAGATTTGCGAAGGTTTTCGTGCCACGCTTTATCCTTGCCCCGAAGCTCCTGCCGATCGACGTGAGATGGCAATGGGTGTTATGACACGCATTGAGGATTTGAATACGGTGTTGGGCCAGACGCAGGATCATCGTCATCGAGTGCTTGTCGCTGCAGCAAAAAATCTTAAGAATTGGTTCGTGAAAGTGCGCAAAATCAAGGCCATTTATCATACTTTGAATCTCTTCAATTTGGATGTGACACAAAAGTGTCTAATTGCCGAGTGTTGGGTGCCGTTGCTAGACATTGAGACGATCCAATTGGCACTGCGTCGAGGTACGGAGCGTTCTGGTTCTTCAGTACCACCGATTCTCAATCGGATGCAAACTTTCGAGAATCCGCCGACGTACAATCGTACCAATAAGTTTACCAAGGCGTTCCAGGCATTGATTGATGCATACGGAGTAGCAAACTATCGTGAAATGAATCCGGCACCCTATACCATAATTACATTCCCCTTTCTATTCGCCATCATGTTTGGAGATTTGGGCCATGGTGCTATAATGGCACTCTTTGGTCTCTGGATGATACGCAAAGAGAAGGGATTGGCTGCGCAGAAAACGGACAATGAAATTTGGAACATTTTCTTTGGGGGTCGCTACATAATCTTTCTCATGGGCGTCTTCTCCATGTACACGGGCATGATCTATAACGATATTTTCTCCAAATCACTGAACATTTTTGGCTCGCACTGGCATCTTTCTTACAACAAGTCGACTGTCATGGACAACAAGGAGCTGCAACTGAATCCGGGTACCTCTGACTATGAAGGCACACCCTATCCGTTCGGCATGGATCCGATTTGGCAGATAGCCGGCGCAAATAAAATTATATTCCACAATGCATACAAGATGAAAATATCGATTATATTCGGCGTTATTCACATGACCTTTGGCGTTATCATGAGCTGGCATAATCACACCTATTTCCGTAATCGTCTGTCGTTGGTTTATGAGTTCATCCCCCAATTGCTATTCCTGCTGTTGCTCTTTTCCTACATGGTGCTGCTGATGTTTATCAAATGGAATCGTTACGCGGCCACCAATCCAAGTAAGCGAACGACAATCCTACAGTGTCGCCGAATCTTAATCCTTCTCTTCTTTTTGCAGTGCCGTACTCCGAATCTTGCGCACCTTCGATTCTCATCACATTCATTGACATGGTTCTGTTTAATAAGCCCAAGGATCCGCCCGAAGGTTGCAAAGTGTATATGTTTTCTGGTCAGGGCTTTTTTCAATCACTATTCGTTCTGTTGGCGATTTGCTGCATTCCCGTCATGCTTTTAGGCAAGCCCATTAAGATAATGCAGGCCCGCAAATTGGCCAATGTAAGTACCGACCATGATTATCACGCGCGCTATTCTTCAGTTTATTCATTTAGTCGCCATCACAACCACCAAATACCATAATTTCACATAATACTTTACAAAAGCTTACAATAACAGATATGTGTTTGCAATTCTTGTTTTTTACCTTGTCCCAAACTAATCAATCAACATAAACGCCAATATTAACCAAACTGCACTCCTTAACCACACACCCGAAAATAAATTAAACACCAAACCAAATATTAAAGGAAGAGGTTAGTTGTGTTGTTTGTTTCTCCGATCATTTGATAAACAACTTATTAATTATTTTAAAGTATCGTTTAACTAATGCGTCTCTTTTTTGTTAACAGGTGCAGCCCATAACTGGTGCCACATCCGATGCTGAGGTGGGTGGAGTTTCCAATGGTAGTGCTTCACATGGCGGCGGTGGCGATCAGCACGATGAGGAGGAAATATCGGAGATTTTTATACATCAAGGCATCCACACCATCGAATATGTGCTTGGCTCCGTTTCCCATACCGCATCCTATTTGCGTTTATGGGCCTTGTCATTGGCGCACGCTCGTAAGTTTTCAAGAATTGACCGCAAACTTGCACTGCTCTTATATTTTTTTATTTTTCTGCAGAACTGGCCGATGTCTTGTGGACCATGGTCCTGTCAACTGGTCTAAAGCAAGAGGGCTGGCTCGGTGGCATAATGCTAACCATTGTCTTCGCTTTCTGGGCCATTTTAACTATTGGCATTTTGGTTTTGATGGAGGGTCTTTCCGCATTTTTGCATACGCTTCGTTTGCACTGGTAAGCCGACAACTACCTTGAAATGCAAGGAAAGTCTTCTTCATTTCATTTCTCTTTTAGGGTTGAGTTCCAGAGCAAATTTTATATGGGACAAGGATATGCCTTCCAGCCATTCGCCTTCGATGCTATCATTGAGAATGGCAGTGCTAGCTCCGGCGAGGCCGACTAAGCCGGCGAAGAAAGCAGAGTTGATGTCAGAAAAAAACCAACCAAAGCATATTGAGAGTCTCATCGTCTATGCATCTAAATATAATCAATACGCTAACTTGCTAACAATGAAATGGAATGTACCAATTTCGTCGTTACCGTTAATTGTGCTCGATGTCTATTTAGTGAGATTAATCATGAATTTATTGTCTATCCACGCACGTAGCTTTTGTGCTAGCTAATTAATATATAAAGTGTTCTTCATAGTCCTTTATTGTGTTTATAAACTACAAATAAATAGCAAAAGCGCCCGATGCTCGGGTTAGCCCAAAAACAAAATACGTACATGACCCATTGTCTGGGAATGGATGGGAATGTTGATGTCACTAGCACATTAGCTCGGCCAGCGAAGATACAAATTTGCGCATATTCTCCGTGCCCCTCTCGTAGGGCTTCAGTGCGTTGAAATCAAGAGAGCTCAGTTTGCTGGGCACTTGATTCACTCGACAGTAGTATAAATACTGCTCGTCGGCCAATTGTTGGGCCAACTCCATCTGATGATTGTCCATCAGTTCATCGTTGACAACGATAAGACCGGCTTTTCCGTTCTCCAATATGTCAAGACAAGTACCAGCACCGGCATGGCCTATGATTAAATCGGCTTCTCTTATGTCACTTAGGTTGGGTCGAAAACTGTATTGTTCCAATTTAATGCCGTATTTTTTCTCTATCTCTTGAATCCTTGCCAATTCCACCGGTAAACTGTTTCCTTGCTGCAACACAAGCTTCTGGCATTGTCGCTTTTTCAGTACTTCTAAAACCGTGTCTGATACCATAATAGTGGTGAGTGCATCGAATTTTGTAGTGCCCACCGTAACATAGACGACAGCTAAATTCATTTTTGTAGTGCTATATCAATGGTGCTAAGATCTAAGATTTGCTAAAAACAAAACAGCTGAGCGTTGCGTTCTATGGTCACTCTCATTTTAAAGAGAATAGGTGGCTTGGGTGTCTGCAACGCCGTTGCAAACCGTTACATTTTTGAAATAAATTCAAGGGTATCGGTGGTTCTAAATTTAATAATATATTTCCTAACATACATTATTATAAATTTTTTGTAAAGTCTTACCTTTAATGTATAATAATAATTTAAATACCAACACCGCACAAACTAAACGTCTGTTATATTTCTTTGATCAGCTGCTGAATTGTTTCTCGAGAGTCGCGACTGCTGTCGCTGCACGTTAAAGCGAATTCAGTCTATTCTCAGCCGTTGCGCGTAACGGTTGTGTTCGCTGATGCCGAATTTTTGGTTTTTATTCGAAGACTGCGCGCGATGCTGAATTACCGGCAGTGCAAGCAACAGAAAAGCAAAATCATCCTGCGCTGAAGTGCGATTGTGATTTGTTTATGTTTAATTCAATTAGCAACGCGCGTCTGTAAAAGTGCGGCCGCTGTCCGAACCTTGCTTGGGCATCTTTCTATATACAAATTTTGTGTGGGTGCCATATGCCTCTATTTGCCATTTACATCTTATAAAGAGCATAATTATAACATAAACTAAATAACTGTAAAGGTGTGAAAACGCAAACGAGCCAAAAGAGAGCCGCGAATCAGGAACCTCTAACTTACACAAAAACACAAGGTAAAAGAGTTAATGCAATGACTTGCGGTCGCATATTTGATTTTGCATTGAAATTAAATTGTCCAATTGGACAAATGTGGTTGGCGTGTGGTTGCAGCGCATCTCACTAAAATGAATACAAACATACACATATACATATGTACATGTGTGTAGCTCATGAATAATTTTGTTAATCAACAGTTCATTTACATACTTTATATTTCAACACAATTTCAACTTCATTATTTTGTTTAACACTCACGTAGCTTAGATGTTGATGTAGCTTTATTTATTGTAGCTGTTCTTATAGCTAATTATTTTTTGCATCTGGAATAGATTTAAAAACAATTTTCGCAAATAAAAACTGCTCGCATATGGACAGAAAATTAAATTTATGAAACACATAATTCATGAATCAATAAATATGTGCCAAAACTTTCCTATATTAAGTTTTTTATGGTCCCCAGAATATTGTAGCGCAAGTTTGTTCGAGCCATAAATATTTGGCAGTGACTGCTGAAGACGAAGTGATATTATTTAAATTTTATGTTGATACTTTGCGCTTCAATGCTTGGCACAAAATTCAATTAGACCGCAAGTGCGAATTAGTGTATGGAGGAGTCAGCCCAGCCCAAAAAGCAAGCAACAAGATGATCTCTTCATTTGCCGATCCCGCAATTGTGGGTGGTGTTTCTGGTTAACGGGCATTGGTGGTTCAGCGGGCGTTCGTGCAATAAATTTATTTTTTATAGTCTCGTGCACGTTTCTTGCTGTTGTTGTTGTTATTGTAGTCACAGATAGGCGTGCGTGTGTCTGTGAAAGTGAGAGACGGCATCAGAGCCAAAGTGACGCCGCGGGTGACCAGCGATTAAATGTGTTTTGATGTTTTAATCAACTCTACGTATGTATGTATGTATGTACGTACATGTATATATATATATATATATATATATATATATATACACATATGTATATGTATGTGTGTGTGTGTTTGCCTGCGTCAGTTTCTTTGAAAAAGAACACTTACATATTTATTTATTTATGTACTTACTAATGCGCGTGTATAATTTTCGCAAAATTTATGTATCAACATCCCACCCAATACACACACAAACAAACATACACACATACAGAGACACGCCAATCTCAATGTCCTTGTATTAATTAACTGATTGCAAGCCATATGCGTCATCAGCAGCGCCTTACACATTTTATCAATGAATTATTGCTATAAATTTGAGCTGCGCTGTGGGATACCCAGCCAAGTGACCTCTGCTCCCCATATATTTATCCCTCCTCTCTATCTCGCTCTCAGTCTCTATCTCTATGGATGCGTCGTATCATTTGAGTTTTTAATGAAGGTCGCCATGTCAGTTGTCGCCTTTTTTTTATTATTGTTGTTTTTGCTATTACGGCAGTCGTCGGTGTTTAATTGTTGCAATTTCCAGCAGAAACTGATCAAATTAATGTCATAACTCAATTAGCCAGCACCCATAAACGTTTATACAAGTACATATGTATGTATGTGCGTGCCTGTGTGTTCATTTGCATATGTGTGTATTTATGGTTCACTTAATGTGGGCTTTACTTTTGCCAATGAATGATATGTAAGGTCGTGGATTACATTGAACTATAGTCTGCGACATTACTACCTTGTTTATTCTTTGGATCCAACTGTATAGTTTAGCAATTATGGATGGATTAGCTAGTCACAGCTACGTATTTTTGGAAAAATATATTACATATTAGATATTTGCAAGATAGAGATATTTCTATAGGTTAGACGAAAGAAGGATCTTACTTTATAAGAAACAATATACCTTTTAGTTAAAAGCGAATCTAGAATATAATTTGGTAATAATATGTAATAGATAAGAAATTGTGGTTATAGCGTGGTTATATATTTCTTATACCTACATACCCACCCTTGAAACTACCTGCGAAGAAATGTATACTCCGTGTGTTTCTTGATGAAATTTAAATGTCGTTGAATTTCACCAAATTGACTTCAGTAAAGTTTGTTTTATATAATGGAATTCTCTAGAAGTGAGAAAGAAAATAAAGCCCACAATCTTTTAGGCCACCCGGATCGCTTTGACTTTTGATAACAGCCGCTATTTGTATTATACCGAACTGAAATTCAAACTGGCTTTAGCTGCTTTTATATTTCATTATGAAGATTTTCAAATAAGTTGATTTCTTTAGGTAATTATATTTCCTGCCTTCGTTTCAATCTATATACATTATTTGTTAAGTTCAAGCGAGCTACGCACTTGAAAATATGACTAGGCTTTCTATAACTGGGCTGTAAATCTACAATGTACGTCGGCTAATTTAGTAAATTATATACTAAAGCTTAGCCGAATGGAAGCAGTTTCGATTCACAAGTTGGAAAACACACCTTTCAAGTTCTGAGCTTACCAGACGGTAAAACCAGCATCCAGTGCCAGTAGCATTTTATTGCGGCGCAAATTAGCTTTTTTCAATGCTGCAAATAAAACAAATCATTGTATATTCTTTTCCTAGTATTTGCGGTTGGAAATTACCAATTAATGTTAATTTTTTTAGCCCAGTGCTGCTTAAATGTGACGTAGGTCGCTTACAGCTTACATACTGCAATTGCTTATTTCTATTATTTGCTGTTTTCTCATAAATCTCGCATACAATAGGCGTCTAATATTTTAAAAATTGATTGATGGATCATTACATGAGCAACAAATTTGCAAAAGCTTCAGCTCAAAACTTGCAAAACCAATAAGTTGGGCGAAAAACATACTACGAAATGGAGTAGAATTGTTTTCAGATCTCTGATTATCAATAGAAATGATAAGAGAGAACTTAATACTAGACTTTTTTGATGGATTTGTGTCGTTAGTTTTTGGATTATATAATATCATACCAAATGTTTTTTATGATTTTGGTTGCTGTTTTTAAATTGCATAGAAAAGAAAAGTGTATTTACTCTCTATATATACAAGTAAAAAACAGTTTGTCCTGACTGACTGACTGACTGGTAATCAACGCACAGCCCAAACGGTAAAAGCTAGGAAGCTGAAATAAGAAGCGACTATGGAGGGAAAACGGGCTCCAAAGATTGTATGAAAAATCTGCAATTTTCATTTGATTGGCTTCAAACTGGGTTTGTGTAATCTATAAAAGAATTCAAGAAACACTGCATACTTGATTTTTCACAATTTTTCCTGGGGCAAGAAAAAGGGAAGGTTTCCCGTAAAAACATTGAAACACAATCAACACCCCACAGCCCAAACAGTAAGAGCTAGGAAGCTGAAATTTGAGCTCTCCATCATAGTGTAGGTGAGCACTAAGAAGGGATTTTGGTAAATTCGAGCTCTAAGTGAGGGAAAACGAGCTCCAAAGTTTGTTTAAAAAATCTGCATTTTTCCACCAATCAACTTTAAATTTGGTTCTTATAATCTATAAAAGATTGCAAACATGCAGTTTGCATGTTCGGTTTTTCGAAATTTGTGTTGCAGCTTGAATTATTGGGGCTTTAATATTTATTCACGTTTTCAAATAAAATGTTTGTGTTATAAATTTTGCGCGATCGTATGTATGTAACCAAATCTCAAACTTTGCATTCAAGGATTTTAAAAATATAGAAATGCGGGTTTCGCATTACAAATGCAGGCAGAACAAACAACAGTTGGGGACAACTTAGTATACATACAGACACATACAAGCAGCTGTTCGTGTAGTTGCGTGCAAACGATTGCAATAGTCAAATCAACATGTGAGACACTAGTGTGTGAATGTATGTATGTGCATATGTACATACATACATATGTACATACAATCGTCTTACACTGACAGGGTAAGAAATGTTAGTTAATTTAAAATATTTAACATTTTTAAAAGTAATTTTTTCTTTGTTTAATACATTTAGCATTAGGGTTTTCATTAATAACTTTGTCTTTCGTTATTTTTATTCATATGATATGTTAATTGTGTAATTATTTTTTTTTTCGACGGTCTCCAAATTTGTAGTACATATAAGTACTCAGCATATGTATGTAACTAGAGCCCATTGCATAAAATAATATTGCAAATAAAATAGAATGAATGAAAATCGATTTTTTTTTTACTCTATACAATAAAAATATCACAAAAATTAACGAATTAACAATTTAAGAAAACGGACAACAAGTGCCAATGCAGGGGGAACATGTCGCAACATGAAGTCGATCACACATTCAATATTATGTCGACTTTTTTGCCTTAAAAAGGAGCTGAGTTGAACTTGTTGAAGTTTTTTTATTAATCATATGCATAAATTATTATTTAGTAACGGTGGATTCAACTTTCGAAAGTTTTACTCTAGCAAATTGAGATGGGTGTCAGTGCTTTTTGATCGTGGCTCATCACTGCATGATTGCCACAAGAGTCGTGTTTCATATTCCAAGTTGATGTGCGTGCGTGATTGTATTGACTGAATAGCGCACGAAAAGACACAAAGGTGAATTTAAAATTGGGATATACTCTTATAAATATTCCCCATTTTGTACATAGTCTATCTTAAAACGTTGCGTTATCTCTATATCAAACAGTTTGTCCTGACTGATTGGTGATCAACGCAAGTATCCTTTCATAGTATCCATCATAGTGTAGGTGCGCACACACTCTTGGAAAATTCGAGCTCCAAAGGGGGAAAACGAGCTCAAAAAAATATTTGTTATAGCGGTCATGTTTAACGAAATATTTTGGCAGGAACAAAAATGTAATAGACTACTGAACAATTTTTTGTCAAGAACAGAAAGTGTTCATTTAAATACCTTAAACTCCTTTCTAATGGTAACTAATAAGGTGAAAACATATGGGTAGGTCATGCACACACAAAATAAATAGATACAATGTAAAACATTATATTGAGTCGGGCTAAGACGGGCAATACCTGCTAGTGTTCTAATTTATAGAAAGTGAGACAGATCAACCCATCTACTAACAGCTCGATGCTATTATACCTATGGAATGAATTGGACCAATACACATCCATTCATTGGACAAATCGACTATCATATGTCGGTCTGTTTCTCCATTAAAACACAAACTTTACGTAAAAACATATTTTTATAGCTATTATGCAAATCGTCGTGCTAAAAACTTGTTTATGCAAAGCCTTGCCATCAACCCCATCAGAGTTGCAACTTCCGTCGGAGTCGTAGTTTGTTACATTGTTTCCCCTTTTTCTAAACCGCAAAAGGATGTGCATTAAGAATTTGATCGACGTGACACATGCTTGATGAGTGTTCTGGGCCTTGTGCCAGACATGTTGGGGGATGTTGGTCAAAGAAACCACTTAAGTGGCAAAAGCAATCTCGGCTTTCGATTGCTAAACGAGGCACAATGTGATTGCAGGCCGACCTGCAGTTGCATATCACATTACCAGTCGTAAGTTCACCCTGGAACAATATAATTAATGGACATACCAGTACATAAGCCACAAATTTTAAACGGAAGTGTTGCTGTGCTTATCGTTACTTATCAAGAAACTTCTTCCTGCACAGAGGACCGAGCTATCATGGTTGTCAAGGATATGCCGCTACACGAAAACCTTAACATGGATAATCGTCGTGGCAATGCAGTGCCAGCGGGACCGACAGGAACGGTTGCAGGAACTACTACCACCTTCTCACGCACAGGTCGTCGCTATACACTGAGCCTGACTACGGCAGTGTTGCTGGTATCCTTCTTTCTTTGCACTCTGCTGGCCGTTGGATTCATTGTCTATAACTTTGCTACCTGTGCGCAATTGACGGCTGCTCCTGGTGAGGATATCGTCTGCACCAGCGTTAGTTTGCGACACAATAAGACTGTACATCCTGCTGGCGATGGTCGTCCCAAATACGATCGCGATGTGCGTCTGCCTCGTTCCATAAAACCGTTGAAATATAATATCACCTTGGTACCTCATCTCAGCGGCAACTTTAGCTTCGAGGGCAGCGTTCAGATTCAATTGCGGGTTCTGGAAGAATGCTACAACATTACCATGCATGCGGAGGAGCTGAACATCACGAAAAGCGATGTGGCCGTCTATCGAGTACTTGAAAACGACGATGTCGACCTGAACAACGCACTCCGCATACACAAGCAATATTTGGTGGGGGCTAAGCAGTTCTTTGTCATCCAGCTCTACGATAAACTGGTACGGGGTGCTCAGTATGTGGTGCATTTGAAGTTTAGCGGCATTATACAGGACTATCTGCAAGGCTTCTACCGCAGCTCCTACGAGGTGTTGAATGAGACTAGGTAAATAATAAAGAAAGTAAGCTTGCTGCCGATTTGATAGTCGCTATTTTCATCTAGATGGTTGGCCTCCACCCAGTTCCAGGCCACAGATGCCCGACGGGCTTTTCCCTGCTTCGATGAGCCGGCACTCAAGGCCAACTTTACGCTGCACATAGCACGACCTCGTAACATGACAGCTATTTCCAACATGCCCATTGTATCCACAAACAATCAGTAAGTAAGGAATACACCTAAGTAAATGTTCCCTTCGATTTTGAGTTGTTTCTTTATACCAGCAAGTAACTTGTAACGTTTATTTCTTCAACAGTGATACGCTGCCAAACTATGTGTGGGATCACTTTGCTGAGTCACTGCCCATGTCAACGTATCTGGTGGCTTATGCCATTTCGGACTTTACACACATCTCGTCGGGCAACTTTTCCGTCTGGGCGCGAGCCGATGCCATTAAGTCGGCCGAATATGCGCTCAGCGTTGGCCCTAAGATATTACAATTTCTGCAAGACTTTTTCGATGTTCCATTTCCGCTGCCCAAAATTGATATGATTGCTCTGCCCGAGTTTCAGGCTGGCGCTATGGAAAACTGGGGTCTTATTACCTTCCGGGAAACATCCATGCTGTATGAGCAGGGTGTGGCTACGGCTAGCAATAAGCAACGTGTGGCTTCTGTTGTTGGTCACGAGTTGGCTCATCAGTGGTTCGGAAATTTAGTCACGCCTAGCTGGTGGTCCGATATTTGGCTAAACGAAGGTTTCGCCAGCTATATGGAGTATCTAACAGCCGATTCGATAGCACCTGAGTGGAAACTGCTCGATCAGTTTGTTGTAAACGAGCTGCAGAACGTGTTCCAAGTAGATGCGTTATCCTCATCGCATAAGATTTCATTTGAGGTGTTTAATCCACAGGAGATATCCGAAATATTTGATCGTATTTCGTATGCGAAGGGCTCGACGATTATACGCATGATGGCACACTTTTTAACCAATGCCGTCTTTCGTCGCGGCCTTAGCAAGTATTTGCGCGAAATGTAAGTGAAATAATGACCGAAGCAACAGTTTTGACATCTACTCTTCTTTGCTGTGTTCAGGGCTTACGGTGCGGCCGCACAAGACGATCTCTGGCGTTTTCTAACCAACGAAGCCAAAGCCTCAGGCTTACTCGATCGGAACACAAGTGTTAAGGAAATTATGGATACATGGACATTGCAAACAGGCTATCCAGTAGTTAAGATCTCGCGACATCCCAACACGAATGCCGTGCGTTTAGAGCAGGCTCGTTTCGTCTACGCCAATAGCACCAAGGAGGACGAAAGTCTGCTCTGGTGGATACCAATTACATTTACTACAGCAGCTGAGCTGAATTTCAAGAATACCCGGCCGACCACTTGGATTCCACGTACGAAGATCTACGAACTGGAGAATCGTAATCTCTCAACGGCCAAGTGGTTCATTTTTAACATCCAACAAACGGGCTATTATCGCGTTAACTATGATCTGGACAATTGGCGTGCGGTTACCGAACATCTTATGGATCCGGCTCACTATGACGATATAGCCCCAGCCAATCGGGCGCAGTTAATAGACGATGTGATGAATCTGGCACGTGGTTCCTATCTGTCTTACGAAAATGCCTTGAATGTGACACGTTATCTGGCCTACGAAACTGATCCTGTTCCCTGGAAGGCGGCCATTACTAATTTCAACTTTATTGATTCGATGTTTGTCAACTCCGGTGATTATGATCTGCTAAAGGTGCTTGTGCCTCTTCATTGAATTGAGTACGTGATTGAATTTGAATTGTCTCATTATAGAACTATCTGCTGAAACTCTTAGAAAAAGTATATGCAGAAGTTGGTTTTGAGGACTTGCAGAGCGAAAGTGAGGATATGTTGTTGTTGTTCAAGCGCTCTGAGATTCTAAATATGGCCTGTCATTTGGGCCATCAACAGTGCATTTCTGAGAGTAGCCGACACTTCCAAAACTGGGTTCAGTCTCCCAATCCGGACGCCAATAATCCGTAAGTGCTAAATACTTAATACTTAAAATATGAAATTTGATCTGGTCTATCTTTTTAAGCATTGGTCCGAATCTGCGAGGCATTGTGTACTGCTCGGCCATACAATATGGTACCGAATATGAGTGGGATTTTGCCTTTGAACGGTATTTAAAAACCAATGTTGTAGCTGAAAAGGAGCTGTTGCTTTCTGCTCTCGGATGCTCAAAGGAGCCTTGGATACTCTATCGATATCTACGCCGTGCTGTTGCCGGTCAGCACGTTCGCAAGCAGGATGTATTCCGAGTGTTTGCTGCCGTGGCGAACAGTGTGGTCGGTCAGCAAATCGCCTTCGATTTCATACGCAGCAACTGGCAAGATATCAATACTTAGTGAGTAATGGACTAAGCACGGATTAATTTCTTATTTTTAAACTAATCTGATCCTCTAAATTGTTTTTTTAATTTCGTCACAGCATGGGCTCGCAGATTTCCAATATACACACCCTGCTGAAATTCGCCACCAAGCGCATGAATACGAAATTCCAATTGGTTGAGTTCGAGCAGTTTGTGCGCGACGCGCACTGGGATTATGACAGACCGATTCAGCAGATAGTGGAGCAAGTGGATATTGGTGTTGATTGGATGAATCGCAACTACAAGTCGATTGTAAAGTGGTTGCAGCGGGAAGCGGCTGAAACGAAGGCTATCTAGATGCCTGCTCGGATGACTCTAAAGCTGCGGCAGTATTATGTTTGAATGTGCATTTGGCCGCATAAGGATGCTAAGTTTAGGCTCACAAACACAAAGTGACGGGCGCATTATAGTCGTTTGCATTTACTAAGCATATTATAAGTATTTACAGATGTGTGTGTGTGTGTGTTTTAATGTTTGAGTAATGTCAGTTGCGCCGTTTAATTTGTCACGTTAAGCCAAAGAAATGCCTAAATCTGTAACACATGTTGAAAATGTTTCTAATGATCAAATATGCCAGCATCCAAAGCATCGGGCGCCAGCCTCGAAACTACAGCACTCGTAGTGTTTTACGCCTTTTAATGATCAATTCTAAGAATTTTTATATTTTTATTTTGTCTGTACTTAAATGTAGAAAACAAACACCGAATAACAAATATTTGTTCATAATTAAAATGGAATGGTTTTGTTTGTCTTATTTAATTGTTCATTTGTTTTTCACAGTATTTACTTTTGTGCTGCGCCAACTCAAAACATTGGAAAACATCAAGGTGCCCACAAAAACGAGTAGTGTCCCGGCCCAATGATAAAGGGTAAAGGGGTTGCGAAAGTAGAGAATCGAGAATAATAACGAAACAAACTTTCGCAGAGTAAGAATTAATGTAACCGTTAACGAAGTACATTCCGTGGTCAGAGTATAAACTGAACTAATGCAGAGATACTGGGCTAGGACATTGCCCAGCAAATACAGCAGCATGAGAGGCACAGCAACGCCTAGCAAGGGCAATCTATAAGCTGGGCTTTCGAAGGCGAGTGACCAATGCTTTGTTATGTTGTCGTGCAGCAATAAAAAGAAAGGAAGCGGAAGCAAGTGTGTGTAATAAAGAGCTTCTCGCCCTTGCTTTCCATGGCGTCTGTACAGTAGTTCCTGCGTAATGCCCATGTAAGAGGATACGAACAAGGCCAAAACAAGCAGAAGCACGCCCACGAACCACCAAAACATATCCGCTTCCTCGGTGGAATAAGAATCATTTCTTAACTGGCGACTAGAAAAGTACGTGCATATAAATATGCCCAGACTTATCATAATTACAGCTATATACTGACTAATCCTGTACTGCCGCTTAAGTATAAGGGTGCCCAGACACATGTTGGATATTAGCGAACCACCACGTATGATCATGTGCAACGTCAGCGGTACATTAAACTTAAAAACGTAGTTGTTGCACACGCTGGTCATAAAAAACATGATCACTAACAGCGCATAATCTTTTAGGCTAATTATGCGCTTAGCACGACCAAGTTTTGCAGTGAATATAAAACCTTCCAGTGCAATAAATGCAAATTGCGCAGCTGTTATAAGATTACCTGCTCCTGGGTCTAGCTTTACGAGCAACTCCAAGAACACTATCCCACTGCAACAGCCGACAAAAACGCCGGTTGTAGCCAAGGTAACACGTAAACTCATCTTTCAATCGGCTAAATGACTTGTGGTGGCCTGCAGAATTTAACAATTATTAAACAAATATTTAATTGTTCTATATTTTAGATTCACCTCCGCTGCTAACTAGGGCATTGTGTGTACGAGCCAACTTTCTTTTGACCACCTGTAAATCAAAACAAATGCCACAGGTGGCTTATCGATAACATACTCAAATTCATATCGGGCGACTGTCAGCACTAGTCGCATTGAACAGCTGTTTTGCTGCGAGTGAGTTTTATTTAGTTTTGTTTATTGTTTTTTTTTTAAGAAAAATGACTAAAAAGGAGCAAGCTGTGCATCCGAGAAAGCGCCGTAAGCATCGAACATGTAATCCTCAGGAATGGAAACAGACCGTCCGGAAACGCTTGCGTCAGTCTGGGAAATCGTATATAAATACTAGCGGTGTTGAAGTCAGAGAGAGAAATGTGCGTCCAGGCTGTGGCATCACTTGCCGTTTGAATTGCAGTGCACGCATAACGGAGGACGAACGAAAACAAGTCCATTGCCGGTTTTGGCGTCTAAGTGACGAGAAAAAAAATTACTTTTATTGGAAGTACACTGCACGAACTGTGCCCAAAAAGCGACGGCCCCAAACTTTAGCCGAGGGAGTACAACACGAAACCGTGATCAAGCCCAGGCGAGAGTACACCTTTCACTACACATTTGAAATAGGTAGCAGAATGGAGCCAGTTTGCTCTAAGTTCTTCTTTGCCACCTTAGATATAACTGCGCGTCGAATTTATTATTTCTATGAGCATCACTATGATACAGAAACCTGCACGCCACGTGACGACCCGAGACGCGGTTTGAATCCGAAGCCAGCACTGCCTAATATGGAGCAACGCCTAGATGCCTTACGAACTCATATAATAACTAGTAGAAACAATGCTGTGGAAGAGGTCAATGTCGCGAAAATGTACAAATCATACGCTGAGACTAGTGAAAATCCACTGAAAAAACACTGGTACTACAAGATGTGTAAGGAATACTGGACTCTTGGAACAAGAGGTAATAAATGCGTCCAAGACAAGAAAGGTGAATAAAAATGTTGACATATCCTCTATTTTTCAAGTGATTGATTAGATTAGCATTGTAAATAAAATATTTCGTTTAATCAAAATAGGAATACTGATATTTCTAAGAGTTGATATTTGTCCAAAAATAAATGAATAATTCAAATGTCAAGACGGTTATTACTTAAACTAAAAATTCAGCGTTTTGTACGTAACTCAATGTTTCTTTTCGAGTATTGCAATTATTTTATCCAACTTTTGAGCTTGCTGCGCCTCAAAGTCGTCCAGCCTTTTCGAAATTTTGCTCTCCAACTGGTCCAGCTTGGCACAGATGTCTAAATAAAGACTTGACATAGACATTTCCTTATCAGCGTTAGTCTTTGTTTCGTTTTGGATGGTTTCGCCCTGTCTTTGCATTAGAGCCATAAATTGCTGAAATTTCGGACCACAATTATCGGCGGTGCCACATTGAAGTAGCTCCTGTGTCATCTTTAAATTATTCGGATTAACCAACTGTGTTGTAATGCCATTTGGGTTGGGAGCTATATGTAACATGGCACCATAAATACAAATCTCTTCGGACGAACTTAACAGTTTCAGATTAATGTCGGCAATGCCGGAACGATCAATTTCTACATCATAGCGGTACGGTCTAATAGGTACTTCATCATCATCCTCCTCCATACACTCCCCATAGATGGTTTGATAATACTCCTGCGATGGACCTAGGAAAAGCTCTACTTTGGGCACACTGCAAACGAGTGTGAAGGCGGCAATTTTAAAACGAGGCGAAATTGCAATTTGCAGTTCACAAGGCTTTTGGTTATTCAAAAACAGCGCCGAGCGTTCCTCATTCACTACGTCATACAAGTCGGGCCTGTACCATTATTTTAAAAAAAGAAAGTGACTTAACAAACAGGCGTGGCCTTAAATCCTTTGTCTTACTTGACAAAAACATCTTCGTCCGAAATGCGAGTTGGCAATAGCTTGGAGATTTCGTTGCCAGCCGTTTGTGTCCAGGTGCAACTTGCTCTCACTTTAGGTTCCATAATTGACAAGGCCAAAGGCGCAAATAAAAGATGCTTGCAATTCAAACTGAAAGATTATTCTTCTTTGTTTACTATCCGTATCTGTATCTCAGTCAGCAAAAGACTGATGGTCCATCACCTGTTGACTTCAAGTGAGTTGGCAGCGCCTACATAATATTGCGCTTTCCGCCCACAAACCATTCACATCGGTATTGGTCATTCACAGTGCACTGAGATTTTTTCGTTTGACAACTATGACCTTGAGTGGCTCCCTTGTAGGTCATATTTTCGCCAGGCGGATGAAAGCGACAGTGCTGTGTTATAAGCGCACCTGAAAAGTATACATAATTTTCCGCAGACTTAAGCAGTTATCATCTAAAATGGGTGGCAAGTACAAAATTGTTATGGTCCGTCACGGCGAGTCCGAATGGAATCAGAAGAATCAATTTTGCGGCTGGTACGATGCCAATCTAAGCGACAAGGGTAATTAATATACAAACGTATACGTGATATCAGTCGATAGCTTCAATCTTATGCTTGAATTTTGCTTACAGGCAAAGAAGAAGCTCTAGCCGCTGGAAAGGCCGTCAAGGATGCCGGTTTGGAATTTGATGTAGCACACACTTCGGTGCTGACACGCGCTCAGGTAACGCTCGCTAGCATCCTGCAGGCTAGTGGCCACAAGGAGATCCCCATCCAGAAAACTTGGCGCCTTAATGAGCGTCACTATGGTGGCTTGACTGGTCTGAACAAGGCCGAAACTGCCGCAAAATATGGCGAGGCCCAGGTACAAATCTGGCGCCGGAGTTTCGACACACCCCCACCACCAATGGAACCCGGTCATCCCTACTACGATACCATTGTTAAGGATCCCCGTTATGCCGATGGTCCCAAGCCCGATGAATTCCCACAGTTCGAGTCGCTGAAGTTAACCATCGCGCGCACACTGCCATACTGGAACGATGTTATCATTCCACAAATGAAGGAAGGCAAGCGTATACTGATTGCGGCTCATGGCAACAGCCTGCGCGGCATTGTTAAGCATTTAGATAGTGAGTGGCCCCTAATCGCAGCTTAAAATGTTTGCCTATTGATTTTAAATTTTTTGCAGACCTCTCTGAGGATGCCATCATGGCTCTTAACTTGCCCACTGGCATACCTTTCGTCTATGAATTGGACGAGAATTTCAAACCAGTGGTTTCCATGCAATTCCTGGGTGATGAAGAGACCGTCAAGAAGGCCATCGAGGCAGTCGCTGCCCAAGGCAAGGCCAAGTAAACGAGCAAAATCCATATACAAGCATACAATAGAGGCACAAAATCGCTTATCACGGCGATTTAAGTTTAACCCTGACCGTTGACGCAACGCCGTCTCAACTACGCTTTGAATCATGATTAAACATTATAGTTGTTGTTATTCTCGTAGCAGTAATTGGTTCATCCCCACTACAGTTAATAAATAATTTATTATAACAAACAGATGGAGACGTACACACTAGAGTTTATTGCCCAACGGGCAGGGATGGACATATCACGAATCGTGGTAAATTACTTACTTTCGTTTATTCTTCTTTCCATCCTTGGCCAGTTCGAGTCCCAATATACATTTGGGAGGCACCTTATATGTTTCCGTAAGTAGAGTGTATATAAATCGAACTTGATTTCCCTGCACTTGCAGTTGTTCGTGCTTCTGATGGGGCAGTTTCACAATAGTAGTACTAGCGGCAGCTCCCTGTTTGCACAGCTTGATGAATTCGCTGAGAATAATGCCATAGGCTTCTATATTACTGACTAGGGTAACTTTCTTATTGCCGGATCGCGTGGCTAAGGACATTTGTATAAGAGGTTTTCCACTCGTATCCTTTCCACTGCACATTTGAAATGAATGCTCCATCTTGCTGGTCACAATGGAAGTAATTGTAACTAGAGTGCCCTCCTGACATTCGCACAGTTCCTGCAATGTGTCGTCTAATTTCACCAGTTTAGTTTGCGAATTTAGAAGACCATGCTTGCTCACATATTCGCGTACAATTTTCTTAATCTGACCCACCGGAATGCCCTCGCCACGTTTATAGTTCATTTTCGTAAAGAATGCAGCCGTGGCATCTGTGACCACATACAACTCCTTCAGCTCGGAATGGAAAAGTGGTGTCTCCGATGCTGTGCCATTGTTAGCTTCATTAGGCTTGACGTCCGTAATGAAGTTGACCACCTCGGGATGTTCCAAATCCACCGATGTGATTTTATCTACGCCCTTGCTCTCCTCGCGTACCACAAGGAATCCCTGGTCCACCATTTCGGCAAGAAAATTGGACAGTTTTTTGTAACGTGTCTTCTTTAGGTCGAGCTGTTCACCAGCCTCAGGAACAACATATAAGCGATAAAAGTTACTCGTCAGCAATGGCAGTGGTAGTTTTTTCCCATTATTCTTAAGCGCAGCCAGAAATGCATTTTTAAGAGTTGTTTCCGGGGACCCTTCCGGCGTTTCGTCATTGGTTGATGTTGACGGTGTATTATCTGCGCACTCCCTTTGCTCTGAGCTTATGTGCGTTTCTTCGGAGGGTACTAATGGCTCTACAATAGCAGCTTTAGTCATTTCTGCTTCAATTTCTGCTGTCGCTGCCACGGGCAAAGCTTTTTGCATCTTCTTAGGATGGTCTGTCGTGCCCAGCGCTGGAAAATTGTCCGGTGTTAGCTGAGACTTTGTCTTCACTGTCGGTATCTGTTGAGTAAGGCTAGGCTCATGACCCCAGAGCTTATCGCCAAACATGTGCAGCATCTTAACTGCAACTCCATGACCACCACACATGTACAACTCATCACTGGAGCGAGCTAACTGACCTACTCCAACTGCAGAGCTGTTATTGGTCAAATTTACAGCCACTAAAACGAGAGAGAAACGTTAGAATTCTGGAAAAACACACGAAAACCAAACGCTTACCCAGCTGTCCCTTTTTATAGTGTCCATACATACTAAGGCCGGTGCCCATGGGCACTACACCCGGCAGCATTAAATCAGCTCCATTTGATAGCTTGGGTAGTACACCCTCGAATGTTGTGAAAAATGGCAGAATGTTTGGCGTAGACCAAATGGTATATAGCGTGGGCACTAGCTGCCCTGATGTTGCAGATTCGGGCTGCTCTTCTAGCTCGAAGAACATAGGCTGTTTGTCCACACAGAAAACTGTAGTCTGCGAACCGCCATGTGTCAAAAGCTTTAGCTGCGTTACGTTTGCTTTTGCAGGTATGAGCTGTTCGATTGGTATGTGTGAAAACGCTTGTTGTAACCTCTGACGCAGCTTTTTGCTCTCCGAACCCTTCAGTGCCGTGCTGCTTTTCTGTCTGTATGCTTTAAGAAACATTTAAGAAATATAAGATTGGAGCACACGAGGGAAACAGAACCGCAAAAGATATGCGCAACCAAACAAAACAATTCACAATATTTGTCATTCACAGTAGACATAAACCAAAATGAAGATTTACTGTGCAATGGATTTACTGTGTACTGGGCTGTTTCGATACCTTTTGCAAATGCATTTAAAACACTTATGTATATATGTATGTACATACATACATATGTATATGTAGGTTATCTACCTTACATATAAATGTAGAAAAACATATTAAAATTAAAATGAACTTTTTTGAAAAATTGAATTTGAAAATTGTTTTTCAGCATAATGTAAAATTTTATTTGCATACAAATGGAAGTAGTTCCTTTATTTATATATAATTAAACTTGTAATCTATTTATTTTTGCATGAAAAATTTGATTTAATAAATTCTTTTCTTACACGATGTTCCGTCGACGTTGTATTGTAGTTGCAATCGGGAATATAATTTAGGAAAAGTGGTCTATAAAGACACGTATTAGTTTCTATATCTGAAAGTTACCCAGCTGTCCCTTTTTATAGTGTCCATACATACTAAGGCCGGTGCCCATGGGCACTACACCCGGCAGCATTAAATCAGCTCCATTTGATAGCTTGGGTAGTACACCCTCGAATGTTGTGAAAAATGGCAGAATGTTTGGCGTAGACCAAATGGTATATAGCGTGGGCACTAGCTGCCCTGATGTTGCAGATTCGGGCTGCTCTTCTAGCTCGAAGAACATAGGCTGTTTGTCCACACAGAAAACTGTAGTCTGCGAACCGCCATGTGTCAAAAGCTTTAGCTGCGTTACGTTTGCTTTTGCAGGTATGAGCTGTTCGATTGGTATGTGTGAAAACGCTTGTTGTAACCTCTGACGCAGCTTTTTGCTCTCCGAACCCTTCAGTGCCGTGCTGCTTTTCTGTCTGTATGCTTTAAGAAACATTTAAGAAATATAAGATTGGAGCACACGAGGGAAACAGAACCGCAAAAGATATGCGCAACCAAACAAAACAATTCACAATATTTGTCATTCACAGTAGACATAAACCAAAATGAAGATTTACTGTGCAATGGATTTACTGTGTACTGGGCTGTTTCGATACCTTTTGCAAATGCATTTAAAACACTTATGTATATATGTATGTACATACATACATATGTATATGTAGGTTATCTACCTTACATATAAATGTAGAAAAACATATTAAAATTAAAATGAACTTTTTTGAAAAATTGAATTTGAAAATTGTTTTTCAGCATAATGTAAAATTTTATTTGCATACAAATGGAAGTAGTTCCTTTATTTATATATAATTAAACTTGTAATCTATTTATTTTTGCATGAAAAATTTGATTTAATAAATTCTTTTCTTACACGATGTTCCGTCGACGTTGTATTGTAGTTGCAATCGGGAATATAATTTAGGAAAAGTGGTCTATAAAGACACGTATTAGTTTCTATATCTGAAAGTAAATTCACAATTTAATAAAAAATGCATAAGATATAGCGATTAAAGATGCTTACCTATGCTGGGATCATTCCACTCAACGGCCATATTGTGTAAAAGCGCTAGGGCAGTAATCGTCTGTTTGGCCGATCCAAAAGATGCCCATAGTTCACTTCCTAATATTGCAAATCGACTGAACCATTTATTAATTGCAAGCTGTACAGGGGCAAAAGTAGTGTGATGAGCAAGATTGTAAAGCTCCTCCGACTGCTGGCGAGGATATTGCACTGGAGTTAGTAAAAAGTTGCAATTGGAGTCGTTGTCGTTCCCCAATAATATGCGCCCCCGAAATTCATTCTGCTCGAATCGCTCCTTGATTCTTGAGAGAGAGAACATTTCTTTTGCTGTATTTAAATCTAGTTCGTACGATGAACGCATATCCAAGTCTCGTATTTTATGTGTGCTATCGCATATAACCTGTAAATGTACAATATCTTCTGTAGGCGATTCCGAACCACTTTGAGAGGATTCGAAGTCAATCATCCGTGAGTCCATGCGAAGACGTACACTAGCATGTTCAAGGGCACCGATCACTTGGGGCATATTCGCTAAAGACTGGAAGGAACGGATGACTAACTCCTTCTCGGATAATGTTGCTGGCATTCGAATGTAGCGTGAGGCCTTTGAAGATAAAACCGAGGCAACGCGTCGTGTTATTTTGTTCATAGTGGCCACACTTACGCCATGAGCCATTGCTGTCAGTTGGGGGTGCTATAAATAGATCTTTTTATGTTAACACAAGACATCCACAATCAGCTGCAAGCCACATATTTTACCTCAGTCCCGCCCCAAAGCCGAATTGCAGATAAAATTTGTAGATCTATGGGCACCTGATTCCTGTTCGGAGGCTTATTATAATCGATTTCCAAATCATCGCGGACTATTTCAATAATACGACGAAAATTTTCCTTCGTGTATCGGTATTTAAGCCGAAATTGATTTTCATTGAGATCAAGTAGTGGGTGGAAGCGGCGCTGACGTTTTCTTTTCATTCGAAATCTTTTTATCAACGGTCTTCCATTTGAGGATGCTTGAAATGGTCGAAAATCGTTCATATATTTCAAATCCTTAACGAATTTTTCAAAAACTCTAACTTCGTGCATTTTTTAGTTTTTTATCTTATCCTTCTTTTTGTTTATGTTTACACTGTATGTATACCGAAGGGGAATCAGATACGTTCAGACCGCGAATTCCAACACACCCCCAGCAATCAAGTAAAACTTGTTGTGTAAAGTACTTTGTTTTTACGAGTATTTTCGTATTTTCTGTTAAATTTGAAAACACGGAAAATTGCTAGTAAATGCATTTTATTAACAAAGACAGATAATATTTAAATAAAAGGAAAAATACAAGTTTCCTTTAACTTTGCTCTTGTTATTTTGTACCATTCTTTTTAACTCAAACTAAGTAGCGCCCTTTAAATTGCCCCGCCCTGCACCATCATTTAATCGGAATCAGAATCTGAACTGGCACCCCGTTCAGTAGCTGATGCAGTAGGCGGATCGTAGACGTGCAGCTGCTTACGCCAAATTTTCACCAAGCCATCAAAGGCCCGACGGCTGTACTTGCCATATATATTAGGTGTGCGTGGATGGTCCCGTGTACGATCAGTCTTGGGCACCGCTTCGGTGTATCTTTCATAGGCAGCAGTATTTTTGCCATAATCAATCTGTTTTTGGCGACGCGACAGGACGGCTGGATCGGTCTCGTATGCCGACGAAGATGAGGAATTTGATGAGTTGTTGCTATTGTGACGTACCCGTTTCTCTTCCTTGTGAGCCTTGAATTGTGGTTTCTGGCTCGGTTTTGCATTATCATTGGCTTCATTAGCTGATAAGGAACTGTTGTTCGGACTGTTACTGCGACTGTTCTCGTTGCTGGGCGGTGTCTGGGAATGGCGCCTCTTGAATGGCGTCTTTAATTTTTCTTCCTTGACCAGACGGTCAAACTTTTCCTCATTGACACCATCCAAGAACTCGAATGAGATCTCACGTTTGATTAATGTCTCTTTCTGGCTCACTTCGATTTGTTCATTCTTGACAAAAACACTCTGTTGGTTCTGTCCCGTAGTGCTGCCGGCGCTGCTATTGAGTGATGTAGAAGCCTAAAAACACAGTTTGTAATATACCTTGAAAGGAACAATGGGTTTTTATAAAACGTACCTCATCGCTGTTCCCAAGCTCTGCGCGTATTACTTCTTGCGCCCAACTGCTAAGCAAAGGTTTGGCATCTATTGAAATTGAGGAGCCGGACGAATTAAGGCTTCCGGCGCCTTTCTCTACTGTTGCATCGTCCACTGACATTATTTGATCCTCGCAGAACATGTTGCTTAGGGTGAATAATGACTTTCACGAGAAATTGAGTGCTACAAACAAATTCCTTCCTTCGTTGTTTGCGTTGCACTTCTCGACTATTTCTGCGTTCGCGCGTTTTTGTTGCTTTGATGCTGTTCAGGGATGCACATCACCACAGCGCTGCCATTTCGCCCACATTCTATTTTTAAGAATTATTAAATCTTATATGGTATTTGCTGATCTGGCAGGGCTTTTAACCAAGTTGCCTATTATTATGTTATCCACTACACCGGTTTTCAACACTTTAATTACCCAGGTTTTACAGCACTGCATTGGTGATTTAGCGTTTTTCGGCATAAAGAAAATCAAGTGTATATTAAGCATAGAATTGTTGGTTAGTACTGCATAGAAACTGGTAATTAAGTTGTATGTAGAAAATTTTTGTGCACAAATTTAAAACACGTCACCTACTTTTTTGTAGAACATACTATTTCCTGGAAAAATTAAGGGTAAAACATGAGTCTCACGTCCGCTGCGGGGATAATTTCCCTACTTGACGAACCGATGCCAGACCTGAAGGTGTTTGCCTTAAAGAAGCTCGACAACATTGTGGACGAGTTCTGGCCAGAAATCTCCGAGTCTATTGAAAAGATAGAGATGCTGCATGAGGATCGCAGTTTTCCGGAGAATAAGTTAGCTGGCATGGTCGCGTCAAAAGTATTTTACCACTTGGGCTCCTTTGAGGATGCCCTTACATATGCGCTGGGCGCTGGCGATCTATTTGATGTAAATGCGCGCAACGAGTACACGGAAACAATCATTGCCAAATGCATTGATTTCTATATTGCGCAACGTGTGGACTTCATTGAGAACCCCAAGGAGGCAAAACCCGTAGACGAGCGTCTCGAGGGTATTGTAAATCGCATGATTCAGCGCTGCCTTGACGACAACCAGTTTCGACAAGCATTGGGCATAGCACTCGAGACACGACGCATGGACATTTTTGAAGTGGCCATCATGAAGTCGGACGATGTGCGCGGAATGCTGGCGTATGCCTATAATGTGACTATGTCTCTCATACAGAACCGTGGCTTCCGCAATGAGGTGCTACGTTGCTTGGTTGGTTTGTATCGCGACTTGGGCGTTCCTGATTATGTAAATATGTGTCAGTGCTTGATTTTCCTGGAGGATCCTTTGGCCGTCGCCGAAATGCTGGATAAACTTACGCGTTCTTCGGTGGAGACAAACAATCTAATGGCCTATCAAATTGCCTTTGATCTGTATGAGTCGGCAACACAAGAATTTCTCGGAAATGTTTTGCAAGCTCTGAAGGATACGGCTCCCATTCCAACAGCCTTGCCTAGTACATTTAAGCCTCAAGGCACCAACGAAACTGCGGCCAAGAGTGATGACGAAAAGGCAAAAGAAGATAGCAAAGAGGACAAAGAAGGTATGATGCGATAAATGCGAATAAATCTTTGTACTTATGAGTTACACATTACATTTTTGATATGATTTTGCAGGCGATGCCAAAATTGAACGCACCATTGAGTCCTTAAACGATATGGAGAAGCTGCATCAAAAAAATATTGAGAAACTCATTTCAATATTGTCCGGTGAGGTCTCCATTGATTTGCAGCTGCAATTCCTTATACGCAGCAATCACGCTGATCTGCAGATTTTACGCGGCACAAAGGAAGCCGTCCGTGTGTCCATTTGCCATACAGCAACGGTCATTGCGAATGCCTTCATGCACAGTGGGACAACATCTGATCAATTCCTGCGCGATAATCTAGACTGGTTGGCTCGTGCAACAAATTGGGCCAAGTTAACGGCCACCGCCTCGCTGGGAGTTATCCATCGGGGTCATGAAAAGGATTCGCTGGCACTGATGCAGAGCTACTTGCCCAAGGAGACGGGGCCCAGCTCCGGCTACTCTGAGGGTGGTGCGTTGTATGCTTTGGGTCTGATACACGCAAATCATGGCGCTAATATTATTGACTACCTGTTGCAACAGCTGAAGGAAGCACAAAACGAGAATATACGTCATGGCGGCTGCCTGGGATTGGGCTTGGCCGCGATGGGTACACATCGCCAGGATCTGTACGAACAACTTAAATTCAACTTATATCAAGATGATGCAGTCACCGGTGAAGCTGCTGGCATTGCCATGGGCATGGTCATGCTAGGCTCAAAAAATGCGCAAGCAATTGAGGATATGGTGTCATATGCTCAGGATACGCAGCATGAGAAGATTCTGCGTGGCCTTGCTGTGGGTATATCGTTGACCATGTTCTCCCGCTTAGAGGAGGCAGATCCTCTGGTTACCAGCTTGTCTACCGATAAAGATCCCGTTTTACGTCGTTCTGGCATGTACACCCTGGCTATGGCCTACAATGGCACCGGCAGCAACAAGGCTATTCGTAGGTTGTTGCATGTGGCCGTATCAGATGTCAATGATGATGTGCGCCGTGCCGCAGTGACAGCTATTGGTTTCATTCTTTTCCGCACACCAGAGCAATGCCCCTCAGTGGTCAGCCTGCTGGCCGAATCCTATAATCCTCATGTGCGGTACGGTGCTGCTATGGCTTTGGGTATTGCATGCGCCGGCACAGGACTGCGTGAAGCCATCGCCCTACTGGAGCCCATGGTCAAGTTCGACCCTGTCAATTTTGTGCGGCAAGGTGCACTAATTGCATCCGCTATGATCTTGATTCAGCACACGGATTTGACATGTCCAAAAACCACATTCTTCCGTCAGCTGTACGCAGAGGTTATTAGCAACAAGCACGAGGATGTTATGGCCAAATATGGTGCCATCTTGGCACAAGGTATGTGTTAAGCTATTGTTTCTTGTGCCTCCATTCAAACGTTTTGCATTGCAGGTATTATTGATGCCGGTGGTCGTAATGCCACGCTGTCGTTACAGTCGCGGACAGGGCATACCAATCTTCAAGCGGTTGTGGGAATGTTGGCTTTCACACAATACTGGTATTGGTTCCCATTGGCACACACTCTTTCGCTGGCCTTTACGCCAACATGTGTAATTGGTCTGAATTCGGATTTAAAGATGCCTAAAATGGAGTTCAAGTCGGCTGCAAAGCCATCGCTCTACGCATACCCCGCTCCACTAGAGGAGAAAAAGAGTGAGGAGCGTGAGAAAGTTGCAACTGCTGTGCTCTCGATTGCAGCACGTCAGAAACGTCGCGAAAATGCCGATAAGAAGGAGGACGACAAAATGGATGTCGACGAGGACAGCAAGGAAGGTGCTGCAGGCAGCAAGAAGGACGATGACAAATCTGAAGCAACAATAAAAACAGATGAGAAGGTCACTGAAGAGAAACCCAAAAAGGAGGAAAAAGAAAAGAAGAGAGAGGATGAAAAGGAAAAGGAGTCGGTAGCCAGTAGTAGCACAAGCGCTCTATCATCGGACAAGGATAAAAAAGAAGAGAAAGATAAGAAAGATAAAAAAGAGCCCGAACCTACTTCTGAAATCCTCCAGAATCCAGCACGTGTGCTACGCCAGCAGCTGAAAGCTCTTAGCGTTATCGGTGGTCAGTCGTACGAGCCACTTAAGGATGTTACAATTGGTGGCATTATTGTGTTCCAACATACTGGAAAATCAGACGAAATGCAGGAGCTGGTAGAACCGGTTGCTGCGTTTGGTCCCATGGCTGACGAAGAAAAGGAGCCCGAGCCACCAGAGGCATTTGAATACTCTGAGGAATAAATGAGCATGTTGTTCGTCATTATCTAAATAATCTTGTTCTGATGTCATTCATACTTTTCACGAAATGTACTAAAACAAAATAAACTTAAACAATTACTTCAAACTAATAGAAATAAAAAATTGCCTAAAAAAATGGTAATATAAATAAGATGGAAATGAAGGTGATGGTCATATATAGACGCCATATATCACTCGCAAGCTAGATTAATACAATAATTATCTTGTGAAATTCCTATCCCTTATCAAAGTATTTGACTCTGCCGGTATTGAAGCGACTATTCATTAATTTGTATGCTGTTGCAAAGCTTTCAAGAGTTTGTTGGGATCGACAAGCTTTGAAATTCACTGTTGAATTTCGCAAGCACCGGTAATATACTCTTTTTAAAGCATACGTAGTTGCCACATTACATTAAAAAAATGGTTTTCGTCGATTTTATTTAGTACACTTTCAAAGAAAAATATTAATTGACTTTAAAAATTTAAAAGCCATTTTTTTAGCACACAGTGTTACTAAAGTTTCAAAAAGGACATTTAAAAAACGTTGCACTGATTTTTGTTATAAGGTGGCAACTCTTTCTTACTCTCACTATAAAAGCGTGTAATTCTCATTGTTGTCCTCAGTAGTTTTTCTTTCGTGCGTGGGTGTTGTTGTGCGCGCGTGTTTTTTCTATTTTCGTCTTTGTTTTGTGTTCAGAATTTCTGTAAAATATTACTAACAAAGAATAAGAGAAAACTTTCTAAAAACAATTTAAAGTCTTTGTAGTTGTGACAAAACGCCTAACGATTTAAGAAGAAAGGCATATTGAAAAGCGCAGTATTAGTTGTTGTTAACAAGCCAACAAACGGTATTTCACAGTGCTCGAAAGAGCGGCAGCCGTGACGAGAATTGACCTCGACCTCGCTTAATTGTCGATGTAAATTTTTTGTTGCCGGCATATAATTTTATTCTTTGTTGCTGTTTTCCCACAAATTAATAAAAAATAAGGAAAAAACAAAATTTAAACACATTGCTGTGGCTATCTAATATCTGCCTTCTAACGGTAAAAAGCCAAATAAACCACACATATATATTATGAACCGTACCAGAAGAAAAGTTGTACGTCCTGATAATCCTTTCAAAACTGCAAATGCCTTCTCACGCTGGAGTTTTTGGTAAGTTCAAACATATTTACTTTCAGACATGTTTGTTCATTCGATTCCTTCACATCGCTTATTTGCTGCGACTGGGTAGAGAGTAAAATAAAAACAACTTATGGTTCGTTATTGTTAATTTGCTGTCTCCCAAGGCCAGAGAAGCACGTGCCGCAATCAATGCGTTTTTTGTTGTTGCTAAATATTTTCGATGTGATTTCTTATTGTGAAGAGGTTACTCATCGTAGCCGCGATTAATTTTACATACATATCAATTACGATTTCTCTGCGAAGCGAATCGTAATGCGATAACATTGCTAAATAGTACAAAAAACCCAAATTCAAATTAGTTATAGTGGGTGTTATTAATGAAAACAAACTAAAGTTTTATGCGTATTCAAAGTCGCAATCTTATCTATGCACTAGCCTCTAAATACTACAGCTTACAATATTTTTATAGGCACGTGCCCATGTGTTCACTTAGATTAAAATTGCGGTAAATTATTGATTAGAATAACATTGAACAAATGTTGTCCCATGTGCTTCAATGAATTAAAACTTGGAAGCGAAACAAAAAGGCTGCGAACAAAACATGTCGCTTTTAAATTCAGCACTTGACAACTACATTCTAAATATACATACATACATACGTAGTAAATGGTTATTTTTGTCAATTTCACAATATTTTAAATAACATATCATGGCTCAGAAAAAATATGTGCTACCTTTTATTTACAACTGCATTCATGGGAATAAAAACGAAAACCGAATTCTAACATTGTCGACCCAAAAACCCTATGTTCGGTTCAGAAAACTCCTTTATGTTAATATTCAAATTTTTGTTTTTAGTAATAAACTAAATCAGTATTAATCCGTTAATTAAAATACGAGTTAGCGTTCACAATGTTTTAGGCTTAAACAAGAATGTAATACTATAGCCTAGTAAAAAATTCCAAGAAATATGGGAGCTATGAAAAATCACTAATTGCGGGTTTGTGGGGCAATGGACTAATATTCTGAAAAAACATTTCCTGCGTATGCATATAAGGCATCTTTATGCAAAATTTGTCGTTTCTAGCTCTTATAGTCTCTGAGATCCAGGTGTTAATGCGGACGGACGGACACACAGGGCTAGATCGACACGACTTGTCATGCTAATCAAGAACATATGTATGTACTTTCTGGGGTCGGTCATGCCTCCTTCTGCCTGTTACATTTTTCTTGTCCCGCAAAACCAATATACCAAAAGTATAAACATGAAAGTCTTATATATGCATACAAATGTACATATTTACTATACATTGATTTTTGAGTGAGTAGCACTGTTATCAGAAATTCTGTAAGTTGCCATCCTAGTAGAAATGTGCTTATATATGTTGTATATACATAATATATGTATATACAAATATAAGAGTATGTAGACGTTATCTAGACGGATTGCGTCACTAAAATATAAATATGTACATGTATGTATGTATTTTACATGAATAGCTAGAAACCAAACTATCTTAATTTAGTTTTATCGAATACTAAAAAGTTAGTTCCGGTATACTATTTTATAGTAATTTTATTCGTTTGTTGCTAAAGAATTACGAATTTTGGCTTATTATGTTTAAAGGCGTGGAACTGCCTGCACTACAGAATTTCACAAATATGGGCTAAATAATTTCTGAGGAATGACCAATAGATATAAACTCCTTATAAAGGACACATGGACAGAGTTTAAGGACGTACACATGTACATATGTATGTATGTAAACCTATGTACATATGTGTGCAAATATTACCAAAAAGCGTATATATGTATTGGGCGAGTGCTTGGCAATATGGCGCCTTTAAATGCATTTTATAACACTAATTTAATACTTGCTTAAAAGTTAATATTACTAGGTACAGATTATTGCAAGTTTTGTTTTTGAATAGGGAGTAGTATGGTCACAGGAATCGATGAAATGTGTGAAGAGGCAAAAAAGATTATAATAATTATATATCAAACTACAAAATATTGAATCCCTCGATGAAATCGATATAGCATTTAAAGGCAAGTATATGGGGCACTCATTTAAAAGCTTGCCTACAGACCTTTCCAGGATAGTTAGATTTTCTATAAATTTAATTTCTATCGTAGGACGCAGAATCGAAGGAGGAATTAAAAAAAGACTAGAAAATCATGCAGGATCCAAGGAAAAGTTAATCAAACCTCCATAAATCCTGAGACATATCTGTATACATTTGTGCTGACACCAAGTGCTGGTGGTGTATATGGTGATAAAAGTTTGTAGTGGCCATAACTTTTAAATTCAGCTTTTCGAATCGACTGCATACTGCCTGTCGCACACACAATCTCTATAAAATATTTACCATTTCAGTACAATGTATACGAGTATGTAAGTTCGCATTCATGCAACTCTTATATGGTCTATAATGCTCTCAGAGTTAATTCCAGTAATCTGCAGTTAGATTTGATAATTACTTTATTGTGCAGTGGCAGCAAGATATCAAAAAAGCGCACAGGCTTTTGCCATAAAAAGTCGAGGTAACTTATTGTATTATTTTACTCTTTGCAGGTGGATGCGTAATATATTCAAGCGGGGCTTGCAGGGTCCCCTCACAGATGATGAACTTTATCAGCACAGGAGCACGCTGGACAGTGAGCGCGTGACCAATAAATTTCATGATCTATGGGATGATGAGCTGAAGCGTAAAAATCCCAGTGTGGTGCGCATGATGGCACGGGCCTACGGCTGCATTTTTGTACCTCTGGGTCTGTTTTATTCCCTCTCGGAGTCATGTTGCAAGTGCGTATTATTTTGATGACACGAATTCCGTAAATGTTCATATCGATCTGTTCTTTCTTACAGGTGTCTTATGCCGCTATTCTTGGGCGGTCTGGTGGGCTACTTTGCTACCAATCAGAATACGATAAGCACAACGGATGCTTATCTTTATGCATTGGGCATTGTAATATGTTCGCTGGTGCCTGTGATCACATTTCATCCGTTTATTTTTTACATATTCCAAGTGGGCACCAAACTACGCCTTGCTCTCTCGGGCCTCATTTATCGCAAGTGCCTGCAATTGTCAAAGAGCAGTAGCAACGATGGTCTACGTGGACGCGCCATTAACATACTATCCAACGATTTGGGTCGCTTTGATGTAGCACTTTGTTTTCTACACGATACGTGGAAAGGACCGGTGGAGTCGCTGTTGATTGGTATGCTGATGTATCGCGAGATCGGCATATCGGCGGTGATTGGAGTTGCCTTCATGCTCAGCTTTATTCCACTGCAGGCGTGGGCAGCGAAAAAGGCTGCTTATTATCGTCAGATGACTGCCGAGCGTACAGATTTGCGGGTGAAGCTAATGAATGAGATTATTCAGGGCATACAGGTCATTAAGATGTATGCGTGGGAGAAGTCCTTTGCCCGTATTATTGCGGAAGTGCGTCTGAAGGAAGTGAAGGCCATTCGAGGTACTTCGTACATTCACGCTGCCCTTAGTTGCACGTCCATGATCTCGCCTATGTCTGTTTTTCTGGCTCTTGTCTCCTATGTCTACTTGAGCGATGCTATCACTGCACAGAAAGTCTATATCGTGTCTTCGTATTTCAATATGCTAAACGATTCAATGGTGCATTTTTGGCCACTTTCATTAACTTTCATTGCCGAGGCGTTTGTCTCTGCGAGACGTTGTAAGGAGTTCCTGCTGGAGGGTGGAAAGGTGGAGGCGTCCATCACTTCAGAGCCCAAACAAAAACAGGCGAAGAAGGTGCGCAAGTCAGACGAGGTAGACAGAAAAAAGAATGTCGAACTGAATGGCTCATTGCTGAGCACTGAAAACCTGAAACATGGACGACAGCGTGACTACAACCCAGAGGCAACCAAAAAGTGTGTTGTGATGAAAAATGTAACAGCCACATGGGATACCAGCGACGGTCACAAAAACTGTGCAATCGAAAACTTCAGCACGGATATACAGGACAACACTTTGGCCGCCGTGGTCGGACCCGTGGGTGCAGGCAAATCCAGTTTTCTGAATGTTTTGCTTGGCGAAACGGACATCGATCAGGGTGAGGCTCTGGTGCATGGCAAGATCTCCTATGCCGCCCAAGAGGCGTGGGTATTTGAGGGTACCATACGCGACAACATTGTCTTTGTTGAGGACTACAACGAGCGACGCTATAAAAAGGTCATAAAAGTATGCGCTCTGGAGCGGGATTTGGAGTTGTTGCCGCGAGGAGACCTGACTGTGGTGGGTGAGCGTGGTGTCAGTCTGAGCGGTGGGCAGAAGGCACGCGTAAATTTGGCACGTGCTGTTTATCGAAAAGCGGACATCTATCTGCTGGACGACCCTCTCTCAGCTGTGGATACGCATGTCGGTAAACATATCTTCGATCGCTGCATACGCGAATTCTTGTCGAACAAAATTCGCATATTGGTCACTCATCAGCTGCAGTATCTATTCGATGTGGAGCAACTGCTCCTAATGGGAACCGGCAGGATCGTTGCCCAGGGTAGCTATCAGCAGTTGCAACGTTCACGCCAGTTCCAGTTCCTAGAGCAAACGCACGACGAGAGCGGCATCGATACGCATAGCGTCAGCAGCCATTTGTCGCGCAGTGATTCTGAGAAGAGCATGGAGCATCATCAGCACAATCAACTGCTGCGACCGGACGAGGAGGTCGAGGAAACTAATCAGGAGCAACAGGCTGTCGGTGCGGTTGGCTTCAATGTGTATGCTTCCTATTTCAAGGCGCTGGAAAGCACATTTCTGCTAGGACTCATTGTTACGCTTTTCATCAGTGCAAGGACGATGCTAACGGGCGTCGATTACTTTTTATCTCGCTGGTAAATAAGGTCAAACCTTACTTAGTTGGACCCTAACTAACTAAACTGCTGTTCTTTAAATCCACAGGGTCATCTGGGAGGAGAAAATTGCAGTTAATGGAAGCAGCAACAGGGAACCCTTAATGGCGAATCGCACTACTTTGTCTGGGAATGGTACAGAAGCCGAAATTTTCGAACCATCAGTAAATGACACGGTACAGTTATCTGGAAAGGAACTTAACAGCGTTGACGAAGGCATACGACAGGAGCTGGTTATTTTCTATGCTATTATACTGAGTGCCACAATGATTGTTTATCTTATGCGCACGTACGGTTTCTTTAAAATGTGCCTGCGCATTTCATTGCGTTTGCATGATCGTCTCTTTCGGGGAATCACACGCGCCACGATGTACTTCTTCAACACGAATTCGTCGGGTCGCATTCTTAACCGTTTCTCTAAGGATATACGTACCGTGGATACGGATTTGCCTCATACTCTGCTGGATTGCTTATCGGTAGGTATATGCCAACAATATTGGCTCACTAAATCGTCATAATATACGAGTATCACATCATTCAAACATTTTGTGGAATAAGATTTGTGGAATAGTATTTCTGGTTTAGTAAGAGCTACTAGTAATAAGTTTAAAATATTTAAGTACTGAATATTTCCTTTCAGTTTGCTATTGATGTTTCCGGTGTGCTGGTAATCGTAGCGATCGCCAATTATTGGCTTTTGGTGCCTGCTGCGGTGATTGTACTGCTCTTAGCGAGCATACGTTATCTCTATGTCAGCACAAGTCGCAGTGTCAAGCGTCTGGAGTCCATATGTAAGTCTATCTTGATTAGTACGTCATTTATAATAGAATCAATATTAATTTTCTTACGTCCGTAGCTCGCAGCCCAGTCTATTCGCTGACCAATCAAACTTTTCAGGGACTTACCACCATACGCGCCTTAGAAGCACAAGCTGTCTTGGAAAGCGAGTTCCATGAATATCAAAACAATAACACGTGCGCCTGGTTTCTTTTTCTATGTTGCACTCGTGCCTTTGCCTTATGGACTGATCTGGTGTGCGTGGCCTACATTAGTGCAGTGACGTTCAGCTTTCTGTTGTTGCCAACCAACTTCAATAGCGGCGACGTAGGTCTGGCTATTTTACACTCCACTACTATGATTGGCATGTGCCAGTGGGGCATGCGTCAGACGGCCGAATTGGAGAATCAAATGACCAGTGTAGAGCGCGTCTTGGAGTACACAGAACAGCCATCGGAGCCCCCACTTGAGACGGCTGAAAAGCTCAAGTTGAAACCGGAGTGGCCCACCAAAGGACGGATAGAGTTTGTTAACTTCAAGCTACGATATTCGCCCAAAGAGTCCTGCGTGTTGAGGGATCTAAACTTTACTATTGAACCCAAGGAAAAAATTGGCATCGTTGGTCGTACGGGAGCAGGAAAATCATCGATTATACAGTCCATCTTTCGGTTGGCTTGCAACGACGGCATGATTCGCATTGACGATCTGGATATAGAGCACATAGGTCTACACGATTTGCGTAGTCGCATTTCGATCATACCGCAAGATCCAGTGCTCTTCTCAGGCACACTGCGTTACAATTTGGATCCGTTGGATGAGCGCTCCGACGAGGATATGTGGAAAGCATTGGGAGATGTGGAGCTGCGCTCATATGTGTCGACATTAATTGGCGGCCTTAATTGTCGAATGTATGATGGGGGTTCGAATTTCAGCGTGGGTCAGAGGCAACTGGTTTGTTTGGCACGAGCTATACTAAGAAATAACCGGATCTTGATTCTGGACGAGGCAACGGCCAATGTGGACCCAGAGTAAGTTAAAAAAACAAACTTTTTTTTACATAGCTTATTTGTTCTTTTTCATCTGTTCAACAGAACGGACAAGCTCATACAGAAAACAATTCGTTCAAAGTTCGCCAACTGCACCGTATTGACCATCGCTCATCGGCTGCACACTGTTATGGACAGCGATCGCGTGCTGGTAATGGATGCAGGAGAGGCGCGAGAGTTGGGTCACCCGTATGAATTGCTGCAACGGCCAGGTGGCTACTTGCGCCAGTTGGTAGATCACACAGGCGCATCCACTTCCATTGCACTGCAACAGGCAGCCGAGGAAAGTTACCTCAAAAGAATGCTGAATAATGAAACTGGTGCTCAAGACATGAATATCTCATTGAATTTACAGGAACAAAAAGAATAGCCCATAATTAAATGCACAAACAAACACGAAATATAACTTCAGATTATAGGAGCCTGAGAAATGAAAGTATTAGCGCTGATTGATGGCGCAACCCGGTGATGAATGTACATAAGACTTGTACTTAATGTTACTTAACTTTTTCGTTTGTACCACCTATGTATGTGTATATATGTAAATGTTTTCCATACATACTGTTTTAGATCAAATCGTTTGGAAAATCTCGTTATCGTGCTTGATTATTATTTGTTACTTAAGGTCTAAAGCGAATTTATGTTATGTCACACTTGTTAACGATTACATCGAAGTTGTGTTCAATTATCCCAGAGCTCGAGAGCAATACACAAGCCAAGTGCACAAATCCCAAATATATATGCGAATAGAATATTAGGATAACAAACAGTGCTATTTTTTATATACACAATGTTTCTGTGTAGACTAATTCTTTCGTACTTATCATATGTATTTACTGCTAGTAATTATACAATCTCAATAAAGTGCCTGAGCAATATTAAACAAATCTATCATTTTGTCTTTTATAGTATATATATACATAGAACTTTATAGGGTTTTGAGAAAGTTGTCGAAAATGATTTGAAGAAATTGATGAAGACCCACATCGTTGGTGGTTCAACTATGTTTCTCCATCTAGTCCATTTGCGGTGGTTCAGTGTACAAAAATGTGCAGATTGGAAAATAATACTCTTCATATATCAAGTCGGAGTCTCCATAGGTTTATTCTCAGGATAATTTTTTAAATTGTGCAAGTATTTGTTTTAAGTCGGCCATTGTTAATAGTGTGCTCCTAAAAGTATGCAATCCCTGCATACAACTTTATAATCGCAACTTTCACTTTCGATTAAATTACATTTCCACTGCGAATTAGTGGACTTGCAACTCTTCTTAAACAAATGACGATTTTTTTCCACGGGTTGCCTGCAGGTGGATAGAAAAATGTGGGGCTTATGCTGTGAATGGTGATAATTGAAGCGATTCACCAAGTTTTCGTGCATACAGAATAAAATTAAAATACTTCTATTCCTTTTCCATTTTAACTAAATCTGCTGATTGCGAAGATTGTAAAAAAATAAATATGCTACATATTATAAATAAAGGGCCAAGCAATCAGAAATAAAAGCAAAGTTAAAGGCGTTTAAATAATAAAATTGACACAATTTCTCTAGAGATTTACTGGACTTAAAGAATGCACACTTAAGCTGCTTTAAAAGGAATGGATAAACATAAGGCTAAATTTGTCTATGTTTTAAATCACAGTACCATCCAAATGTTTGCTCTTGATACTAAATTAAAGAGAAAGTTTTTGTCTGAATATAAAAAAGAATGCAATGGACAGGCCCATTTAAATTAAAAGGCAATCAAACCTGCTAGATCAACAATTCTTATTAGATTTCAATTGCAAAAGAGATTGGTTGCAAAATCGCACTATTTGGGGGGTACGAAAATGATGAAAAGCTTTCTGCAAAATTATAAATATATTATGCAATAAATATGTAAGGGTTGATGAGCTGACACTTTTTTAAATAAATAGATAAAGAATTAAAAAACATAGTATCCAAGCAGCGCGCCCGCTCAGTGAGTATTTTGTAATAAATATGTCTAGTTTCAATTAAAGCTGTCAACTCTTGACTACAGTAATGAATACAAATAAAAATCTTGAGCAAGATAAGATATGAAACTACGACGGACGGGCATGAGTAGGAAAATGTTGCTGCTGCATCCGAAAATACGGAACGATCGGACAACAAGTGGTAAACAAAAATAAAATTTCCAGCAGGCAAAATGGCTGCGGCTGCCAACAATGATGGGTGGCTGTCAGTGGGAATTTTGATAAAAGCACCACTAGCTGCGATAGACTGGTGTGCGGATCTTTGATTTATAACAATGATTCGGAACATAGTAGTAGTAGTCGTGCTGTTTGGTTAAATATCAACTGCTATGGCGCGCACCGACTCAGTTGCAATTGAAATCGCGTACGGTTCGGTGGAAAAAAAAAGCTGATTAAGTTTGAATTTGTGAATGGTGAAAAGAAGTTCTTTTTTATATAAATACATACCTATTTATATACTTACATAATCGTATATATTTATATGGTATTTGGAACTTCAATGCATGCGATTTATTCTAAAATGCCAAGATGAATTCAACGATAAACCGGAATCGAAAACCGAATCCGCGACTGCAGGCCAACTTTTTCTCGAAGTGGTTCTTTATGTGAGTGTAAACGCAAATATTAAAGAGATTTGAAAGTAATCTTAGTAACAGGATTATCAGCTAAGCAAACTTTATGGATTAACAGTGAATTGTTCCTCCCATTATTTTTTTAAAAAATAAATTTAGAAGCATATATACATTTTTTGTGTAAAGCTAATGCGACCTCTGTGGCGTATGAGTAATATTTTGAAATTAATGAAATATTTGCCAAACCCCTGAAGAGTTTTAAAGCACGATTGGCATTTTGTGGTCACATCCTATTACCATGATAAGATAATACTGCTAAGGTAGTCTGGTCCCATAGATTTATGACGAGCGACTTGTCCGCCTTGTGACAGCTACATACATTCAATTTATAACCCCTCCGATAAAACAGAATTCGGTGCGATATCACAATGAATTAAAGCAAAAACCATTCAAACACTTGACTATTCCCAGCTGGACACGAGAGATTTTGAGACTAGGTGTGAAGGGCTGCGTACAACCTGCGGACTTATATGCCCACGTGCCATCGCTGGACAGTGCGCAGGTCTCCCATTCCCTCCATTGGGAGCTTGAGTTGCAGCGCAAGCGACCTAATCTGCTGCACATGGTATTCAAGGCATATGGCAGTAGTTTTGTGCCCCTCTGCATCGTCTATTCACTCCTGGAGATTGCAATACAGTAAGTGTGTGTGCCCAATGTCCTGATGTCAGATTAAAAGAGAGAAATAGAAAGTGAAACAGATATGAAACCTATCTTTGTGAAGTGCCTTAAGGTTTGTCTTTTCAACTTCAAATAAAATTAAAGCAAGAGAGAACGCTACAGTCGAGCAAGCCCGACAGTGAAATATCCTGTACCCAGCAAAAGGAAGAAGAAGAGCGAACTTGATGCTGCAACTTGTGGGCATAGTACCGGAGTACAGGCTAATAACTGTTCTTAGAATTAACCGATTTAGATGTGAAATGTGGACGGTATTGACGAAATTCTGTAGCGGGGGAAGGGCGGGAAAATGAAAAAAATAAAATAAACTCATGAAGCCTAGGGACTAGGAGCGTCTACATACCAAGTTTGGTAAATGTGCGCTCAACCGTTTCCGAAATCCAGGCGTTCATCCAGACGGACAGACGGATGGACGGACATGTCTAGATCGATTTCTCTCATCACGGGTACAGGGTATAATGATATGTAAAAAGTTCGTTTGTTTATCCGATCTACAAGTAATTGTATCAATTAGAAAAACTTATTTTTACTATTTATTGAAAATCAGCACTTTTAATACAGCACTTAATCAATGCCACTTTGAAGAGTAAAAATGTAAAATTAAATTAAAAGCACGGCCCTTATCGGCACTTCCTAAGAATGCCAAATCATTATCATTTGTTAGCATCTATATCTGGTTTAGTCATAGCCGTAAAATCAGTGCCTTTTAATAATAGAAGCGTCAAAACAATCGGACTTTTTTTTTGAAAATAAAATTAAAAGCTCGGCTTTTTTCCACACTGCTCTTACGAACCACTTCACCGAAGCTACTTTTAGCTGCTTCTTCTTCTTCTTTTTTGCCCAATAATTACAACACTCTTTCTCCGTCCGTCTGTCTGTCTCACCATAACTTTTGAAAAATTACAACTCTATAATAATAAATAACTCTAGTTTATAGAATTCGTTGTAGCCAGAAAATAAAGTGAAACAATTTGTGGAGCTGGATTTTCCATCCGGTTGTTAATAAAAAAAACAACCTTGTCCTGTCTTGGGAATATCTATAAAAATACCCCTCTGATTGAGGGTATAAAGGGCATTGTTTACAAGTAGCTGAGAAAAAAGGTCAGGGAAGGTATGCGAAAGAAATGTGTTTCTAAAAGAGGTCTGCCTAGAACTAACACATTAGCACACTAGCTTTCCCTATCTTCCAAGCCCCTATGCTGACGAAAACTAATCAAGCTTTACTAATTTTAGTGCAACGCAGCCGCTAATGCTTGGCGGACTGGTCAGTTACTTCTCGGAGAGCGGTAATGACGTATCGAAACGTTCAGCGTATTTATATGCCATGGGCGTGGTGCTTTGTTCGTTGATTACGTCGCTCTGCTACCATCCGTTCATGTTCCATATGTTTACCGTGGCGACCCGGATTCGACTGGCCTGCGCCGGATTAGTCTATCGAAAGTGTTTGCGCGTCTCTGTGGCTGCCGACAATACTGGGATGAGTGCCTATGCCATAGCGATAATGTCCACCGATTTGCCGCCGTTTAGGGAGTCCTTTTACTTTTTCCATAATCTGTGGTCGGGCCCATTGGAGGCCGTTGTTTTTGGTTACATAATCTACAAAGTGATTGGCTGGCCCGCACTGGTGGGCATGACCACCCTGATACTCTTTATACCATTCCAGGCGTGGGCTGCCAAGGCTACGGCCCGTTTTAAGCGCCTGTCGGCCGAACACGGTGATGAGCGTGTGAAGCTCATTGGAGAGATTATATCCGGCATGCAACTGATTAAAATGTATGCTTGGGAAAAATCGTTTGCCAAGCTAATTCAACGCGTGCGGAAGAAAGAAATGGGAGCCATACGGGGCTCCATGTATGTGTATGCTGCGCTTCAATGCACCGGGATGATCTCGAAACTGGCGCTCTTTCTATGCCTGATCACATACGTATACACCGGAGACATTGTGACAGCCCAGAAGGTGTTCATTGTGTCCTCTTACTTGGATCACCTCAGCGAATCATTGCTCCATCTTTGGCCTCATGCGGTTAACTGCTGGACCGAGACTTTTGTGGTGGGTCACAGAGTTGTGGATTTCCTGTTGCAGCACGAGGATCCTGCGGATGGTGGCATCGACAACTTCAATGATGACGACGATGAGGAGGATAAGGGTAATTTTTATGGTCGGGTCCATAATCCCCATGCCCTTCATAAGAGCGTTACGTTGCGTAAGCTGAGCGCTAGCTGGGATAAGGTAGTGCTGGAGGGAGAGAAACAAAAGAAACGTGCCCAGCACATTGAGGACATCAGCTTTCATGTGGGTGCCCAGGAATTTTTGGGTATTGTGGGAAATGTGGGTGCTGGAAAGAGCACTCTACTCCACGCCATGTTGGGAGAGCTGGAGATCAGTAGTGGCAGTGTGGAACTAAATGGCGTACTCAGCTATGCGCCGCAGGAGCCTTGGCTGAACTGCTGCACGGTGCGCGAGAATATCGTGTTTATGGAGCGATATGACGAACAACGCTATAGACGTGTGTTGCGGGTTTGCCAACTGGAGAAGGATATCAAGCAGCTACAGCAAGGCGATGCCACCATTGTTGGTGAGCGAGGGGCGAGTCTGAGTGGTGGGCAGAAGGCACGCATAAGTCTGGCACGTGCTGTCTATCGACAGGCAGACATTTATATATTTGATGACCCCTTGTCTGCGGTGGACACACAAGTTGCAAAATTGCTCTTGGATCGCTGTCTCAATGAATTTCTTAGCGATAAGATCAGGATATTGGTGACGCACCGCGTCCAATTGCTGAAGCATGCTGACCATCTAGTATTGATGGAGGGCGGTAATGCAACCATACAGGGTGGCTACGAGTCGCTTAAAGAGCTCATACGCTTCCGCATGTCCGTGCTCAATGATAACGAGGTGATGCGCCTGCGTCACGGCCGCTCCGATAGCATTTATGAGGCCACAGAGCAGGAGACAACAATAGGACAATCAGTCGACAATAGCGCGGAGGAAGAGTACAGGGAGCAGCAATTGCGCGGTCACGTCAAATTCCACACATACAGGGCGTACTTCGCTCTTCTGGGACTACCACTAGTGGTGCTGCTTATATTTCTCTTCTTCCTGCTGGCTCGAGGCTGTGAGTCAGCCATGGATATCTTCATTTCCAAATGGTGCGTATAGAGCTGTCAGAGGCAGACATTGAAAATAATTTTTGCTTTCTTAGGGCCACCTGGGAGGAGACGGAACCCAATCAGCATGAGCCCATGCATGAGTACACTGAGATTCGTATGCATATGGTCACTATATATGCCATCCTGATGGTGAGCACGCTTGTCCTCTATATTCTGCGCACGTTCGGGTTCTTCATGATGTGTCTGCGCATCTCGATACGGGCACACAACTATATGTTCCGTGCCATTATTCGTGCCTGCATGAGCTTCTTCACTGTGGCAACATCGGGTCGTATACTCAACCGATTCTCCAGTGATATTCTAGCTATTGATATAACCCTGCCACAGTCTATAATGGATTCCATTGAGGTGGGTGATAAGTGAGAGAGAGTTGTCTTCCGTATCTAAACACATCTTTTCAGTTCTTTGTGAATGCGCTGGCGGTCATGGCCGTTGTGGCAATGGCCAATACTTGGCTACTCGTTCCCGCTTTCATTGTCATTGTGCTTCTTTACATCTGTCGTCGGTTTTACATTGGCGCTAGTCGCAGTCTCAGGCGCATTGAAACTATCAGTGAGTATGCAGTAGTTTCCTAGAAAATAGCTCGCATATCTACTGAATATTTTCTGCAGCCAGAAGCCCCATCTACACTCATACGATAGCTACCTTCAGAGGTCTCACGACCATTCGCTCTCTGAACGCCACAAAGCGATTCGAGCGGGACTTCCATCGACTGGAAAATGATAACACCTCGGCACTATACTTGTACTCCAGCCTCAATCGTGCCTTTGCCTTCTGGACCGATTTGATCTGTGTCTTCTATATATTGGCTGTTACTTTCAGCTTTCTGCTGATCAATCGCGAGTACTATAGCGGCGATGTCGGCTTAGCCATCACCCAGTCCATGACCCTTGTGCTCATGTGCCAGTGGGGCATGCGACAAACGGTTGAAATGGAGAACAATATGACGAGTGTGGAACGAGTTCTGGAGTATATGAATACCCCACCAGAGCCGTCCTACGAAACCCCCGCTTCAGTCAATTTGCCAACTCAATGGCCCCATGCGGGCCAATTGCATTTTCAGAATTTGCGTCTGTGCTACAGCCAGAAAGAGAAACCCGAGTACGTGCTAAAGGGTCTTAATTTCACCATACATCCTATGGAGAAGATTGGCATAGTGGGTCGCACGGGAGCGGGCAAGTCTTCCATCATACAGGCGATCTTTCGTTTGGCCATCAACGAGGGTCTAATCGAAATCGATGGCCATGACATCGCTCAGCTGGGCTTGCACGATCTGCGCAGTCGTATCTCTATTATACCCCAGGAGCCGGTGCTTTTCTCGGGCACCTTGCGTCACAATCTGGATCCGTTCGAACAGAAAACAGATGCGGAATTATGGGACGCCCTCGATGCGGTCAAGCTAAAGAACAACGTGGGCAAGCTAGATGGCGGCCTGAGCTGTCGAGTACATGATAGCGGTGCCAATTTCAGCATGGGACAACGCCAATTGATCTGCCTAGCTCGTGCCATACTGCGCAATAATCGGATCTTAATAATGGACGAGGCAACGGCCAATGTGGATCCTGAGTAAGTTGACAATTAAAGCGAACAACTGGGTGAAAAGAAACCCTTAAAAGGGAATGGGCTACAGATTCCATATTCTTCGACAAAAGGTCAATTCGAATTCTAATAGTCAGACGTAGTATAAGCTTTCTTAGGTGTCTTATTTTTTCGACCATCTCGATCAATATTAGTGTAGTGTATTCCAATTATAGTAATGCCAATTATAGGGCTTTAATAACCTAGATCTACTTATGACAGGACTATGTAGTATGTACATTTATTTTCTATTAACAATACGAAACGATTCCTTGAAAACAGATTGAACAATTAAATAATTAATTTAAAAAAGAAACAATGTAAGCAACAAAATCATAATTTTGTGTTCTAGTATTTAAAACAAACCAATTAAAAATTTATTTTCATCTCTCTTCAACTAAAAACTAAACTAAAAAATGAGTTTGAAGTTGTTTTAAAATATTAATATTGGCTTTATCAATTCCTGTGCGCAACCCCCTTGATGGGAAATAATGTCGCAAATTCGATTAGGAAGATAATTGTATAAAGACATTCTATAGTCTAATGATTCGACTTTTGCAAACTACCTTCCAGATTCATACAGTTTACGTGAGAGCCATTCTCAATCACATTAACATCTGGGCAGCAAGAAGGGCATTCCAATAAATATACTTTCTGCCTATTTATACAGTTTTACACAACCCGGGCGGCTTAAGCCAGAGCATTATCAAGCTGGAAAGTGAAAGATAAAGGTTCAAAAATGTTGCCAAATTAAGGAAACGCCTCCTCAAGCAAGATTTTGTAGGAAGTTGTATTTAACTTTGACGATATAATATTTGAGCTTAAGTGCATTAGCTTAACCTAAAACTTAATTCGACAAATAGTTACATTCTTTGTCTGCTCTAAGCAAGGGCGTAGGCAGCTTTTACCAAAGGGGGGGCCCAAAAATATTAAAATTTTGATTAAATACTTGTAATGCACGATGCATTTAAAAAAAACGTGCATATGATCATTGAAAAAACTTCAACAAATCCAACTCAGATCCATTTTAAGGCGATATAATGCGTCATAATAATGAACGTGTGGTCGACTTTATATGGCAAAATTTTTTCTAGAGGGGCAACGCCCCTTGTCTTACCCTGCCTACGCCCTTGGCTCAGCATGAATTTATTTTGTTGCTGTGTGTGTAATTTGTAGAATTTTTTTTTTCGCAATTTTGAACTGCCAAGTTATTTGCTATTTTTCGTTATATCTAACAAATATTTGGCTCAATTGAATATATAAAGAGTGACTGATTGATTCTCATTCTCCATATTAGAACGGACCAACTCATACAGGAGGCCATACACACAAAATTCGAGAACTGCACGGTGCTGACCATTGCACATCGACTGCACACGGTGATGGACAATGATCGAGTGCTGGTCATGGATCTGGGGCGCATGGTGGAGCTGGGGCATCCGCACGACCTGTTGCAGCAACGCAACGGCTATCTCTATCGCTTTGTGGAGAGGACGGGTGCGGGCACGGCCAAGCACCTGCGCTTTGTGGCCGAGCAGAGCTACCACAAGCGAGTGGTGCAGAAACGATTGGCTGGGGAGGATCCTCAGATTAGAGGCAGCGTCTGCAAAGGCACAACCTTGTAGTTGGGTCTGAGATTACTGGTGGGATAAGGCATATATAAAGACTGTTAATCGATTTTGTTTTGTAAGGTATGGTAATATAATTTTTATTATAGTGAACTGATTTTTAAAGTTAGATATATGTATGTACTTTATATAACGTAGTTGTTTTTATGTATAAATAAAGTGTCGATTTTTTACTTTTTGCTTATAACATTGTTGTTTTTGTTCTTGTTTTCGTTTTGTTGTTAAGTTTGAATAGAGCATTGATTTGTTGTTTTTTGTTTTTATCATTAATAATACATTACTTGCATATTGTTCGCTACATTCGTTCCTACTGTCTGGTTTTGATTTTCTAAATAAGAGTACAACTACCTTCAACTTCTAGAGTTCTTTTCTCGGTTGCTCCGTAGTCACAAGTCACATGAGAATTTTATTTGTTCATTCATTTTTCATTTTTTTGTTTTATGAATATAGATTTTATTAGTTTAACATTAGTTTTCGAATGGCTTAGATGTGCGATTTGTAATGTACTTTCTTTTTGTATACTATATTATGTATATTAGCAATTCAAGTTGTTGGTTTTCTTGTCTTTGTTTGCTTCGTATATAAAATTCTTCTTTGGTAGAGTGTAAATGAATTTATCGCATAGTTTTCGCTTATGTTCCTCAAGACTAGACTTTAATTGTATGTATATATATAGGTATATACGTATGTATAAATATTAAAGTAAATAAAGCATTTATCATCGTAATATATATAATATATATTTTTGCTTATTCAAAATTCGCTTAAAGTCTGCCTTCAACATTAATTCATAGATGTTTGTAAATAGAAAAATCAGTGTTTTTGGAGTATTTTTTAAATTAGTTTTAAGTTTAGGTGTGGTGTGTGAGTGTGAGTGAGAGTGTTTTTGTAAAATGATCAAAAACATAGTTAAACTTTGGAATCCTTCCCCAAATTCCAAAATCTAAATTGTTTTCATATGTATTCGAATGCAAGTTCCTAAAAATAAGATTGTTGGATTGCTGTTTGAGAAAAAATTCGATGCATTTGGTTTGAATAAAAATGTTGCTAGTTCTTAAATTGTTCTTCTTGTCTTTTCTTCTTCTCTAATTTAAATTGATTTTTGGTTTTCGATTTAAGCAAAAAGTTTAATATACTTCGGCTTTTTAACATTTTAATCATAGTTTTTTGTATTCTCTAATTTTTTGTTCTACTAAGTGTTGCCATTTAGACAGCCATTTATAAATATTAGCTAGCACGTTTTATTTATTTACTTTTGTTCACATATAGAAACATGTGGTTTTTGTTTTTGTTTATGTTTCGGTTTTCATTGTTATTCTCACAGTTAAGCTTCTTTGATTGAGCACAAAAGCAAACGAGAGTTCTGTTCTGGGGATTTGCAGAAAAACAAACAAATTGTTATTTTGTTTTTTTTTTTAAATTGTACTTTCAAAAATGTTACATGCTATGGCTTAAAATTTAAGGTCTATGTGTGTTATTGTTAATTTGTTTTAAGTTGTGTTTGTTGTTTCTCTGTCTAAGACTTAGAGCATTGGACAAATCAAAAATCTTCCCCTATTCGTGGTCTGCCCAATGCCAAGTGCTAAACAAAATTCAAAAGTGTTGGAGAGGGGGTGTGGGGATGGTGGAGTTAAGGTTTTGAACGAAAATTTCAAACAAACCCAGCGAAAATATATTTTAAATGGAAGTCAATTGTTTTGTGTGTGTTGTTTTCTATTACCAGCTTAAATAGGCGCTAAGAACTACGACGTGTGTCTGTCTGTTTGTCTGTGTATGTGTGTGAGTGTGTGTTCCCTAAACTTTAGTTCAGCTAGCGTTTTACATATCGATAGGTTAAAATTTAGTCGTAATACAATATATGTACGTTCTTTGTCGTTTCGTAAAAGGTAAAAAGTGCACAGCTGGCGTTTGCAATTCACTTAAAGAGTTGTAGTTTTTATTTTCGTTTAAAATTGAACTAAAAATGTTTACTTTACATTTGTTGTATGTCATACTAGTTGTTGAATAACTAAACGTGCGTGCTTCGTTTTGAAACGCATATTTTGATTATAAAATATGGTCCCGAGGTTGTTTATCGTTTTTTCTTTGGTTATAACAAGCAGCCTATTGGTATCTCAACGCATCGGATCGCATCGCATCTCAATCGCTTGGCATGGAATGTTCTAGAGGCGTGGCTGGAACCTGCGTTATAACTACATAACTACTCCATAGTTGGGGCTTCTTTTCATATACATACATATATAGTAAATATATATATATTGTTTTTATAGATAAGGCGTTGTGCGCATGTACACTGTACATAATTAGCTTGTCATTGTTGTGTGTTGTGTCTAAGAGTTTGGCAATGTTTTATTTATTCATTTAAAGCATTACATGTGAATGTAAGTAAGAATTATCTAAAAAAAAGGGCATTCTAAATGGTTACCTTTAATTGTGTCTATATAAACGGGTTGTTCCTATTGTTCATTGAATAGCTAACGCAATAAATCTTTACTTGGGTGCCTACGCATAAAAGGGTCGGTTTTCCTTCTTTAACATTTTTTTTTTTTCATTAATTTTTAAAGCGTTTAACCCAAAGCTTTGTAACTGCGTACAATATTTGTATATATAAAGAACTTTGAAATTATTCACTTCATTGTATTTTTTCAATTTTCATTTTTTTGTATTCATTTTTATTTATTTTTTTTTGAAAAAAAGAGTAGTATGAATTTGTTATGCAAGGTTTTTTTCTAAATTTTTTTTCTTACGGTGTTTTTGTATATATCTGGACAATATATACATAGATTGCTCGCTATATATATATGTAAGTAATTATGTAATTAGCATTTGATTTCTCGTGTGTCTGCAAAAATGTTTATATGCCTTGTATATAATATTTCATTAAAAATTGTCGTTAATTGCAAAAAATGGTTTCGTTTAAAAAAAACTATTCATGGCATTATGTGTGTCTGACCATATGGGCCTTATTATTGCGTGCATATACATATATATGTACGATTTCGAACATTCCGTTTGTTTGTTTGTGTATATGTGTGTGTGTGTATTCGGGTGTTTCCAATGTTTCCATTCCGCCTTTACTTTGACACCGGTTCGATAATTTCGACGGTAACGCTCTCAGCCACCGGATTCGGGTTCGCCGTGATGTTGGTGATCAGCTTCTGATCCTGTGGCGACTGCACTGCATGATGTCCGTGCTGACGATGCGCCGATCCGTGACGCTCGTGCTGGGCACTAGACACCTTTCCCGGTGCCACGGAATTGCTGCGATTCGAGCGCACCGATGCGGCCGAGGCGTTGCTGGCGGTGCCATGCGAATCTATTGGGTTTATGAAATAAGACTCTTTAGTTATTACATATGCGAATAATTTCAGCAGTTTATGGACACTACGGATAACCAGTATGTGCAGTTATCACAGGTTAGATCACAGAGCACATAGCAGGTTACAAAGAAGGCAGTACATTGGACATAATTTTTAACTACTCTGAGCAGCTTACAGGACGCAGATAATTCATGTTATATTGAGCTAAGTATTTTCAAAACTATTTATTATTTAGTTTTAATTGATTGATACAAATTTAGAAACTATTTGCTTTGAGCATCTAAAGCATATTTATTTAATGTTTTGGTTACGTTATAAACTAATGGTCAGACATGCAAATAATTTGTGCACAAATTTATTTGATTTCTCCTAAAAATTATGTTATAATCAATGGGAGTTATGTCCTAAAATATACAAGAACTGCCTTGCGACTTACTTGTGCGGCAAACTATTTGCTGGTCTAAGAGTAAGGCTCTTAACGCACCCATAAATAGGCAGTGGGACCAAAAAATAATGAAAATCAAATATACAAGTATATTCAAATTGTTATTAGTTTTGAGCAGCTGGAGGTTAAGCCTTACAAAAACAAAAGTTTTCAGAACACACGCCTTGTCTTTTGATGACGACGTAATTGTTTAAAAGAAAACTTCGAGCTGGTTAAGTAATTATAATTTTTCTTTTTAAATTTGATTTGAAAAAGTTCCTTGTCCAAAGGAACGTCTGAAGCCCTTGCAAAGAGGGAATATGAACTTAGTTTGAACGAATTGTGGAGATTTCGAAAATTTGAATTTCTATCTATAATATCTATCCATAGTGTTGCCTAGAAAGTGCCTTTGCCTGATACATATAACGGCAAAATAAGAGTATGTCTATTCTTGTTTCCAGAAAACGTTGATTACGAAGTATTTTGTTGCAGGTTCAGTAACCTTATCTGTCATATGAGAATTTTTACGCTCCTTGTCACCAATATCATATCTGCAATATTATTTAAGGGTTTCTAATGGCTTTTGAGAAATCTCCAACTTATAACAACTTATTTAGGCTTGTTGATATTTTATCAGAATGACATTAATCATTTTCTGGACTCATAGTTGACATATCTTTGTCTTTCCACCGAGCAACCACTTTGTTTCTGATAAGCTAAGGGTCATCTATGGGTTTAATTTCACAACAGACGGCATATTTAAACTTTCTTAATTATAATTCAAAAAAATTTAAAAATAAAAATACAAATTTATCGATACATTTGGGATCGATATAACAAATAAAGGTGGTATGTGTATTTGTTTTTAAGAGCAATACGATTCTTTCGTACCATTTGTCAACTGGTGGGTTTAATATCTTCCCTTCTAAGGTCTATACTATAAACACATATTTTAAATAAAATTTGTCTTCAATGTCAACAAATATTATTTAGGTTTTTTTACTGACGTTCTAAAAATATTTTGACAGAAATATCGTTATCTAATAGTTGCTCCAAGTTTGTGGCTTAGCTTTGTAGGGAAAAACATGAGTTATCTGGCGTCTAATAGGATCTCAGCTCTCTACTTACATACATATACTATAATATTATACAATATACGGGGTAAGAAATATAGAATTGAAAAAAAAGAGTAAGCTTTTATGGTTATTTTGATGGTTTGGTTTTATGCCAACGAACCAAGGAGACACAAGAAAGAAAAATAAGAAAAATAAAACTGAAAAAGCCGTGCCTCAAAATCAACTAAATGGCGGAAAAGAAAATCATCATCAGAACTAAATGAAAATCACTCTCTGCTTTCTGGGTGGTGTAATGATTGTGTTATGAGTTCTGGCTGAGTCTGTTAAATACTAGCACAGAGAGGATCGGAGTGGGAGTGTCTAACTACGTTTGGTCACAGAACAGGACACACAACTGACATTTAGTTTTCAGAATTGTTGGGCAGTTGGGTCTTTTCTCTTGAAGTATGTTTGTGTGTGTGTTTTTGTTTGTATGTCTGTAAGTGTTTTTGTTGCTGGGAGAGAGGTTTGTAGAGCTGTAGTACAAGTAGTAGTAGTAGAGGTAGTAGTACGATATAAAAAGGCAGTATAGACTACATTTGAATGCAACTTCAACTACGACTTAGTACTAGATTTAGTTGTACAACAACAGCTTTGAACAACAACGACAACAATAACAACTACAGCAACAATACTGCTAACACATTCAGAAAAAGGACGATTATTCATTCATACCTCATGGGCGCCTTTTCTTTTCATTGATATGGTTAGCTTGCATTTAATATACGAGTATGACGATACTAGGCTAAAACTTATTCGCCCTAGCTGGGGCCTGTGACATGCCGCAAGCGGGCGCCGCACCCGAAGACGCAACGTAGGTGGTGGTTGTAACTGTGGCGGATGCCGCTGGTGATGCATGCCCCGCTTGTGAGGCAGCATTCGTTGTTGTTGTCATGGTTGTGGTTGTGGCAGCGGCACCGGCATGTGCGGCATGAGCGGCATTGGGCGCGGCAGCCGCTGTGGTTGTTGGCACATACGGCAAGAAATGGCTATGGACAGCGTTGTGTTGGCTGGCGGCACTCGGATGCTCCAGGAGGCGGGAACAGGTGGAGACATCGCTGACACGCGAATCACTGGAGCGCGTATTGCTCTTGGACCGTATCATGCGTCCTTAATGAGTTGGAAACGAGGGCAATACGTATAGAAGATGCTTTTTATATATATATATTTTTTTTGCTTCACACCCCAAAAACTCATCATTTAATAAAAGTAACTAAAAGCCAATTCTACGCTAACCGTCAGTGGAACTTTTAAGTCGACGAAAACAGCAACAGCAACAACAACAACAACAATAACATCAACAACAAACAACATTAAATACAAGTGTCTTTTAAACTGTAGCATTTACTTGTCGTCCAACTGTCAGTCAAATTGATAGAGCCGGGCAAAGTGCTTTCTTTATTTTTTATTCATTCGGTAGCGATATCTTTGTCGAAAAACAAATGACACTGCTAGCCAGTGATTTGGGCCCACTACTTACATTCAATGCCAATATTTCGCACTTTGCTAGTAATTTCAAAAATTATTACTCTGCTCTTTTATGGCTTAAAATGCAACACTCGGTATTTAAATATTAATTCATCTCACCAAGTTGGATAATTAAAATTAATGGTGGGCTGTTTGGGTTCAGTCGTAAACTAGTCATAAACATGTTCATGCCTATGTAATCAAACGACCTGCATTTGCATGAAAAATTCTAAATGTGTCTACGTTTATGACCTTCAACAGTGTTTTTACTGTACTGAGTCAAACCCACTTTTAACATTCATTAAATCACTGAATTTAATTAATTCTTTCAGCATCTCCTAAAAGTGTTCACCAGAGAATTACTTGTGTATTCAAAAACATTCTAAAATACTTGCTTATTTGTAAACTATTTGTGAGGATTTAAATAATAGTTATTATAACACCTTCCACCTACTATACAACAAATTCCTACTTGAAATGTTTGTTTTTGCATCATTTTTAACTTAAATTTAAGTTACTGTGTCGGATTCCCTTTATATATGGCAGAAACGATATAAACGATTCTTGTTTCCAAAAAACACAATATGTTTTCTGTTCAGAATCCTTGAAACCGTGAATAAATCTATCTCTTCCAATCTGGCCTAGCCGAAAAAAGAATTGATTCTTAATTGCAATTCTTTTTCATTTCTAAAAAAGTTCCAGAATTCTTTGGAAGAATCGAAATATTGTTCGATAGAATACTATCTATCCTTTTTCATTTTTAAAGTGAAAACAGGCCAGAATTATCTATTTTAGATGGCTATACACATTTCTTTGGATGTAAATCTTATCTGAATGTTTTCTAAAAATATATTTAAGGCGAAATATTTTATTTTAAGAAGCACAGTTCAAATTCTTGATGTATAGTGGAGTCATATACTCGATAATGATAATGATAATTGTGTGAGGACCCTGGAGAAACGATTATTAAGCTGGTACAAAAGCTATTATAAGAACAATATAACTGAGTTAATATTCTTCACCTTGAAATGTTTTTTAAATGGACAAGTTTTAGAGTTGATTTGATAATCGATTTGTTCAACTCAACAGCAAATGAAATATTAAACTAGAAAGAGAAAGCCCGTGTTTTTAGCAGTTTCTATATTTTCAAAAAATCCTAAAAGGTTATACTATATTTACAGAGTGGCTACGTATCTTTCAAGTTCCATTTGAATGACCAGTTCTGTATGAAGAATTTGTTTGCTTAAATCAAACTTTTGAGCAAACTCACGCGCTTCTGCCCTAAAAATACCCAAATTCTTAATTTGGTAGCAATTGGAATTTTCGCCAACTCACAGACACACGCACACAAATTCGGGTATACTCGTATTATTTATAATTTTACTGTCTATTTCTTAAATAAATGTGGTGATGTCGCAAGTATTATGATTGTTTGGTTGGTACTTATGTAGCATGTCGGCCGAGTTGTTGTCTGTTTGACGGTGCGTTTCTTTGTTGTGACTTTTTGTTAAGTGACTGTCGGATTTGCGGATTGACTGACTGACTGTCTGACTGACTGACTGACTGTCGAAGTTGCTGTAAACATAATTTTTGGCTTTTGTCGCTTCAACGCAAATCATGAAACAAAAAAGAAACCCAAAGACAAACAACTGGAAGTGTCATCAAAAATGAAAAAAAAAGAGGAATAGAATGGAATACAAACCTGTCTTACCTAGCGACGGATTGGGCGAGTGGGGGCGCAACGAGGCCATGCTGGGCTGGCGGGAGGGTGCTCTCACCGACATTCGGGAGCCACGTCGCTCCTGGCCATGCAACAGCTTGCTGTCCCTTAGTAGCGACACATTCATCAGGCGCGGATTGGGCGTATTAAAGATTGTCCGATTGTCATGCCAGCGAGCTCTGTAAGCAGAAAGGACAACAGGACAATAAAATAAGAATCAAACCAATATGGGTTTACTCGTAAAGGTGCTTGAAACATGAGTGTATTGTATAAACATTCGGGTGTCCCTTCGCGTGGTAAACAAATAACAAAACATACTTTTGCTTTAGTTTACTCATTTGTCAAAGAAATTGTGTTAGTAACAATGAATGATTGTCAAACTTTCTGAGCTTTAAAAAGTATATTGGAAGAACAAGAATTAACTTATCGCTAAATGTATACGTTTTCTAAAAGACCTTAACCCCATTTCAATTTTGAGACAAACTCGCAGGAAAGGAAGTTGCATGTTGAGTTAAAGCAGCAGAAAACATGTTCTAATTATGAGTTAAGAGTTAGAATTTTCATGTACGATATCATGCAGAAATTGAATAGTTTTTTAGTTATTCTATAGTTTCTATAGTCTGTGATTTCTTTACAGCAGCTCTCGTTTATGAATTTCTTCGGTTCTTTTAAGAAGTTTCTAATCAGTATACTCGTATCCATTTGAGAGGCGGTGAACAACATTCCCAGGCTATTTATGAATATCATTTCTCAGTCTCTGCCTGTCTCTGTATTATTTCTTCTTATTAGAACTTCTTGGAAAGAAACCCCGCAAGTACTATTATATTTATAACTTACAACTCTCTTTCCTTAATCATAAAGGATCTGACTCTGCCACATAGTTCCCCTACCGCCCACAGAGCCGTTAAATGCCAATTAATGCAAAATTTTGTTTATTAGACAGAATTTAATGAACGTGCCAATTATGGCAATTATTTTCATGTGTCATTTGGCAACACGTATAGGGCTATAGTTATGGGTGTGGTTATGGCAACAGCAGCACGATAGTGACAGGGGGTTACATTTTAATTAGCGTCCCTTTTCAAGCATCCCATTAACCCAGTTATTGCTGTAGTGCATAGTGTATAGACATAAAAGATGAAAAGAGCGCGACCGTGTTTTTATAGAAAATGTTTGCACTGCAATTTACTCACTGGCTAAACAATCGTAGGACGACACAAATAATAATAAACATCAATGCCATTCCTACCAGTACGCCAATCATGGCCGGATCAATGTATGTCTCGGGTCCGCGCTTATCCTGGCGACCTGCAAACAGAGACGCCATTAGCAATGCCAATATAGCGTGTGAATATGACTTTTCAACCTTTGCACTCGACAGAGCCATCCTTGCCCCAAATAGGCGACATCTCGAACCGACAAATACATCGTCCATCGCGGCATTCCGTCTGAAAATATTTAACCTCGCATTGCTCATTGAAGAAACAGGACTCGTTGACGGCGGCCTCTGTAAATAAAGTGTGGATTTGTGATTAGAAAGCATTGCTTATGGATATGTGATTTACTGTGTGTTTGTGTGTGTGTGTGTGCGTGTTAGTCAGTCTGTCGGCCAGTTTGTGTGCGACCTGTGATTCATTTGATACACAAACTGTCTATATGCTCGTATCTAGTCGCAGTCAACAGACAGACACTTTATGCAATATATTGCTTTATTGCGTCGGGGCATGTTTGGAAGTTTATTTTATAACTGCCGCATGGGGAAATAGTAGGGTTGGCCTGTCAGTCAACGGAGCCGTCAGTATTGTTCGGGCAGACAAATGTTGTCATAGCCAAAGCTAAACATAAATGATGAATGGCAGCGCGTTGGCAGACGTCTGCGCGCAAAAGCGGCTTAACAAGATGCACGTTCTAAGTATTTGGATAACATCAGCATGGGTGAGTAAACATTGGAGAAGGACTGGTAATACACACTGATTGTTGCAAATAAGTCCAAGATTTCTTACCAAAGCGTCATCATCATTATGATGGTGATTGCTAAAGCGCAACTTGAATGTTTTTAAGGGATATTGATCCCCGCTAACCATTATGCGAACACTACTTGCAGTTGTTGACTTCGCTTCTAGCGAATTCTTAGTACAAGTATAATAATTTCCGTTTATTGTAGAAGCTCATTCATTATAGCCTGTACCCAAAGGGTGAAAGGCTATACTAGTTTTGTGCGCATGTATGTAACACACAGAAGGAGGCGTGGCAGACCCCACAAAGTATATATATTCTTGATCAGGATGAGAAGCCGAGTGGATATAGCCTTGTCCGTCCGTCCGTCTGTCTGTCCGTCTGTCTGTCCGTCTGTCTGTCCGTCTGTCCGTATGAACGCAAGGATCTCAGAAAGTATAAGAGCTAGAATAACCAAACTTGGTTTCCATATTCTCCTCAGACCGAGAAAGTACGAGTTTGAGTTTTTTTTCGATGCACCCCCCCACTCCCCCGCAATTCGTGTTTTTACTTATAACTTCCGTAATTCTCGGAATTTTGAAATCAATTTTGGTAGGTACATCCAGTTAGTACTAATGTGTCAGTGTGCCATCATCATTTCATCATGATAGGTCAATTCTGAAGAAAGTTATAGCCATAAGTAAAATCGCTGCTCATGCGCTGCCTGCAGCACTGTCGGCAGCGCTGCCCGCAGCTGTTGTTGTTGTTTTTTTTTTTTAAATTTTTCTTTTTTGTGGAGTGTACAGGCTATTTTACTGTCGGGCTTGCTCGACTGTAGCGTTCTATCTTGTTTTAACTTGAAATTTGCCACTACTTCCTTTCTACGTTAGTTACAATCTACGATACATTAAACTAGCACATATACTTGTATAGCATATAGACATCGCAGTTTTATTATTCTAGATGCGTTAAAGACCGAAAAGGATGATTGATTGATGACAGTACAAATCCCAATAGTTATTCCAAATATATCCTTCATTATTATTCAAATATATCCTTAGTGGTTAAAGGCAAGGGCTTATGCAGGGGGGGTAGGGGGCCGTTGCCTCCCTCCTAAAGAAAATCGCAATATGATTTCGACCACATATTTATTATGGCGCACTATTTCGCCTTATAATGGAACTGAGTTGGATTTGAAGTTTTTCTATTGACCATATGCATAAATTATTGTTTTAATGCATTATTGAATGAAAATTTAAATTGTTTGGCCCCCTTTTTGGAAGAAACTGCCTACGCCCTTAGTGGAAGATATTAGTAAGAGTCGTCAAGAAGTAACACGGGTAGGTTTTAAGAATACTTTTGATCAGGCACAAACTACATTTAAGTTTTTTGTTTCGTTCTTAGACAACAGAATTGATATTTTGGCAAATTCAGTTTATTTTATTCAAAATAATCTTATTTCGACTTAATAACATGTTTTATGCGATCAGGAAGCATTTTGAACGCCTATTTAGAGGCTTCAACGTCCTTAAAGTATTTTTCTTTCATGGGCAAACCCATTTTTCGATAAGGCTTTAGTGACACGGCACCATGAGTGGCGATTTTTTGTCAAAATATCAGAGACAAGTGTCGAACAATGAGTCGCAATTTTGGGTTATCAGTCAATACACCTTTCACAAACCCAATTGTTCGGTTAAAATGCGATAAATTTTTGTTTTGAAGATATTTGATTCCATTTTCATTAATTTAATCGAATATTTTGGCTGATTTCCGATAAACTCACGCATTTTTTTGACTTCACCTTCGGTAATCACGAATTCTGGCTGGTCAAGATCTTCCTTGCCGTTCAGGTCGTTTTTGAATCGAAAGTGTTTCGTTCGCCATTATACCCTGTACTCAAAAGGTAAAAGGGTATGCTAGTTTTTGTATCGAAAGCACAAACAAAGTGTTAGTTTGCGTGAGATAAGTCGGTTTCTATCCATGCGATTCTCAAGAAATTTTAATGGGTTGTCGTAAAAGGAAAAGGAAAGTAACTAAAAAGTCCTGTTTGGAATGCAACTTGAATATACGATGCCTTTTAGCTTTAACAACTAAATCATAAATTTTAAAAATGGCTCACAAATTCATAGATCAGAGAGTCAATGGCAAAAGAAAGAACATTTGAGCACTGATTATTGCCCAATTCAATTTTAATTTATTATGCACACGTCGCGGGAATTATTAATTATCATTATTATATGAAATGTGCATAATTGCCAGATGTTTCTGTGCCTCGCCCTCTCGGGCGTTGCTTTACTTGTGTTTTGCTGCCACGTTCAATTTTAATTTACAACATTTTTTGTGCTCGCCCGGTAATCAACATGAAGCTTTTGGGGATTTGTTTGCCTGTCGCTGGCATTGCAATTTTTTAATGAAAACTTGGCAGCTTGACAGTCAAGTAACACAAATAAAAAAATAAACCACCAACAAAAAATGACGCAAGCAGTATTTGGTGGTGGAAACGAGGCTATGTGGCAAACCTCTTTGGTCCGCGGTTGGCAAACGTACTCGTACTACTTGTATGTATATCTGACCACAGATACTTTGACTTACCTTTGCCACATTTATCATAGTGATTGGTGACAGGCAGATCTTCGGTGCACTGGCAGGACTTCTTCTTGGGATCGCAGATGGAGCCGGGAAAGCCACATTCCAAAGTATTGTCGCACTTATCGCCATACTTCTTTTGCCCCCGGCTGGCATAATCTGAAATGAATGAAGAAGGGGAGACAAAACAAAAGTTAATCCCAAGTGGAAAATTCCGATGCTATGTGGTGTGCATTTCAATCAAAACAAATTCCGGCACAACTATTGCTAAAAGAAAAAGTCACAAAAATGGAAGGAAGGAAAAAACTTTTGCGAAAAGTGAAAAGTATTTGTTGGTACTTTGTGCGTGTTCCTGTGTTTGTGGCTGAATTCAGTCGGGATGCGAAAACCTCGAGCGGCTTAGCGACTCGGCTGTTCTAGATTAAAATGTAAATTTCTGAGAACAACAACATACGACCCAAGCCGCAGATGTTAGGCATGTATGTTGTTGCTCTTGTTGTTGTTGTTGTTTACCATACACACATACACCCACACAGAGACACACACACTCAACTGAACTCAGCAGGGTCTCAAGCATACTTGAGCGGTCCATGCGCTCTTCGCACACTTACCCATATATGTATGTACATGGGGGCACAGGTGAATTCTTCATTAAGTTTGTATGAAATGAAAACAGGCGCAGTGCAAAGTGAGTTGACTTTATGCTTTTTCTACTCTAGACCCACCCATCCCTGGCATGCCTAACCTCGTTTCACAAGCAGCTGAGCATCTTAATTAAACTCTTGGGAGCAACTGTAGCTGGCCAACAATGTGTGAAAAATCTCAACGGCGCGTTGAGACGGCTTTTTTTGAGGGCTGGAGTGGAGTGGGTTGGGGTGGGGTGGGGTGGTGTGTGTTGTGTTGTGGCCAAGGTGTTGTGTGGCTGCCTTGGCGCACAGTTTTTCACTAATTTCGTAGATATCTTTCCATAATTACCGCCCTCCGTTCCTCCAGCTACTTGCGCAACCAAAAACGGATGTGTGCACGCCTGACATTTAAGTCAGCGACGGAAGCGCAAAAACAAAACAAAATGGTTGCGCTTCCACACACATACATTTATATTGTATTTTGTACATACGAGTATATGCATGTGTGTGAGTCTATTTGCTTGCGGTTTATTTTTAAATGCAGTGCCTTCTATGAATAGAGCGACAAAAGACGCGCCCACAGCTAAAATGCTAAAAAAGCAGCAACTGCTGTTACTGCCACTGCCACTGCTGCTGCTGCTGCTGCTGCTGCTACTGCAGTTGCCACTACAATTTTTTGTTGTTGTTTTTTTTTTTTTTTTTTCGTTGGTTGGCTGGTTTGCGGCTGCGGTTCTGTGTGTGATGCAACTTTGAGAAAATTTCCGCAAGTGTTGACAAAGTGGGACGGATGCTTGCTGCACAGTCCCCTCCGTTCGCTGCTCACTCACTGCTTGCCGATGCCCCAAAAGGGCAGTCAGTTCGTCAGTCAGTCAATGAGTGACTCAGTCATTCAGTCATGCGCTTGCTTCGCCTTTGTTTTTGCCCACATTGCTGTTGTGCTGTTGTGTTGTTGTGCTGTGCTGTGCGCCTCTAATACCCTTTTCAAAAAGAGATTACGAATTTGGCAGCTTGATTTGTGGGCTCGTCGCAGCAAGCAAGCATCACATTATGTTGGAATTTGTTTGTGTTGGAAGGAACTCATTTTTTTTAAAAGCTCCTCATTGCAACTGATGGCAAACTAAGCTGCTGGCTCTGCCAAAACGGTCTGCCTGCCTGCCGTTTGTTTGTGCTCATGCCTATGCGATTACTTTGCACTAAGGGGTTTTTCCAAAATTTAAAAATTCAACACGACAAAAAGTTGATGGAATACCATTTAACATTGCTAAGTCATGGCCTGCAAGCATTTTAAGCCCAATATATACATACTTGTATGTACATACGTAGTTTGATATGCATTTATTTATATGTACCAAGAGGAACTTCGAGTTTTATGCTAAAATAACAATGAATTTTCACATCTACTCCCAAGCGAAAAAAGCAACTCTTTTGAGCTGCAAGGTCAGGTCAGGGTACGCATGACAGAATCGTGGACTGCTTGTTATAATTATTATAATTATATATTATACCATACAGTTATCAATTTTTTATTTCTAAAGATATCTGATCAACATAAGATATTCGAATATCCTATTCATAAAAGATGGTTTCAAATCACTTGTTCGTCGCATATTGTGACCATGGATGACAAATGCTCACCTAATACTTAGAGATTGTAGGCAAAGGATAGTGCGGAAGCAGTTGGGTAAAGTATACAGTTCGAGCCCCATAAACAAGGAGCAATAAAGTATTATTATATGACATAGTGAAGGGCATACAGCTGCGATGCAGACAAAGAAAGTTGTCTGTTTATTTTGTTTTCCAACAATGTCTCTGACTAAATTGTGCTGTGAATTGTGGCACAGCTAACCGAAGAGCAAATACAATTACCGCAACGAATCGGTTTCTTATTAAAGTTTTGATAGGTTTTTATTTTTAGAATTCTAAAAATGTATTGAAGAATGTATTTTATACCTTTGCCATTTTTCCGGTATGCGTTTGTTGGCCTATTTTCACAAAATTCGATTTGATAGTTTCTTATCACTTATCAGCTTGACCAAGACAAAAGATTCTTAGCTCCAAATTTGATTATAAAAATGTAAAAAAAACGGATTTTTCTTTGGAAACAATCAGTATAGATTTTTTGTGGGTATGGGATAGAGCCAAAGTCAATTTATATACCTTTTAAATGAATTGGGAGTTTCTTAATAAAACGAAAATCTACGATAATAGTTAACTATCATGCGAAACATTCTATCAGAGTAATGCTTCAGGAAAAAATATGTATTTTGTTTACCCCGTACCCGACCCCTTTCCACTCTACTGTTCTTTGACTAAAATAAATACTTATGCACGGAATGTTCTTTTGGCAGCTATTTAAAAGGTATGGTGTACCAATTTCAATAAAGCTACAGAATATGCTGGGGCACGTATAAAAACTCAATTTGGTTACGATTTCTTAATGAACAATAAAGTTTTTATTACAATGAATGCGCTGATCGTTCTTAATGGTTTGGTTTGCGATAAACTTTTCTGTTTCAAGTAGGCCATCCACATGCGAATTTATTCGTGTCGAACCAATGCATTTTTCCACTAATTTGCTTACAAACATTATTATCTTAAAAGTAAAAAGTAGAATGTGGAAGGTATGTGCTTAGAGCAACGTAAAGATTCCTGGCCATGTACTAAAAACTTGGAAACACAAAATTCTTGGTTCAGATAGCCTTTTCGCTTCTTTTTATTTTGTTTCATGTTAGCGTCTTTTTTTTTAAGTTATTGGTGCTTTTTAAGTATTTTGTCCCACAATTTATTGCGCAAATAATTATTGTATACATAAATATTACTTTTCCATAATAAATTCCTGCTTAATATTTTCGAAAAATAATGTTTGAGCAATCAATATTAACGAAAATGTTCGCACGAATACGCGCTAGACAGAAATATTTCTATTTTTCGCGAACAAAACTTTAAGCACTAAAGTAGCACTAACTCCTACTAATGATTAACATTTCGTCGAACCGAACACATTCGAAGAAATTCATTTATGGATGGCCTAAAGATAAAACAAGTCCATTTGCCAAATATTAAGACTTTAACTGTTATGGCTAAAAAGTTCACGACGCTGCAGATGGGCATATCTATTATATATTTGAAAACATAATAAATTAGTACTTGAATAGTTTTTGCAAATTGTGAAAAAAAAGTACTGATAATACTATAACGTAATGATTTGTTTTCTTAGTTGGGAAAGCATTTTCGTACATATTTTGTAGCTATATTACATCGTCTTGGCTGCTTCCATTCCAATGCATATGCTCTATTTTATGATGCACAATGTCCCAGCTTTCTTTTATAATAAAAGTTCTTGTGGTGTAAAATCAAGTATTAACATAAATTATTTTTTGATTTTTCTACAAACTTTTACTATAAGTTGCTAGTTGAAAAGTCCATGCAGCTAAGCTTAGCCAATGTATGCTGCAATTTTTTATTGTATAGTGTAGGTTTGTAAAGATACGGTAGTATTTGGACCGCACAAGTCGAACCTGCACAACATCTTCGTTCTCTTCGTCGCAAACCTATATGAGGTGGGACTCAACTTTTCCACTGATATATTATAAAGTTATGCACTTTGTTTAACCACTTGGCGTTTGAGGCACATTGCAGCGCATTTCGAATGCGTTACGCTCGAATGGAAAAATTTCAGTATGGGCCAGGACTCGTGCCTCTGCTTGGTCCTTTTTCGTGTCCTCAATGTGGCCAACGAATTAGAAAGGGGGTTGCGAGCACTTATTATGCAACACTAGCAAAAAAAAGAAAAAAAAAAAAAGAAAAGAAAACCTTCATGCACTTGAACAAAGCCTGCATATGAACCCTTGCTCCCCTCTCCATCTACTGACATTATTGTATGTGCTCTATAGATGACGTCATTGTTGCATGTTGGCGGTAATAGTTGGCCATATATGAACGGAAATATAGTGAGCACAGCGTATGGGAATAAGTCTATTCGTGCACAAAATAAAATGTACGGAACTTGTATATAAATTAAGAATTATTTTTAGTTTATAGCCTATTTCAAATCTAGCCTAAAATGAGAAACGCAGAGAGAAGCGTTCCATATAAATAAACATAGGGATTGTATACAAATGATGTATGTACTTGTATTTGAGAGAAGTTCATAAGAAGAATAGCTGATTAAAGCAGCAACAGAAACCAATATTGGTGAGTTGCTAGCCGTAGAACCCGTAATATTCAAAGGGAAAGTTAAAAATAGTCAATTCAAGGAGTGCATCAAGGCGCACCCAAAAAGAAAGAGCGTTTCAAGTTAATGAGCACACGTGTACGATATTATACTATAAATACTCTAGAAATGAGTTTAGTCTGTTTATAAATTAAAAGATGAAATTTTATTTCATTAAGACAAAATAAAAAATAGAGCTGAACTATTTTGATTTAATCTTTCGGTTATAGTTAATAAATGGTTGAAAGGCAAAATTATTGAGTTTTAAAGGCTTGATATTAAATTTGTATTCCAAAAAAGTAATGACATAAATATAACAAAAAGTGAGTTGTAAAATATATCATAAGTACACTCCTTAAGCAAGTACAAAAGGGCAGACGTTTCGTGTTCATTTCCTCTGGACCTTCCCTGAGACTAGTCGGACACTACAACCTCATCATAAATGAAATAAATTAATTGCCAAGTTTATTTTACCAATTCAATGAGTATGCACGATGTTTAAATACAGTTTTAAATAAAAACACTCAGCTAATACAAAATGTTCATTTGCTTACTGAAGTTATTTTCGAGTGACCTTAATTTAAGATCAACATCTAAGAATTTTTCTGTACTGGGTTTTAAAATTAAGATGTACTCGTCTGACTACAAAATCTTACTTGACTCTGGGGTGGTACGAAAAAAACTTTTGCTTCATGCTATATCTAGATCAAATTTAGTTGTGGTTTCAGTTTCTATATTTGTGTATATATTTGTTAAAAAGCACTTGGCAAGACAAATAAATCAGGTACAGAAAAACTGAGTATAACAAGTTCTTGCTCTTTACAATTTACAATATCAGTTAAGGTTTTCATTTCTAATTTCCACATACGATTTAAATATCTGGTAATAAACAGCTTTATAGTATGGAATAATCGAAACACTATTTAAGCAGATTTGGAACATTTGAAGAGAAATTTATACATTTCCCTTTTACAGTGAATCTTGTTTGCGTAGGCAGAAGCGTAGAGAAGGGTTCAATATTAATAGTCGCCTGCAATTTGCATGAAAATGCAATCACATTTCATTAAATCAGTGCTGGTTTATAAAAATAGTTTAATGTAAAAACTTCTACATAGCCTGAGCCTTAGACAAGAATAGGTGTGCTTACTTGAGTGCTTCTGAGGAGGAGTGCAGCAAAGGGTTAGTTTCAACATCAATATGCATTGTAATTCAATCTAGTTGCACTCAAGCTATCCGAGAGAGGTACAACTATATTTAAGGAACATGGACTGTATGCCAACACGCTTTACTAATTCAACACGTACGATATTCAATTACCAGGTGCATGCATGTGCGTGCCAATGCTGACCTGCGTAGCTGTGTTATGTGCACTTGCCGCACGACTGCAGCCAGGGAGTTGCAGCTGGAGGTGGTGGGAATACTCTGGGGGTGGCCAGCAATGGCAACAATATTTTGTGATAAGGTAAAGGCAGTTCCCAACTAGTTGGGAACTTATCTTATTCATGGCTATATTGCATGCATTGCGTCAACTTACCGAATTCGGGTGTTGTCGTCTCCGGTCCCATGCTGAAGCTATTAACCGCAAAGAAATTGTCCCCGTCATCGCCGAGCGTTAGCATTGGCAGCAGTGCGAGCGCAGAAATCAGGCACAGTAGGGCCGTGTCGAGTTGCACAGCCCTGCGATGAGGATGTGGGCTAGGACGAGGACGAGTACGAGTGCCTCGACTAGCCTTACTAAACTGGGCGACGACACTGGCGACGGCGATAGCGACGGCGCTGGCAGCCATTAGCATTAACGATTGTTGGGCACGCATTTTTAGGGACGCGACAATGGCGCGTTTCACGTTTCCGCACAAAGAAATGGCGGGCCAATTCAACGCTGTTGTTGTTGCTGTTGCTGTTACTGTTGCTGCTACTGCTGCAGGGGTTGGCGCGACACCTTTAATGTTTAAGTCCAAGCCAGCTTTGTTGTTGCTGTTCTTGGTATTGTTGCTGGCGCTTTGTTGCTCGCTTTGCTTTGTTGCTAGACTTGGAGGCCACAAGTGTTGCGGTTGTTCTTGCTGTTGCTGTTGCTGCTGCTGCTGCTGTTGTTGGTTAGCGTTAATTGCTGACTGCAGCTGCAGAGCCACTTTTTTAGCCTTTATCCAACGACAAGTGTTGGACAAGTCGTGGTTATTGTTGCTGCTTGTGTTTGTCAGACACTTGACAATTGCTGCTGCTTCTGCTGTTGCTGTTGCTGCATCTTCGTCTTCATCGGCGCATTGTTGTTGCTTTGTCTCACATTTTTCACGAGTTTCGCGCCTAAACTTGGCAACACCAATGGAGCGGCCCTGCAATGGTGCAGCTCCGTGGCGGGGCTCCAAAGCCCCATCCAATCTCATATTATTTGATAGTCGTCGTCGTGCTCCTCATCCATTCTGCTTCTCCTCTTCAAATTGCTGTTGTTGCCCTTTGGCACTGCTGGCGTCGTCGTTTGTCACTTGGTAGCTGCCTGCTTTCTCTCTTTCACATAAGTTTTATGATAATGCCTGCGAAACATAGAATCCAAATAAATGGTATAGTGTCAGCCAAAAAGTTAAATATATCGTGCCCAAGCCGCACTGCTAATCACTGCTGCTAAAAGTGTGAAATTACAAACCGACATCGAAGCAATTTCCGAAAGTGCCAGCCGCCCCCACCAGCTATCGGAAGTGTTAGAGCGGTGCCAGCCATTTTCTTTCAAACATAGGAGCGAACTTTGCTATGAAATGGGTCTATCGTTTAACGTTTAGTTTGAAAAATGAATTAAGTAAAAAGTGTTGATTCAAATGCTTTACCAAGTTTAATTAACTGTTGACAGTTTCGTGAAATATTTTACCAGTATTAAAAAAAAAAAAAAAAATTATTCCTATGAAATGGGTATATCTTTTAACGTTTAGTGTGAAAAATGAATTCATTTAAATTCATGGAAAGTCTAAATTATAGCAATAAGTTGAGCATAGGGCTATAAATAATTGAATGATAGCTAAATATATAAGGAGCTATAAATCATTATATAAAGATATGGCTTGAGAAATGCAATAACTAGACTTTAAGCTTAAAAAGGCTCTTTAATGTGAAACGGCGCTAGTAGTAGTATTTGTACAACGTTTACTACCATGTTTAATTAGCTCAAAAGCCAATAAAACTACTTGGATTAGTTATACAAGTAAAGAATGAAAATTTCACTTTAGACATGGTATATGATTTTTATAATATTAATGGACCTGCTATCATAAAATTTCGCACGACATTTTCACAACTGGCAATTCAAAAGAGTCAACAAATATTTAACTCGATTAAGATCGCAAACGTTTCAACTTGTTATGCGTAAATAAAAGGCCATATTCTTAATGTACGTGTATCGTAGTTACTAACAATATTTTCTTATCAGTTTATTGTTATTTGTATACAAATAAAATATATGATTTTTTCCATTAACAGATTAAACCAAAATCGTAACTAGTTCAACAGAACTGTGTAAATAACAAATTGAACTTAATTGTACAACTCTAGTGTGTGCAGAAGAGCTTCTGGTGCTGAAATTGAAACCAAGTTGATGCCATTGGGTGGGTCAGTTATACAATCCATGGCTGTCATGGACTCAGGTGCAGGACAACAAAGACTTCACACCACGCACAGGCCTTGCCTCTGCTCTTCCCAAACAAATACACACACACACAGACACAGACACACGAATATTCGACCAACATTGGCATCGACATCGACAGCGACATGGCCAACTGTCAGTCTGTAGTCAAGTTGTTCGGTTGCCCGTCCGCCTGGCACCAAAATTAAATTGACTGGCACCGAATTGGGGAATTATAGAAGAGAAGAACAGAAGTGTCAGTACGTGTCTATGGCTGACTTGCTGCACTAGGAGGCCAGTTAATTGGATTAAGCGTAGCATGGCCAAAGCAAAAACATTCAAATACACTCACATACTTCTATATACAACTACATACATACATAAGTCGTATGCAAACAATTTGCACAAATTGGCAGACTCACGCAGGCCTAATGCTAAAAATCTTTTGTTGAAGGCACTGCGTCAAATGCTCGACCCAATTTACTCATTACTTCCGCTCCTCAGCCATTCTATTAAATATTGTTTGAAAATATTTACATGCATTGTATATACATATTTTAATTTTATGACAGTTACATGTCTGCACAATCTGCCACCGACAGGAGATTTATGGCGCTCATTGCACGCCATACCGCTGATAAATAAATCAGAAATCTGAACATGCAACGCATGTTAGACGTACCGCCGGTATACTGACATGTTTAGCAGGCATTCTACATAAATAACGCATGTTTAAAATGTATGCATGTCGAACACACAAATACATAGCCACATACATACATGTATACTGCGAATATGTTTCTAAACTTTATATATGCCTACAAACATAAGTACATATAGTAGCTTAGTGGGAACACACGAATGTAGCTGGAAATTGTAACATATTTCAAACTGTGTCCAATCGGCTTGCCATTACATTGTTTTAAGTCTAAGGGATAAGTGTGATGTGTGTGATATGTAACACATATATGTGTTAGGTAATGATTGTTTTATGGCCTTCTTACTTAAGCTGCAACTTAATTTTCTTATTTGCTAAAAAAACATGAAAAACCAACCAAAACTCTAATATGTTCAGCCCTAATTCGCTCTCATTCATAGTCAAATTTGATCATAAATATTGTTAGATTTACAAATAAAATGAGAAGGAGTACAATTTCCAATTAACTAACTCAAATAAGTTAAAAGTAGTCTAAGTTTTTATACCCTGTACCCGTAGGGTAAAAAGGGTATATTAGGTTTGTGCAAAGTATGTAACATGCAGAAGGAAGCATCTCCGACCCCATAAAGTATATATATTCTGAATCAGCATGACGAGAGAAATCGATCTAGACATGTCCGTCCGTCTGTCCGTCCGTCTGTCCGTCTGTCCGTCTGGATGAACGCGAGGATCTCAGAAACTATAAAAGCTAGAATAACCAAAGTTGGCATCCAGATTCTCCAAGGTCCGAGTAAGGACGAGTGTATTTTTTTTTTTTTTAATTTTCCCCCCCTTCCCCCGCTACAGAATTTCGTCAATAGCGTCCACATTTCAAATGCTACCTCAACCAAACTTTGCACACATAATTTATATATAATTGTCTGTTGTTTAAAATTTTATTCAATTCGGTCAATTCTGAGAAAAGTTATTAGCGAAACAAATTCTCTACAGTAAAACCCCCACAAACTGCAGCAACAAGTTCGCTCTTCTTCTTCCTCTTTTTGCTGCTGCTATGGGCGCATATAACTCAGTGACGGAAGTTTACCTGGGTACAGGGTATTACACTGTCGGGCTTGCTCAACTGTAGCGTTCTCTCTTGTTATTTCTGTATTTTCAGAAAAAAATCCAAAAACTATTACACAAAACGTAGCCATTGGTGTCGCTGTAGAAAACTTATATTGAATCGGAATCAGTATGTTATTAGATATTATTGTTTTTTGTAGGATTCTATAGTTTGTTAGCTGATCAGTTGAAATTATTACGATATGGCGACATCATGAACTTATTTGTTGGCTTAATTAAATTAAATCTCAAAAATGCGGGCTTAGCATCTCAGCCAGCCTCACACAAATATTATTTCTATTTTACTTTTTCATTTGTTATCTTGTAAAACTATTTTCAAATAAATGTTAATTTATAATTGTGAAATAATAATGAAAGCTCCTCTACCACTGAATGCACTTTAAGGAAACCTTCTTCGAATTTGTTTTGCACTTGTCAATTTGACTGCACTAGGCGCTTTTTTGTATAGATGGGCAAGTTTTTTTTGGCCCAACCACTCAACTAAGAAAACGCTAGACCTGCAAGACTGAGGTGGACATTAATTAGGATTAAATGAACCAACTTGCTTTAAGTTTCGTTGTAGAGAATGGTTTGTTAAATCTTAACTAAATCTCATCTACCAATGCACGTTTTTTAATATATTTTAAAAGGTAATTTAAACACAACTTAGTTTCTCTATTTCCAATATTTCAATATATTGTTCAATGCAATGAAAACAAAGCTAATTTAAACCAAAACCGAAGACGAGTTGGGGAATAAAAATTTGCTATCAACAATAGTTCAAAATACTATACAAATTTTATTTTAAAATTGTAGGAATATTTTCAAGGTAAGCTGTATTTTTTCAACAAATATTAAAAATGCTCGAGCATAAATATTATTTAATAGTTCGTGGAATTTTGGCAAATTCTTTGCTTTTTTTCCTTATTATTCAGGAATATTTTTATGGCCTTAATTCATATTTAAGCTAATGCTTAAATTTCTTATTCCACACATCCTCTAACCATAGTGGGGCAGCAACAATTGTGTATAAACAGAAGTGTGTGGCCTAGCATTTTGATTATACCCGTATCTGAAACGTGACCAGCAAGCTTAGATATACTTGAAAATATTAATAATACTGATTGCATCAATAAAATAACTCTCACTCGGCTACATAAAAATTCCTATTAACATAGTCACAGCTTTTCGAAGGTTATGCAAAATTAATGCGAACCCATTAAGAGAGCCGCCGAGTGCTGGTGTGCGTGCGTGGCCAAAAGATGATTTAGCAGAGAATATAAGCCCCTCCTCCCCATTTATTGAAGAGTAAATCCACAACTAATTTATGCGCATGATATAGAAATGTGTATAACGAATTTAGAGTTATACATCACGTATTCATTCATCAGTTGGCAGGCTAGATATTATTTTCACATATGTGCAAGGCATAAAAACAAGACACGCACACTCATACTATACATTCACGCACACACGCACACACACACTACTTGTTGGATGGAAAAGCAGTGAAATTATATAAAGGAAACGTGTTGCATGCGCTTTCCGCATTTTCTTCAATCAACTCGTCCCGTTTTTGTTCGTGTTTCCGTGCTCTTAGCATACGTACTCGTATGTGCAATATTTATGCTTTGCTCATAAATTTATGTGAAGGAATTGGCGAATAAAACAAAAAAAAAATAAATAAAAATGAAGCTACCACACACATGGCGTATACGCAATGTCAATGACAAGCAGATGCGCAGCTTCCCAGGCTCTAAAGACGATGTGCCCATGGGCAACGCTGATGAGACAAACACTTGACACTTGAAAGGCGTCGCATTCGAGCAACTTGGCGAGCAACTTGGCGGAAATTACAACAATAATAACATCGGATGTTGCCACAATCTCACACATATGCTCGTTCACATGTGTTTGTGAGTGAGGTCACATTTGTTCGATGCCCGCAGCCAGGACACTGGCATTAGTGAATTTGTCATAAAGCAAGGATGTGCTACATGTCGTATACGTAACATAAAACATGTAGACGATCATTGTTTGTCGTCTGGAAGCCCGAATTCCAGGCCATTGCATAAAGTCCAATGGACAACACATTGTGGCGCTAATTAACAAAACGTGCGCATAAATAAAAACACCTATGCCATAATGATAAAACCACATGA